TGGAATTAATCGATCACTTATCTGAAGTTGTCGGAGCCTCCAAATTAGCCATCAGATTTTCTCCATGGGCTACTTTCCAAGGTATGAAAGGTGCTAAAGAAGAAATTCATCCATACGCAACTTTCAGTTATGTTGTAGGTGAATTACAAAAACGTGCTAATAACGGCAAAGAACTCGCTTACATTTCTTTAGTCGAACCAAGAGTTTCCGGTATCATGGATGTTAAAAAAGAAGATCAAGCTGGTGACAATGAATTCATCAAGAAGATTTGGAAAGGTGTTTTATTACGTGCTGGTAACTATTCGTATGATGCTCCCGAATTCAACCAATTATTAAGCGATGTCGACGATGAACGTACTTTAGTTGGTTTCTCCAGATATTACATCTCCAACCCTGATCTTGTTTTCAAATTGCATGAAGGTCATGATTTGACTCCTTATGATAGAGAAACTTTCTATCTTAACAGTAACTGGGGTTACAACACTTACACTGTTTACGGTAAAGAACTCCAAATTGCTGAAGAAGAAGCTAGAAAACACCTTCCAGAAGCTCTTAAATCTCTTAAAGTATAGATATTATTAGATAGTGATTAATTATATATATATTTGACGTTGCATTAGTTTCTGTAAAAACCCTTAGACCAGCACCCGTAGAAGCTCAACTTGTATTCTTTGTGAAAGGGCCCATATGATTTTCTTATTGTGTTTATTTCGCAGCCATATATGAAAAGGTCAATTGGCGATGACAGAAATTTTGACCTTGAGACATATTTCTCACTAATATTAGAACCTATGCAAATCATCTTTTCTGTCTCGATTGCGATTTTGAAAGTTGTAGCATGCCTCAGGAAGAAGACGCTCCACGGCTTATAAGATTGGATTAGTAGCTCGCTGACCCGCTTGATCCCCGATGCTTTGGAGGGTGTTTCTCTCATAAATTGGTAGAATGGAAGCCCTAATTGGAGCTGTTTTGAGAGCAAGGTGGTATAACTTGATCTGAGAAAGATCAAGCCAGGGATACCACGTCTTCAATGAAAGTCGAAAGACCGGCACGTGCCGTCAACCTACACTTACGAGATCGTCTTTCAATTAATTTCGAAGAACAACTTAGCTTCTTATGTTACACTAAAGTTCCATAGAAACACGTAAATTTCATGACCGGATTACTCTTTGGGAACGTAACTATTTCCAATTACTCTTTGGGGGCGTAACTATTTTCAATTACTCTTTGGGGGCGTAACTATTTCCAATTTCATCTTTTTGTAACACGGCTGTTAATCGTTAGCAGCCACAAGAAGAATGTTAATATTCTCATTTTCTTATATTGGCTTTACGGAGTGCTGTTTTCCAATGACTCATCATCAAGAGACGCGTTTCAATTGTTTGATTTGTTTCACTTGTTTCAATATTGGAAAGCATTAACGAGAGTTTATCAATTATGCAGAATAACCGATACTATCTATTGAATGGTTATCAATGTATTCAATTGTTTTGCATATTTCGCAAGGCCTGTTATCTGAACCAAATTCTTGGACCGGATATCAGCAAAAGGGGAAACTTGTCGGAGCTGTTTCAGAGCCATCAACTCAATGTTCTGGTGATTACTCATCACAGTGGAGAGGGACAAAGAGTATAAATACCTGAAGTCAAACGGTTGAGGGTGACTTATGGAGGTTCGAACCAGTATTGAACAATGGTCAAGGTTTCTGCTCTTAAGGATACTAAAGTTTTCTCACCGATCAAGGTCGGTGATAACGAATTGGCTCATCGAATTTTTTTCCCACCAACTACCAGAGTAAGAGCTGCTGGAGATAATATACCATCCCAATTGCAAGAAGCGTATTATGAAGAGAGATCAAGATACCCTGGTACGTTATTGGTCACTGAGGGTACTTTCCCCGGGGTTAAATTAGGTGGCTGTCCTGGTGTTCCGGGTATTTATAGTGAAGAACAGGTTCAAGCATGGAAACAAATCAACGATAAGGTCCACGCCAACAAATCGTTTACTTCTATCCAATTGTGGGGCCTTGGCCGAGTAGGAGACCCTGAATTCAGTGCAGCCCACGGAGTTCCTCTCATTGGACCTTCTGAAATTTATTTAAAAGAGCACGAGAAACTGATTCCGTATCAGAATGTTAAGATTGAATCTCCAAGCACCGAATACCTTGAGAAATTGATTCACGAAGATTATACTATAGCTGCTAAAAACTCCATTGCTGCTGGGTTCGATTACATAGAACTCCACTCTGCTCATGGTTACTTTTTGGACACTTTCTTGCTTCCATCAAGCAACAAGAGAACCGATAAATACGGTGGTTCCATTGAAAACAGAGCTAGATTCTTATTGGAATTAATCGATCACTTATCTGAAGTTGTCGGAGCCTCCAAATTAGCCATCAGATTTTCTCCATGGGCTACTTTCCAAGGTATGAAAGGTGCTGAAGAGGACGTACACCCGTATGCCACCTTTGGATACCTTATTGGTGAATTACAGAAACGTGCTAATAACGGTAAAGAACTCGCTTACATTTCTTTGGTTGAACCAAGAGTTTCCGGTATCATGGATGTTAAGAAAGAAGATCAAGCTGGTGATAATGACTTCATCAGTAAGATCTGGAAAGGGGTTTTATTACGTGCTGGGAACTATACTTACGACGCGCCGGATTTCAAGAAAGTGCTAGAAGATGTCGATGATGGACGCACTTTAGTCGGTTTCTCTAGGTACTTCATATCTAATCCCGATCTTGTTTACCGATTACGTGAAGGTTACGAATTAACTCCTTACAATAGAGACTTGTTTTACGTGGGGAACGGTTGGGGTTACAATTCTTATAATGTATATGGCAAAGAAGTTTTGACTTCCGAAGAAGAAGCCAGAAATCAAATTCCAGTTGCTCTTAAAGCCCTTTCCATATAGAAACGTAGACTTTTAAAATACAAATAATTTCTTAGTTCAAGCCTTGTAGGATTACTCGCATTCAAAATTGCCATCTTCACATAATCTTTCATGATCTGGAATGTCCGTCTTTGCTCCTTCTGAAGCCTATTTGGATCTAACCTCATTGAAGTTAGACAACAGCTGCCAGTTCCTCTCTTTTCTCCTCTTCGCTATATCCATTCAATCTCTTGCAAGATCATTCCAGCCCTGTGTTACTTACCACCACTAGCAGCATCAAGATTATCTTCGGTTTAGCTGGCATTTTAAATATATAAACGGTAGTTTTGCAGTATTCTATCCAAAAAAGCTAAACCTGTAAAACGGCCAACATGTAAATTTGAGCACCATCGCATTTTTTTTCAGTATCGTCCATTGGGAAGTAGCGCAAAGCTAATCATCTAGCTTTTTTCCCGTTTTTCAAAGACAAGTTAAAACTAAACCAACCTCTTTCTTTGACAAAAAAAAGTACAACAACAGTCAAGATGCTTACTAAAAATGTGGTGAGATTACTTGGGAATGGTTGTGAAACTCTCGGTTATAAGAGTTTCTCCACCAGTTCTATCAGAAACATACAGCGCTCTCAAAACGATATACTAGATCAAAGACAAGAAGAAATCACAGCACCAAATGCATTAGCTGAAGAATCTACCCTTCCTAAAATTAAACAAGACTTGAAGATCAACCCAAGACTTGCTAAGAAAAAGTCGCCTTTCAAATCGGATCATAAAATGGAAAATGATCCAAGTTTCCAATTATCATCTTGGAAACAAAATATTGGTCAAGGAATCATCAAATTGTTTGGTATTGATATGGATAGATCAAGAGCTGGACCAGTTGCAGGCTCTCACTATTTTGGTGAATGTAAAAAGCAAGGGATGTACTATCCTAATGAGCCACTCAGTCCAACTGCTAGATTTTATTACGAAACTCTTGCTTTACCTCAATCATTTTCTCAATGGTTTCAAATTACTGCTTTACATTACTGGATTTTATCGGTTAGAATGAGGGCCATGCCTTTTAAATACGGTAGAAATTATCAACAAAAGTTGGTTGATAGAATTTTTAAAGATATGGAATTGAGAATGGCCGAAGAATTGAATATCAATTCTAATAGAATTATCGAAGGTTATCTTAAAGAGTACCATAAACAATTATTGGGATCTGTTTTATCTTACGATGAAGGGTTATTAACTGACGATATTACTTTGGCTAGTGCCTTGTGGAGAAATGTGTTTAATGGTGATCCAAATGCTGATATGAGACATATTGAAGCATTGGTTGGTTATGTTAGATCACAATTGTATGTTTTGAACAAAATGACTGATCGTGAATTTGGTTTTGGTAAGTTTACCTTTGTTGCACCTGATGAAGTTGTTAAACCTTTAACTAAATCTCAAGAAGCTAAACTAAGAGCTCAAGCTAAAAAGGAGTTTGAAGGTAAAACATTACCATCTCAAAGAAGTGTTTTATCGTTGGATGAATAATTTATTCTTTTCGTTGTCTTTTATTCTGCATAATCTTTATTTTCGTGTTTGATTAGTCAAGTTATACTTGTACATATTACTTCTTCATTTCATTTTCCTGGTTATGGGTTTTTTCAGCTTAAACTTTTACTTAATATATACAATCGTGTAAATAATATAAATTTGTTTATTCATAGATAAGAGAAAGAAAACACAACTATAGAAAAATAGGATAAGCATAAAAGTTTACAATTTGGCAACAGAGATATCATCATCTTTTGTCCAATCATGGCCCAAAGTATCCCTAATCATGATATTCATAACTGCGTAGTCTTCACCTTCAATGGAATTTTCATCAACTTTGTCACCAAGAACGATATCTTCATAAAATTTGAATCCAAATTTTTCATAAATTGGAATATTTGAAACACTTGAACTTTCTAAATAAGTAATGTTACTCGTATCGGGCAAATCGATATAATTTTGAAACATGTAATCAAACATTTTTCTTGCATTACCTTTACCACGGGCATTAGCAGTTGAACCAACATAGACCAAAGTATACACCCCTTTACCTTTAAACCTTGGATCAGTTGTAACAATACGTTCATTTGTATGTTCTAATAATGGTAATAGTCCATTGAAAACTTTATTGCGAGAGCCTTCACAACCTAAATTCCAAACTTTGCCATAACCTGATTCCATTAAAGTTGAAAAAGATTCAAGACCTCTTTCTACAGAATCAGGACATGACCAAACTGCAACAGTTTCAAATTCATCATCGGATTCATTAATACCTAGACATAAACCTTTTGAAATATGTTGCCTGACATAAGCTTCATAAAGAGCTAACTCAAAGTCTCTTTTCAGTTGATGATCATTCAAATCACTTACAAGTAATTTGGCCAAAGAGTCATTATCAAAAGCTTTAAGCAAAGTAATGGCAGCCTTGGGAGAATCTTCATAATTCAAAATTTTAATGTTTGAACCAAGAGATCCGGTTTGACTTGATCGGGGTAATTTAGAAGAATCATCATCTGAAGAAGAAACTTTTGAAGTTGAAGAAGTTGAAGTAGACATTTTTAATAATTTTATGAGATAAGAGAACAAATATTTAAATCACAATCTAATTGAGATAATATTTAAAAGCTGATAACGTATTTATATTGGTAACTTAATCTAATAATCATAATTATTCCTTAGTTTATTTAAAAGTAATAGTACAGAGCCGATTAAGGTGTAATATTAACCTAAAGATAAAAAGTAAGGTCTCCTTATTAAGTTTAGCAGCAAAAAAACTGGCAAGTTAGATTAATCTCCAAATACTGAGATGCCGGCTATATAGAACAAATTATTCAAAGAAGGTTAATCTTTAGACTTGCAAGAGAAATCTAAACTATATATATCCCCAAATCCTTTATATTTCGAATTGATCATAAAATGACAGGAAGGGCATTTGATTAAAATCCGCCAGGACATACCAAATGAGGAAGGCAAGTCGTGTACTGTTCGCGAATTAGCGGAATTCTCTTTTCTCTAATTCCTCTTTGATAATCAACGGTTTTTGACATCGATTGGCTGTTAAAACTGTAGATATTTGGTCTAGTAAGCAGAGGCGATGATAGGATTGGACTATTACAGATTTGAAGTATTAGATAAGTGTACAATTTATTTATATTATTTATTTATTTTGTGAAGCTGGAGTTAAAGCAATTTACTTTTTACCCTTCTTCTTCTTCTTTTTGTTTGCATTACTCTTACTAGCGGAAGAAGATTGGGGTTGGGGTTGTGATTGTGAATTATCAACGATTCCTTGATGACCACCTGATCTTTTCTTATCCTTTTTGGAAGGCTTGTAGTAAGACCTGACTTTCAAAGGTAACCATCTTTCACTATCTAATTCTTTTTCTGGATTAAATTCAGAATCAGGTTTATAAAATTTGTGTTTTGAAAATTTTGGTTTTTTGGTTTTCTTAGAAATTTTATTTGGTTTTTCCTTATCAGTTTTTGAAACTGGTATAGATTTTGATGTGGTTGGTTTGGTGATCAATGAGTCGATATTAGTCTCAAGTAAAGTTTCAACATCAGTTGAGGAAGCTAAACTATTTACTGGCAATAACTTAGAAGAATCTTTAGATGAAATACTATCGATAAGCAAATCTTCTTTACCGGTTGATTTTAAAATTTGGAAAACTTTGTTAGCATTTTCCTCGTCATTCAAATTGATTAATTTGAATCCGATAACTTTGATAAGATTATACAAATCAAAGTTATCAAAGATTTCATTTTGGGGGATCGATTCAAACTTTTCAATTAATGACAAGATCAATTGATTCAACTTACTTGAATGGTTTAAAGTTTCGTATAAGTTTATTAAACTACCAATAACACTTGGGATTAATCTTGATTCATTAATTAATTCATTAGTCATTTTCTCAAAAACGTAGATTGATTGATCATAATGGCCACTTTTCGAGTTAACTGAATTTAATAAAAATGCAGCAGTAATTTTCAAATCGTCATTTTCCACTTTGTTTGAAATATATTTGAATAGTTTCCTACTAATGGCTTTATTATAATCAATATTGATTAAATCATTAATATCAATTTGTAAAGCTAATAAGACTTTATAAATTATTGGAGTGAAATCTCCAGGGAAGCTTTTCAAATATTTTTCAATAGAAGCATTAGATAAATAGGATGAATTTTTACTAATTGTACTTGATTGGTAAGATAATAATAAATGATTCTGTAATAAAGTTTGATGTTGTGATTTGATTAATTTTTGTTCCAAGTGATGTAAATTATATTGGTAGTCTAAATCACGATGAATCAAATTAATTTCTGATGATTTATTTAATGAATGATAATTATTTTTAATAATCAAATTAATCATTAAATCATTTACATTTTTTAATTCATCATCATCTAACATTGATTTTGCTCTTGAAATATTACCCTGTAATTGATAAATATATGCAATTGTTAACTTCATTGGAGCTAATTCCATTAATATCTCTTGTGGATCTGAATCAATATTTGCTGAAGTGCATTTATCAGTAGCAATATTTAAAAGTTCCAATGATTTTTCTAAATTACCTTTAGATAATTCAATCAATGAGTTATTGAATAATAAATCATAACTGTTTTCATCAGTAATGGTGGATAAAATTTTGGAAGTTTCATTAAATTTATCATGATTTGTGATTTGACTAATAACTGCTCTTTCATTACATGCTAAATCTAATTCATTATCAATTTTTTGATTATTAGTGATTAATTCATGATATAACGATAAAGCTTTGAAAATATCACCTTTTTGATAAGAATGTTGAGCCAAAATATGTTTTATGGCTCTTAATTCAATTTCATTAATATCATTTGATAAATTTTCATATACTTCATTTAACTTTGAAGATAACCCTAACTTATAATAAATGTAAATTTTTTCAACAGGTAATTGATCAGAGACTTCTTTTGGAACTTCTTTCAATAAAATGTTAGCTTTATGATATTTATCCATGTTTATTAAAGCAACAATACAATTATGGAAAGATTTAACATCTTCAAAGTTCTTGATCTTAGATAAGTATTCGTATGACACTTCAAATATGTGTTCGTGATCAGATTTCGACTCTGCAGATGTGATATGCAAGCTCTTGAAAGCCTGCGGAATCGAAGACGACATTATTATGGATTAATTGGGCCGTTTACACCTGTTGGAGTATCTGTACTTAACTTGTTCGACGGCTTTCCTCACTAAAAAGAAAAAAAAATTTTCAATATTGAAAAAGTAGACCTCCGTACATCAGGGTATTATATCATTTTTATGTATTAAACTAATTTACAGCAATATTACAAAGGGTATCATGCAAATTAGAGGAACAGGGAGGAGGGTATCATCAAGTGAAGAGAAGTGAATTTCAAGGAAAGTAAGGGTATTAATATATAGTGAAAGAATGAAACGAAAAAATTAGCAGAAGCGAACGATATAACCAAAAGAAATGAAAGAAATGAAAACAAAATGCAAAAAAGACAAAGAAGCTAATTAGATAAGATTGAAAAGGTATTCTTTTTAACCAAGGGTGCCTTAGCGTCGTTTTTACCAACAGACATGGCTCTTTTATGTCTTCTTACTAAATTTTTATGTTTAGCAATAAGATGTCTTTCTAATAAGTCATCATCATTTTCTTTATCATCGAGAAATTCTGACTTGAACAAGAACTTGTCATTGTGGACCAAGTTCTTTCTAGGAGGAGTGACAAAACTTGGTAAGGAGTTGAAATGGTGTAAGTTTGTCGAAGTAGTACTTTTGTAATTTTGAGGCACGTAAGGTTCAGTTAATTGAATTGAGCGAGACAAAGCAGGGTCTGACTCAATTGTTTTCAAAAACCCTGGGAACTCATTGGTACTAAGCGGTTTAAGTGGTACTCTTTTGGGGAAACTTTGTTGTTTCAAGTTGAGAGGTTTTGGCTGAAGAATATTCTCCTGGTCATTATGGTCGGTTTTATTTGATTTGGAAGGACTTGGGGATTTAGCTGTATTTGAATAGGCAGAAGCCGGTTTGGGTTTATCTTCAAATATGGTGAACCCTAATCTTGGTTTTTTAGCTGGATTCTTCTTAACTGGGGTTAAAATATTAGAATTGTTTAATTTTGGAATCTTAATTGGTGAGCTGGTATTGAAGGGAGAGTTTTTCTTCAGCTTAAGAGGAGTTCTTGAAATGTTATGGTTTTTACTAGGTGATAATACTCGTCTGGTTGGTGAAGACATGATGAAAGATCTAGTGTTAACTATGAAAAGAAGTGACGGGGAAAATAAAGCCTCAAAGGATAATGCTTCCTTTATATTCAATCCTTTTCTTTTTCTAAATTTTAAGGCTTCTCCCTTTTGCAAAGTTAATAAAGACGTGATGTTTTTCTCAAATTTTTTATTAACAGACGTGATGTTTTTATTTTAAACGTGAATTCTCTTCTAAAATGTATGGCAGTATACGTGAAGCGTGGATGGAATAGTGGGTGACGCTCGCAATAACTCGGTTGCAATCGTTAGTCGTTATGGATACCCTTATGTACTCTAATTTAGAATCGTGATTGATGAAACCGTGATTGGGTTGCTTATAGTGTTGTTCAGTTACAAAACACCATTTTATTATGGGGGAAAAGGCCGTAAGGGGGGCGTGTGAAACTCAGAGTACTTTACGCGTATTGGGGTGTGTAGACCCGTACACCGGGGATAACTGCAAAAATAGTAACCGTATCATTATTGTATTATATATATCTATATATATTATATCGGGAGGCTAGTTTGGTTTATAGAAGTTGCTTGGTACAAAAGGTAATTTAGTCACCACGCCGTCTCTTAACTTACCTCTTATTTCAACCTTGACGTCCGAGCCGATTTTGGCCTTCTTATCGATATAAGCCTGGGCTACGTTTCCCCCAATGCTTGGGGATGGACTACCGGAGGTGATGTAGCCAATTTGTTCCTTACCGTCTTTATCGTAGATTGCATTACCGGTTCTTGGAGAAGGACCTTTTGAAGTGAGGCCAATTCTACGAGTACGGACCGATTTTTTATCGTTCAATTGGGATAAGATCTTATCACTACCATTGAATTTTGTGGTGGAAGCGTCTCTTCTGGATTGAGGGATCAACCAGGATAAAGAGGCTTGGACCGGGGTGATTTCTTCAGTTAACTCATTACCGTAGAGACACATTCCAGCTTCTAATCTCAAGGAGTCTCTAGCAGCCAAACCAATTGGTTGCACGGTATCTGGGGACTCTTCGATTAATCTTTCAAAGAATTCTCGGGCTTGTTGGGTTTCCTTGTCATTGGAGGAAGGAATTGAAAGTTCAAACCCATCTTCCCCAGTGTACCCAGTTCTAGATAAATGAATATCGGAATCGATATCTAGTAAGTTAATGAATTGAGTTTGACCAAAGAAAATCGCCTTCAAATTGGCTTTAGTGTATTGTTGCAAAATCTGATATGCTTTGGGACCTTGAATTGCTAATAAGGTACCTTCAAATGTTTCATGTTTAACGTTATTGAAATTTGATAATTCCTTTGTTATAAATGCAACATCTTTTTCACGACACCCGGCATTAGTCACCATATAATATTTATCATCAGCATGTTTGGTTATAATACAATCATCGATAACCCCTCCATTTTCATTAAGCAATACTGATAAACTCGAACTATAGGGTGCTAGTCTTGATAAATCAATTGGAGTGATTTTCTGCAATAAATCAACCGATTCCTTACCTTGAATTTGATGTTGTAACATATGACTTACATCAAATAAGCCACAATTATTTCTAACCCAATTATGGGATTCGATGTGACTAAGTCCCTTATACAATACCGGCATTTCGTATCCAGCGTATGGCACCAATTTCCCCCCATATTTGATATGACTGGAGTGTAATGGGGTCTTACTTAATGTGGCATGGGATGAAAATCTCTTGAATGTTAACATGGTTGGTTGGTCGGCAATAGTCCCCCCAATTCAATAGATAGTGGATAATGGAGTTGTTTTATAGCAAAGGATTCTGACTCGGATGCAGGGAGGTTGCCCCATAAGCTGACTCGGTTACCTCCTCCGCGTATTCCAGAGTCAATGCGAAAAAGGGACGAATCGCTGCAAACTCAAGCCTTTGTTTGCAAATAAATACATTAAAACTGCAAAATTGTTGAAAAATCTATTGGAAATAGTGAAAAATTATACAAGTACACTGTAGATATATAAAGCCAGTAAAACAGAGTATACCACTGCTGCTGCAAGCGTGTACCAGAACCTTGTTATGGTGACCTTGCGAATCTGCTCGTGGTATTGGTTTCTGTTGTGTTTTTCATTCCAACCCAACCAAATCACTCCGTAACCAAGAATAAAAAAGTTGTATAGCCATAAGGGAGGAAACAAGATACCGAGAAGGAATGCATGGCTCATTATTTTTGGTTTGTGCATGAGATAGTAGCAGGAGTTGCAGTAACAGGACTCCGAGTACATTGGAGGATCAAAGGATGGGGTGAACACAAGCTCTTTCTTCGCAAGAGTCACTTGAAGTGCTTGGGTCATGGGGGGCGGTTACCACGATTGCAACTAGTCCTTCCACTATGCGCTGTTCTGACCCTTATATTCTTTTCAAAGCAGAGCTTAATGGCTGCAAACGAAAAGAGAAAAAAATTACTGAATTGAGACTTCGCAATGGATAAGAGACTAGGGTAGCTCCAATCTTAGCAGAAGAGTATCAGAAGCGGATGAAGATTGTGGCACTGTCATCATCACTGTTGAAATACTGGTTGATTTCGGACCTGACTTTGATGCAAACAGCTCTGGTTAGTTTGAAGTTGAAAATGTGAGGCGAATCTGCAACTTTCCAATGTAACAGACACCTATTCAATAACAAGTAAAGCAAACACATAACCGCAAGAAATGCTAATACCAAACTATGATTTACGGTTTGAATCTGACTTTTCAGTCCAATTGTTGTGCTCCAAGAACCCTTTGAGCTGGATTAACGTTATCAAAATAGAGTGCGGTACACGAAAATTTTTCCCGTACTGTAGAATTTGATGATCCAAGGTTAAGATCACAAGTTTTGATTGATATAGCTCAATTTCGAAGGATGTCAACCTTTGACATCAATAAAATTGTCAATTTTTTACAATCCTCGAAGACAAAGGAAAGAAATGACGCGTTGACGTTATTAGAAAATCTCCCTACTCAAAAACTCAAGCTAACTTTAAAACAATTCAATCTTATAACAACCTCCATTTATAAACTAATTGAAATAGAAGCTGGCCTTTATAGAAATAATAAATCAAATCCAGTCGAGACGAGGCTTTTCAAATCGTCCAATTTCCTAGTAAGCTTGATTGAAAAATGTAATAATGATGCAAATAGATTCCATGATCAAAAATACCCCGATTCGACCTCGATAAAATTGAAATATAAAAACTATCTTAATCTTATAAACAGCACAATTGATTGCTTTTTCATCGATTTTGAATCAGCTTTTCTAGACCCTTGTGCGTTTGACTTTATCTCGATAATCAATATCTGCCTTGATGAAAATTTAGTAAGAGAACACCTTCATTATGATAATTGGATTAGAATCTATAATTTCTTGATAAAGATAACCAATCTTTGTCTAAGCACCTCAATGAATAACATTTTATCCGGTCAAAATGATAAGTTTCTATTCAAATGCTTTCAATGTATTCAATATTTAACTGAAGCTACTCGTAACGTATCTAACTTACATTTATTGAAAAACGAAAATTATTTCAAATTGCTACCTTTGATCAAGAAAACTTTTCAAATATATAATAAAAAGGAAACAAATATTCTTATTACCGTGCTAAAAATTATCAATAAACTCTTAATTGTTTCATCAAATCAAGATGCCAGATTCATCAATCAGTTAATCCAACAAGTTATTAAAGTATTCATTCAATTTAACCAAAGTCAATTCGATTCTTTACAGACCCAATTTCTCATCTTTCTTAATTTAGAATCAGTGCTGAATTATATCAGTCTACATAAGCTCCCAAATCAAATTGGTGGCGAATCAAAAAAAAACACGGTAGTCCCGTCAGACGATATAGATTCAAATGACCTATCTGTGAGGTCAGATCCCGAAGAAGAAGATAATTTAGATGCAGACTCTGCCTTGAATGAAGAAGACCGTGAAGTCATTCTTTATAACACTGGTGTACTAATTCTACATTTATTGAGTAAGCTTAGTTCGCCAGAATTTTACTTAAATCAAACCGAAATTGGTTTGGCCCTACATTCCGGAAAGAATAGTTGGTTTCAATTGAGGTCCCTTTTTTTAATATCGGATACTTCTTCTAATCCAAAACCTTGGCTCTTGCATCTTGGTATTGCCAAATTAATTCAGTCCTACTACACCTTAAAGTTATCGATTATGGAACTAAAAGATACTTCAAGGGTAAACACTACTAATATATTAGGCCAACCTCCGAATCAATTCACAAGCTTTCAAAAAAGCAAAAGGCAAAAACTAGGACATATTGGTGATTCTTTATACGACTCTAATAATTCCCTTGAATTTTTAAATTCTCTAATCATTCACAAAGCAGACGAGAAAATTCAAGAAATTGGAATGAAGATTTTGATGTTTTTCTTAGAAGATGTGGAAAGTTTGAATCCAGAGACCCAAGAGCAAGAGACCCTACCCGAACAAATTTTAAGCAACCCTCCAGCTTCCGATGGAGAGAGTTCAGTCCTCAATGTCAACGAATCAACTCTTCTTAATTCAACATTTGGATTCCAACTCGATACTCCTGAGACCTTAGCAAAATTCGACAAAGATATCATTTTCAAAAATATCTTGAGTTCTTTCGATAATAGTAACCTCACATTTTGGAGTTTACATTCGTCTTTCTGTTTGATAAATAATCTTGCCTTAAATAATACAAAGCTCGATTCCCATTACCAGCTAAGAAGACTATATCAACTACTCAAAATAACTTTACCTTTGATCAAGCACAAACTGATGGGATCGACTGCTTGTGATTTATATTATTTAATTATTTTATACTATGGCGAAGTCTGCTCAAATAAAATTATAGAAGAGTCAATCATGAGCCAATTGGATAACATTATTGACTTGGCAGAAATCAACGGACCTCATCAAATCTGTGATTCAAGCTTTAGGTTTTGGTTTTCAATTGACAAAGTTTACAAAGAAATAAATTCTACAAACAGAAACACCTTACCAGAGAAAATACAGGATTGGGTTCTAGCCAAATGGGATTCCATTCTTGAAATTGATAATTCATTGAAAACAGTGAATATAAATTTACCAAGATATTCTCTTTTTCCTGATTTCGTTGTTTGGCTATGTGGGTGTGACATTACTTTGATGATTAAGAATAGCCATCTCGAAAGATATGAAAGTGCCCTCAATGCAACTTTCCAATTTTCTGATCAGTACAGCGAACTACAAAATTTTATTAATTTAAAGATTAATTACTCTCCACAACTAACAAATCAGTCTTTTGAGGTCTCATCTATGGATGCTTTAAACGATGTTTCTGAAAAAATTTTGACAAAGCTCCTTGACGCAGCTAATCTATTCACAACCTACGAAAGCAATTCCATAAGTGTGTTCAGATGGATGATGCTGCTTTTCAAAATAGGCAGCTTTTTATATGAAAAACGTAAGTATTCTCATATTCTTAGTGCTATTGATTATCGTTGTTCAACTATGTTAGAAATAATAAGAGATCATGAAATCGATGAGGACGAACTGTCAGAATTAATCAAAGATTTTAACTCATTCGAATTTCAACATTTAAGCCAGAATTTTTCCAACAGGATTGCAGAAGTATTCCCGTTTGATAAGTTAAAATCTTCCTTCTTGCCAAAAGCTTCTGGTTTCTCTAAAGCAAATAACATACCCCTTTCTAGTGTGTTCGATGATGAGTTTCTGTCAGCAAGCCCCGAAACTCTCATTTCAACCCATAAGCCTGTGTCATTGACCTATATTGATTCGTTATGTGAGATTCATACCTCCTCCAATGTGGTTCAATTTATTATTGCTTATCACAGACTAAGAGAATCAAGTCCAAACGATACTTTCACTGCTTTGATTCATTATTTCAAGTCGATGGATACCCTGGATGTTTTATTCGCCCTTAACAGCCTAATAGATGTTATCATGCATGGTAAATTTCAAATCGAAGGAATTTACGAGGAAAATCTTACAAAGATAATACGTATTTTTGGTGAAGGACCAATGTCTAATCATAAAATCGAAAGGAATGAATTAACTGTTATGATTTTATGTAAATTATTAAATTGTTTTCTTCCAAGTGTTAGACTGAGTTATGATGGGGGATTTAAAAAAGATTTCTATGATTTATGTGGTTTTGCATTTCATTGTGCTAGTAAAGACTTAATCATCACAGAGGCTTCTATATTAGAGTTCACAAAACTCATAGTTAGTCTTCTAACTTTCAAAGAAGAATCAGTTATTCCAAATACGGAAGCCAGAGTTATGCTTGTTGACACGTTCAAACAGTTTCCCAATAATACAAAGATTAAATTTTTGCCATCATTGTGTTATTATATGAAGAACCTTTCAACAAGCGATCAAACCAAGTTATATACTGATCTATATCTGGGATTTGATTTACCGCAACAATCTATCGAGCTGGCAGGAACTTTTTCATTATTCTTTTCCCAAGTATCTCAAAACTCTTCCCAGCTCACCATTGCTGCAATTTATAACCTTATCGAGTATTCAAGGTACAAGTTCTTTACTCCATACTCCAAATTTGCTATCGACATTATCCGATCACATCTTGGCTTGAAAAATCCGAAGAGTTTGTTCAAGCTGTTTAGGTTCGAAGTCTTGAAGTTTTGGATTGGATATGGATTAGATATCATGGAGTTCCCGTTTACGTTATTTGGTTATAATGATGGAGGGAAATTTTTAAAAGATAATTATCAGGAGATCTCTGCTTTGGCTCTTTCGTCAAAAAATAATCAATTCGAGTCAGAACTTTTGGTTCAGTTAGCAAGAATAAAGAGGGTCTCAGTAAAAGACATCGTTTCTGATTGTCTATCTTTAGCTGTTGCGCTTTCATTCACGGGAGACAGTATAAAAACAAATATATTCGTGAAACTCTCGGACTATTTACAAGATAGATATAAGACAGAGATCAAAAGGAAACTACCCATTATTATACTTGAAATTATTAAATATACTGACGTATCCAATGAACATATATCAATAACACGAAAAGAATTTACAGGAATTTCCGTTCCTAATACGTTAAAGTCTAGCAAAGGACTAGTTAGCATCAGTTACCTGTCTAGTATGGAATTACTCAAAAGTTTGGCACATAAATTTTTTGGAAATGAACAAGACTTTTGGCTGATCCGCATAGTTTACTTTCTTGTTAGAAGATTGCAGCTTCTTCTATCCAACAGTATTGTAACTGACCAGAAAGAGCAATATATCAAGCTTATCAAATTCGTTATTTCTATTGGTGCCCGAGGATGCAAAGATCTTGCTTTGACAAAGCTATTAATTCTGGCTGCCATTCCATACCTAGACAATCCCTCTCTTCACCCACACGCTGTGGATATTTTAAATACAGTGAAAATCGAAGGGCTTAATGGCTATGGAACTGCTAACACCATTTGGTTGATTGTCAAATTAACATCTGAACTATTCAACAAGCAGTCGAGTTTTCAAGCTCTTGTTATATCAATCGAGAAATATTCCAAATCATTGGATGGCTCTATTAGATTACGTTCAGTTTTACTTAAAGCGTCGCTTATCCTCCAAGGTCAGTCCTGCTTAATTACAACCGCAGACCTCGAGTGTATTCTTGGTGATCCTAGCTTATATTTGTATTTTCCATCAAAAACTCAACAAAAAGATTTGGTGATGTTTTTATCAAGGATATACACGTCCTTTAATCAGAACAGTAGTTTTATGGAAGTGGAAATAGACAAGACTTTAATCGTCAAAGTTCTTTTGAGTGTAAAATTGAAAGAAATTGTTGGCACTTCAACTAGTTTTGGTATTTGGGCAACCAACTTTCTCTCCGATTTTTATTTGAATAGCCAAGCTCTTAAAAATATTGATTCAATCATAGACCTAGAAGAATATGGTGCTGACATGAAGATAAACTTCAAGGATAGAATAGAAACTATGAATACTATTTTGGAGATAATTTTAAAATATCTTGATGAGGGTACTATAGAAGAGGCAGCTTGTGCCGAAAGTATTTTAGGCGTGTTGATCTATAGGTTTGAATCATCAATATCTGATGAGAAATACATTCAACTTTCGAGGTACTTTGAAAAGTTTAACGCTTATATTGCACCAATAGAATTTCATTCGTGCATTCTCCTCAATACTTATGATGAGGATCTATTCGTTACAGGGGAAACTCTTGATAATTTGATAAGTCATTTTCTGACAACGTTTTCTACGTGCAATTTTGACTTGTGGACAACTCGTTTTCTTTTGGCTTTAATACAAGAATTATCAAAATATACGAGTATGGCAGTATTACTTTCAACTTTCGTCTTTCAAGTTAACGGTTTTGCTAAAGAGGCACTACCTGATTTTATATGCTATTTCATTGGTCTATCAGGAGATGCAGGCTCGGATATTATTTTAAGGGTCATAAACGAGTATATTAAATTGCAAAATAAGACCAAAGAGTTGGTTTCACTTTTTTCGAAGGTAGTGCTTTTAGTAAGAATGGGTGCAAAATCTAAGATTCCAGTATTCGAGAAAATGTATCAAAAAATAGATTTGGAGAGCTTCTATCGGTTGGCTGCGAAAAGCAAACAGTATAAAACTGCTTTGCTTTTCTTTGAAGAATTTTGCAATAGATCTGAAGATCCAAACATTTTGAGCCATGATTCGAAAATATTGTCAGAAATCTACAACTCTATCGACGATGAAGACCTAATATATGGATTACCAGAGAAAACGTCATTGGACTACACGTTATCAATGATATCACGAAGTGCAGATGCACAAGAAAGGGTTCAATATAACAGTGGTCTTTTAGATGCAAGCTTGAGTTTGCGGTCAGGTCCTCCTTACGAGAAAAACATGTTACTGTCCATGCTAGATAACGGTTTTTTGGGAGCTTCGAGGTTACTTAGCAAGGGCTCCGGATATTCAAATAACAAGCAAAATTATGAATGGGCTTGGAAATTGAACAAATGGGATATCTCAATCCCCAAAACTGCTAGAGGAGAGCATGAGCACATATATAAAACTTTAAAGCAAATCCAAGATTATCCTAAACAAGCCCTAGACTTATTTCATTCTTCCCAGTTGGAAATTTTGTTATCCAAAGATGAAATTCCTATGAAGTCCGCCAGTTCAAAGGACTTGAGATCTAATACCTTGGAATGGTTCAAAACTACAGCTGTTTTATCAGGAATAGGAAATATAATAGAAACAGACTTGCAAATAACGAATATTTCGGATTTACAAACCCAGTTCTATAATAAGACTTCATGGTTTGACGACGCTGATTTTGATGTGTCTGAGAACATTTTATTAGCCAGAAGGGTTACCTTTCAGTTATTAACAGAGATGAAAGATACTGACGTGGTTAATTCATTATTTGCAGAGCTGGTTAACGGCCTTGCTTATGAACTTTATCGTTACGGTGCCCTAGCTAGACAATCGAAGGCACTGCAAAAGATGATAGGCTCCACCATTCTATTCAATGAAGCAATTAAAAAATTTCACCTTCAACTACCTGAAGATCTTTCTCAAAGCTTATCTAGTGTATGTACTTATCAATCGGCATGCACTCTCTGGGACCAAGGCAAATCAGTTTCACCAGTTGCAATGTTGAGGGATCTTTTATCCAAGAAACCCATAAACCTCCCTATTCCGATGATGAATATTGACCAAAGACTTATTGCAGCTAAATTAGTTCTGTGGATGTCAGATTCAAGGCAAGACCTGGCTTCTAACATAATGGACAAGTATGTACTTTCAATCACCGACCAGATAGAATCGATGGAGAACGTCCAACAGAAATTGTTAGTTTACCAATTACTAGCCCACTTTTGTGAACAACAATTCAAATCTCATACAACCAGAGAAATGATCTCCAAAATGAATAAAAGGGTCAATGAAAAACATTCCAAACTAGAGGAAATCAAATCACATTTCAGGTCAGTCCCGGTTCCCACAGAGGACAAAGTGTCCATCCAAAAATACTATACAAAATTAAAAAGTGAACTAAACTCTGATCGAGCTGAGCTCAATTCTCTTAATGATAATTCTGATAACTTTAGGAACAAAGCTGTCCAGTTTTATTTAAAATCCATTATCATCAATGATAAATCCGGTGAAGATTTAGATAAATTCATATCGTTTTTCTTGGAGTTTTCTCATGCTGACGAATTGCAAAATCTGTTAGCAGGTGATATTAATCATATTCCGACTTATAAATTGATAGGATGGAGCACACAACTTGTCTCAAGAATATCGGATGAATCAATTAACTTTCAAGGTTTACTTCGGAAACTTATTCTTAAGCTATGCCGAGATCATCCATACCATTCTCTTTATCAACTTTTTTCCATGAAGAAGCATGAAGGCGTTGCCGTCAAAGATTCGAACACTGCTATGGAAGCCAAGACAAACGTCGCTAAGAAAATGCTTCAAGATCTTTATGCCAATGGATCTTCTAAAACATACATCAGTGAAATATTAAATCCTATAGAAAGATTATGCGATGAATCAATTTCCCTAGCCGAGTATAAAGGTTCAAAGGGAAGATCTATCAATTTGAAGAAAGTTTCGATTGGGTCGTATTGGATGGAAAACTTACCTCCAATTCCTCCACCAACCATTAGTTTGCCAATAAGTCATACCGGCTATCGAGACGTTGTTAAAATGAGCTATATGGAACCAACTCTTAGTATTGCAATGTCGGGTCTCAGCTTACCAAAAATTGCAAAATTTAGACTTTCAGATGGAACCATGCACAAATGTCTTTTTAAATCTGGTGCCGATGATCTTCGACAAGACTCCATCATGGAACAAGTTTTTGAAAAAGTCAATGAGATATTTTCGACGGATAAAGAAACAAGAAAACGGCAATTGAAGGTTCGTACATATAAAGCTGTTCCCTTAGGCCCACAAGCGGGTATAATTGAGTTTGTCGCTAATTCGGAAGCATTCATAGAAATCATTAAGCCTTATCATGCAAAAGACTCTTTAAAGATGGATAAGGCACGAAGCATGATGAAAAACTGCCAGAACGGTGGAAAAGGGGAAAGACTTAAAGTATATGAAAGCATCACCAAAAAAATTAAACCTGTTTTCAGGTATTTCTTCTTTGACAATTTCTTAACCCCTGATAAGTGGTTAGCTTGCCGTACCAAATATACCCGAGGAATTGCTACAACTTCTATGGTTGGCTATATATTGGGCTTGGGAGATAGACATTGCAACAATATCTTAATTGATACTAATACTGGTGAGCCAGTGCATATCGACCTAGGGGTTGCATTTGATCAAGGGAAAAGATTACCTATACCTGAAACAGTACCGTTCAGATTAACTCGTGATATTGTTGATGGGTTCGGGGTCACCGAGACTAGAGGAGGGTTCAGTAAATCTTGTGAACATACCTTTAGAGTCTTGAGATCCAACAAAGAACATATATTGGCTATTTTAGATGTTTTACGATGGGATCCCTTATATGCTTGGACAATCTCACCAATAAAAAAGAAGAAATTGCAAGAAGAGACTACTATAGATAGGCGGGTTGCCCCAGAAGACGATGCATCAGAGGCCGGGGTTGCAGTTTCAACTGTTGCAGATAAATTGATTGGGGAAGGCTTGAGTGTAGAAGCAGTTGTGAGAGAGCTAATACAAGAAGCTACAAGCCCAGAGCAATTAGCATTAATTTACTGTGGATGGTCTCCATTCTACTAGTATACTATTTAATCCTTTATACCTTGTAAATAGTTTAATTAGATTATCAGTTTGATCAGTGGAACGTAGTAAAACTTGAGAGACGAACAAACAAACAAAAAAAAAAAGATCTACCAATTTACAGCCAATATCTACGATTCTTTTCAGAAGTACAAGAGGCATTCATTACATTATGTCGCCAAAGCCGACAAGTACTTCAAGAAACTTTAAAGACGGTACTTTTGGACACATACCACTTACAATAATTGAAAAGGCCAGCAAAGAAGTGATCACGAAGAAAAGTGCTTTTCTCAATGTGAATAGACAGAAAGATAAGACAGTGATTGCAGCAATTTGTCAAGAAGGGGTATTTTATGTATGTTTAACGGAAAGTAATATAATTGAACTCAAAGGAAAGAAGCAGACTAAAAAATACAATGATGAAGAGTGGCGAGGAATTGTATATGAGCTACTTTCATTCGAACATGAAGTTGAAGATTTACAAATAGTGGCCGATTTGATTACGGAAAGTGAATACGACAGTAAGAACCACGAGGTTGAGGAAGTGAGTGATTCAGAGATGGTGCTAATAATCCAAACTCGAGCCAAACTACCGGTGAAGCTAGGGGAGATCCCACTTGCGCAAGTGGACGATGAAGAAGAGAAGCTTCCGAAGGAAATCAAACAGGATGTCTTTGAGATATTCAATTGGATGGAAGCTATTTCGGGTCAAAACGATAAATTGAAGGCCATAGTGGATAGAATGGCTAAAAAAGAGAAGAGTTTAGATGAATTAGTTATGCTCAAGACCAAAGAGATTGACGAAATTAGACAAGAGTACGAGGAGATCGTTGAAGATTTACAGGACAAGTTCTACCAGGTATTGAATGCAAAGAAGAGTAGGATATGGGAATTAGAAGGGAGAAATGAAAATGAATTAGAATATTTGAATCAAACTTACATTGAGCAGAATAGGAAAAATTTCAATCACGGAGTAATAAAGAAGGAAGAAATCCCCGATGAAATTGATGAAGCATATAAGCCACCAACCAGAAAACGGAAGCAAAAGGAGGAGAATAGGCCCAAGAGAAGGAAAAAGGAGCCAGTTAAAGAGGATAACGCTACTCAAGAGGACACTGAGTATCTGGCCAATGAAATGGACATTGACGATAGTGAATCCCACAGTAGTGATGAACAGGAAATAGACGAGACCCAATTAGAGCAAAAGCAAGCGGATGAGAAAGATAGGAGTAAAGAAGTTGAGGTTAAACAAGAAGACCATGACATGGTTACAACTGACCGCGAGGGAGAAAAGGAAAGCCTTGACTCCGGGGCAGACACCGACTACAGTGAAGAAGAAGACTAAAATTGAAGCTTTTTTGAAGTATTTTGCTAATTAGTCTGCGGATAATGTTGCGTTAAAGCGTGCATCAACAATAGGGTATAAAAATTTTCAGGGAGCATACAATCTATTGTTAAAGGTTAAAGGTATAGAGAAGAAACATGACAACAAACCGAAATAAGTAGGAGAAACTCTGGCCTGCAAACAATAAAGCAAGTGAATTAGACAGAGTGTTAGCATGAAGAGACTCCAGCACAAGGGTTCTTTCTGGTTGAGTGAAAGACAGAGCAGTTTAATTGTCAGTTTAATTGTGCAGCAATTCTCAATTGACTTTGTGGATTCACCGACTTGAATAGACTTTGATATCCGGCCATACTGACTACTGGCCATACTGACTACTGGCCAACTCGATGTACTGGCTACTATCATTGAACTGACTGAAACTGACTGGACTTAATCCTGTCTGATTGTGCTGACTACTGTCCCCCTGTGCTGACTACTGTCCCACTGTACGCTTCTGCCCAGTGACCCTCCAGTGAGTGGGTTCTACAGTCCTCCACCTCCAACTACATGTAACTCCTGTAGTACAATACCCAATACACCCATCTTATAATAGAGTAGAATAAATGAAAAATTTTTCAGTAACAAAAAAAGAGCAGCGCAGAGATCAAATAAAAAAAGAAAAACCGCTAACAAAACAAAAAAAAATGAAAATTGGCTAAAAAAGAACAGAAAAGAAAAAGTTGAGAGCGCCAACTGAAATAATTTGAAGTTTTTCTGTTAGATCTTCTTCTTCTTCTGCTTTACAAATAATTATATTCTCCCACGCAGAACCGATTTAAATCCATTAAGAGAGACTGAAAGCTTGTTGTATTCAATAGGTTTAACCTCATCACAATTTTCTAGTCTCCTTTCCCTTTTTTTGTTTCATTTTTCCTACTTTTTTTTTTTTGTTCATTTTCTTTCTTTTTTTTCCTTTCTTTAACTTTTACTTGTTTCTTTACTTCTTCTACCAACTAGCCTTGATTCTTTACAAGCTTTTCATAGTTTAGACAGTAAAGATTGTTAAGATTGTTTGTCTTGGTAAGTTATTTGCAAATTTTATTAATTTATTTGGTTGCTTTTTCCATTACCTTGTTTTTTATATATATATTACAAGATATTCATCTTATCCATATCCTCATTTATAAAGGTTAACAAATTAAAAAAAGAAGAAAAAGGGGCTTTTTTCCAATAACGTCGTTTCCCTTTCATTCCAAATCAGTCATTTTTACACTCCATTTTTCATTTCAAGTAAATATTTTTCAAATCATTCTTATATTATAGTTCTTATAATTTGGGCAAAGAAGTTATAGCTTTTTTTCGTTGATTTTTTGTTCTTTCTTTGTATTCTTTTCAGTTTTTTTTTATATTGGTTCCACTGATTCAATCTCATTCTAAACTTTTCCATTTGTTTCTTTTGTTTCTATAAAAAAAAAGTTTTACTTGATCTTTTTATTTCGAAATGTCTTACTACGATCCTTTCCAAGGTATTCCTCAACAATACATGGCCCAGTCATATTACCCACCTCAGTTTTATGCTCAGCAAGGGTCTGATGACCAATTGGTTAATCCAGATGGTATGACTGCATCCATTGATTCAAGGCCTTCTTCTTACGATCAACAATACCCTCAATATCAATCAGAAGCCGGGTTTAATTTCAACGGTGTTGATATGAATGCTCCTAGTGTTAATGCTAACGGTCATCAATTTTATTCTGGTGCTCCAACTGATGAATCTACTTTTTTGGAATCTCAAAATGGTATGGTTAATCCTCATCAACATGGGCTTAATTTAGATGATGTTAATGGATTATCTCAAGTTAATGGTGCTTATCAAGGTCAATATCCTCCAGGTTCCAATGCTGCTCAAGTTAATGGTGGTGCTGGTATTCCAAGTGGTAATTTATCAAATGTTAATTTAATTCCAGGTACTCCAAATGGTCAAAATAATGATATCATTTTTGGTGCTAATGGTACTCCAACCCCTCAACAATCTGGTGGTCAAAATGGCTCGGTGGCTCCTTCTCGTACTGTTTATTTGGGTAATATACCTTCAGATATACAACCAAATGAATTATTAGATTATGTTAGAAGTGGAATTTTAGAAAATGTTAAAATTTTACCTTCTAAAAATTGTGCATTCATTTCTTTTATAGATCAACAATCAGCTTTATTATTCCATTCTGATTGTATCTTGAAAAAATTAAGTATTAAAGGTCATGATATTAGAATTGGTTGGGGTAAAAATACTTCAATTTTGCCAGCTGTTATGGAAGCTATTCAAAGAGATGGTGCCACTAGAAATGTTTATTTAGGTAATTTAAATAATCCAGCAAATGGAGAATTAATTACTGAAGAAGAATTGAGAGAAGATTTATCATGTTATGGAGTTATTGATTGTATTAAAATTATTCCAGAAAAAGGTATTGCTTTTATTCATTTCTTATCAATTTTAAGTGCAATAAGATGTGTTGCTAATTTACCTTTAAAAGAAAAATATTTAGATAAAAAATGTTTTTATGGTAAAGACAGATGTGCATTTATTACTAAAACTCAACAACATAATGCAGCCCAATATTTAGGTTTAGCTCCAGGTATGGAACACATTGTTACTGCTGCAGATCGTGAATTCATTTCAAGTGCTTTAGTCCAACAATCTGCTGCAGCTGCCCAAATTGCTACTCAAGCTGGTGGTGCTAATAATTTAGGTAATAGAACTGTTTATTTGGGTAATTTACATCAAGATTCTTCTGTTGAAGAAATTTGTAATGTTGTTAGAGGTGGTTTATTACAAAGTATTAGATTTTTAAAAGAACGTCATGTTTGTTTTATAACTTTTATTGATCCAATTGCTGCTGCACAGTTTTTCGCCATGTGTCAATTACATGGATTAACTATTCATAATAGAAGAATCAAAGTTGGATGGGGAAAACACAGTGGTCCATTATCTAATGCATTATCATTGGCAGTATCCAATGGTGCTTCAAGAAATATTTATATTGGGAATATAATTGATTTTGAATATTATAATCCAAATAAATTAAGAGATGATTTTACTAAATTTGGTGATATTGAACAAATTAATTATTTAGAAGAAAAAAATTGTGCATTCATTAATTTTGTTAATATTGCAAATGCAATTAAAGCAATTGATGGTATCAAATCTTTTAATGATTATAAAACTTTAAAAATCAATTTTGGTAAAGATAGATGTGGTAATTTACCAAGACAATTTCAAAATCAAAATCAAGGTCAAAATCAAATGAACGGATTTGATTCAAGCTCATTTTCTGATAATGAATTTATGAGTGATGAACAAATTCAACAACTCCAACAAGAAGCTTCTGATGATAATTCAATTGGTGCAATTAATAACGTTGAACAGTAAGTTTGATTTATTTTCTTTTTTTCGGTCATTGACATGTTTTCTTTAAAAATTTTCACTTTTGCTTTTTATTATTCGTTTATGGTGGTCTACTTCTTGATCTAATTATTATTACTATTTTATTATTATATTTTATTATTATTATTATTATTATTATTATTATTATTATTACTACTATTATTATTATTACTATTACTATTATTATTATTATTATTTGCTTTTCACAGTTTTGTTCTGATTCATTTTTCTGATTTATATTTGATGATTTTTTCTTCTTCTCTTCCCTTTGCCATTAGTTTTAATTTGATTATTTTTTCTTTTGGTTTTGATTTTTTCAAACCTTATATATAAATAAATTTAACAATTAACAATTTAAATATCACATTTTAGGTAGTATCTTAATTAATAAAATCATTATTAAGAAAAGTAGGAAAATTGATATCATAACTTTGATTAAAAACCAAATGCTTATTTTACCAGAAGATTTATTCAATAAATAATTATTCAAGTTTACACCAACAACCTTCATCAAACTTTCGTTTTGGTATAAGTTATCTGATGTTTTCGACAACACTTTAGTATCATCAATGATTTTATTCGATAAGCTAAGAGCAGAATTTTTCAATGACGATGCTAAACTAGTTAAATCTTTATATAAATCATCTTGTATAGATTCGTGGTAGTCATTTTGTTGATCATTAGTGGTATAATTGGAGTATGAGTTATCAGAAATAAGTCTTTGACGTAACTCATTCAAGTCTTCTTCTTCATTAAGTAGTGGTTCTTGTAATTGTTGGGGTTCTTCTTTAACCTCAACCAATTGAGTTTTCCGTTCTTTTTTTAAGTGATACTTCGTTATATAAAGTTTTTCATCAATTTCATTTGACAAGCTCACTATAGTATTCCTTAATCTATCGTAATTCTTAAAATTTTTAAAATTATTCAAGTTAATTAATAGGTTAGGCAAGTCATTTTTCAATCGATTTAATTTCAATTGTGATATATATGGAGACCGGACTTCGCTAAAAGTCAGCACGCTTGGTATTTCCAACTGCTTAAGCTCGTGAGTATACTGCTCTAGTATCGACTCGATACTTTTAGGTGATTCTAATGACATATTCGATCTAATAAAGTGCTTCGTTGGAACCATTTGAAATCAAAAAAATACCTTTAGTACCTTTTCGATACGGTAAGCGCACACCACCGGCAAAAAACACACCCATGCACCATATAACACCCATGCACCAGGCTTTTGCAGCCTGGTACACAACTAAAACACATTCTATACAAGTATTCTAGAAGTGAGTTCTGTCATACGATGGTTGCCTTGCTAAAGTTAACCCGAATAGACTCTTAGACGAGTGGGAGGGTCTTGCAGGTTCCGCCCCCATGGATCCGGCTTATAGGGTTTCTCTACCCTAAGTGCAGATGAATTCATTCCTATTACACGCAACTCAAATGAATCACGAATATATACACGTAGAGTCAATATGCGATGACCCAGTAATTTCAACTGTACGAGTCGTTCGGTTATTACAAAACATGTATGCCCCACTACTATCAAACAACGATCTAAGGAAAAAGAATGATCGTGGTTAGCGAAAGAGGCCGCACTAATCTATGAATAGATTCAAAGTACACTGGTCAAACTGGTTCACCAAATACATTCAGAGATCAATCCATTCAACGATAAAGAAGAAGTAGATCAAATTTTTCACTCGCCCGCGCAAGCGCAGTTTTTATTTGCAATGGCGAGCAGACGGTTTTGCGGGTGCGCCACGACCCGCTCCAGTTTCAATTCAAGACAATTATAAACAATCCATTAGCAACCCTGAACACGATCCACTGTACGCGTGCTATAGTCCGCATGCCAGCGTCAAGCACGAGCCAGGTTGCTAGTGGGTGTTTCAGGGTCGGTGGGTGCAGAGGGTGATGTGACTGAGTAAGTGTTCTGGTGGATAACTTACTGAAGGGGATGTAGTTAAAAGTGTTGAAAGCGATCGGTGAGCCGATGTTAGAGTTGATTCCGTTAGGATTTATTTTCTACGCAAAAAGTTAAATATGGATATTATGTTTATGTTTTTGGTTTTGTGGAAATTCCAGTCATTTTTATTTTTATGTTTATTTTTTGTCATATTTATTTTTACATGTTATTATATATACATTATTATTTTTTTTTTTTTTTTATGTTGTTTCTCTGTTATTTTTTTAATTTTTTTCTGATTTTTTTTTTTTTATATTTATATATTTTAGATATTTTTTACTTTTATTATTATTATTTTTTTTTGTTTTTGGGTAACCTCGTCCTTTGTTCTTTTCCTTCTGTCTTTCATTCTTCTTTCATTCTTTTTTCTTTTTTTTTTTTTTTCCATTTTCATTTTGGTTTCGTTTCTATAAAACTTATTGATTCTACTTCTTTATCATTCTTTGCTACTTGATCGAAAGACTCTCGTTAACACCAAGCTTATCGATCAAGATGAAAACTCTATATCTACTTTTCTTCTTACTTTCGCTAACATCAGCAGATTCTTTTCTGAAATTGGGCTGTTACAAATCTTCGGATGTCAAACTGACCTTGGATTATTCTGATGAATATACCTGGCAAACCTCTTCACATTGTGAGTCCCAATGTTCTGGTAAAAGATTGGCTGCTCTTTCGGATGGTAAATACTGCTACTGTGGATCTTCTGATCCTGATAAAAGCGACCAGGTGGATGATGATAAGTGTGACACTCCTTGTCAAGGTTATCCGGATGAAAATTGTGGTGGGGACAACTACTTTTTGATTTATGTTAATTCGGACGCTGATAATGAGTCAAGCTCGAGTTCTAGTTCTAGTTCTAGTTCGAGTTCGAGTTCGAGTTCGAGTTCTTCGAGTTCTAGTTCTTCTAGTTCGAGTCCATCCAGTTCCTCTAGTTCTTCTAGTTCATCCAGCTCCTCGAGTTCCTCCAGTTCATCCAGTTCATCTAGTACATCCAGTTCATCCAGTTCATCTACATCTACATCTACCAAATCCAAAGATATGACTACTCTCGTTTCCACTATCACCTCTGGACCAAGTGGCTCGTCGAGTCAAGCTTCGGTTATTGAAATTACAAAGACTGCTTCGGCCACTGGATCAAGTGACTCTAATACCAACGCCAACAGCAATACCAACTCACACTCTGGCTCTAAAAAATCAATTAGTACCGGGGGTATAGTTGGTGCAGTGATTGGTTCAATCGCTGGTGCTGGTTTATTGGCTGGAGGAGTTTTCTTTTTCCTTTGGCATCGTAAAAATAAAGATGGTAATCTTGATGATAGTCATGATGATGAATTCACTCTTAGTGGGCCAGAAAAGTTTTCATCCGATTATCAAATTAACTCTCATCCATTCAATCATAATTCAAACAACCCAAGTAACGGTAGTGCCGCATTAGGGGCAATGGGAGTGGCAATGGCTCCGTCTGGTGGTGCCCGTAGAACACCAAGTTCAAATCATAATTCTAATAATTCCAATAATCACATCAATCATCATAATCAAAACTCGAGTGATTTCAACCATTCCTACAGTTCTCATCTGAATAATGATGAACCATTTTCTAATTTTGATCATAATGATGATTTCAATTTTAATAGACCAGAAGAATTAGGTAGAAGACGCTTAAGTGATGGCTCATTACCTGATATGATTGCAAGAAATCCAGGCTCTTTGAAAGTGGTTAATTAATACAAGCTCTTTGATTTCTCCGTTTTCCATTTCATTTCATTTCTTACTTTTTAAACTTTATAAAACTATCCTTTTTTAGTACGTTCTTTTTGCTTACGGTGCTTGTGATGGGTCATTACGATTTATGTATTTATACGTCTTCTACTTTAATTCTTGTCATTTACTATATATCTTTCGATAATCTTAATACCATATGATTTATACCTATATTGCTCGTCTCGATATCCTCCGTTGTAATGTTGTTGTTTGGCGCCTTTGTTGCTAGTCGATCTAAAGGCGCAAATTAGATTGTCCTCCACCCGGAAGGAGCACGGGCTCGGCCTTATTTGGCTCGCACTAAAGAATGCTCTCCCCCCAAAGCAGCAAGTGTATTACCACTAAAAGAACTCACCTTGTCTCAGGTACAAGCGAACGCTTTTTTCTTTGTTTATGTTGATTGTCTTGATCTTTCCAGGGGAGTCTTTCCTGATCCCTGATTCTGGACTTGCCTCAAGGCCCTGTTTCGCCCCTCCCCCCCAGCATGTTTTCCATGGTCCTTTTTAGACCCTAGTGGCAGTTCGGGGTTCCTATTTTGTCCTAAGTCGTCTGCTCGACTTTTTCTCGCTGCAAGTGAATTTTGCAAGTGAAATGTGTCGAAGATTTGGATTGCGGGATTCCCGTATTCCGCAGCAGGTTTTTCCTCCGAATGCAGCGTACGTCGTGTTTCCGTCCTTTACATTGGTCTGTACACCAAGTCTGGTTTACGGGTGTGATGAATTTGGAAAAAGAAAAATTGAAAGTTTTTTTGTATATCACGTGCGCGTGTTTTCTTCGCTAGGGCATCCGCCCTGGTTCGCACCGAAGAGAAACCAAAAAAATTTTCTTTTAGTCCTGCCCTGTGATGGTATAGCGAGGGAAAAATTATCACCAAAAATTAATCTGTTAGATTAATATTTCTTCCTTTTCTTACTTCTTACCGATATACTCTAATCAATAATAAGCAAACATGTCTGGTTCAGGTGCTTCCGGTAACAAATTCCGTATGTCTGTATGTACCGTTTCCCCCCATGATGATAATGTGATTAATGAAGTAATGGAGAATGAAAAATTTTGACAAATGAAAAATTGGTCAAAAGTAATGGACTATTGAATCAAATTTTTGAATGGTTATATAATTCATTTCGTTTTTGTTGAAGTTAATCACTTGTTATTTTGAATATTTACTAACCCGATTATATAGTTAGGTTTACCAACTGGTGCCGTTTTAAATTGTTGTGATAACTCTGGTGCTAGAAACTTATACATCTTAGCCGTTAAAGGTTTCGGTGCTAGATTAAACAGATTGCCTGCTGCTTCTGCCGGTGATATGGTTATGGCTACCGTTAAAAAGGGTAAACCAGAATTAAGAAAGAAAGTTATGCCAGCCATTGTTGTTAGACAAGCTAGACCATGGAGAAGAAAGGATGGTATCTACTTATACTTCGAAGATAACGCCGGTGTCATTGTTAATCCAAAGGGTGAAATGAAAGGTTCTGCTATTACTGGTCCAGTCGCTAAAGAATGTGCTGATTTATGGCCTCGTATTGCTTCTAACTCTGGTGTTGTTGTTTAAACAAATTCTCATTGGGGTTTCATTTTAACGTATAATAGGATTTAAAACTTTAATATATACATAAGCTTTAGTTCGTTTTTACATTTTTGTAGATATATGATTGAATTTATTGAAAATATAATGATAATACTTTTGTAAAGAAATGAAATAAAGCTATTAAACTTTGCTTTGATCTTTTGTGGTTCTTTTTTCTTGCAGAAATCACAACCCTGGTGATTATTTAGTTTTATCAATTGATTTTACTTCTTCATTAATAGTTTTACTGTTTAACGTATCAACCTCTCCTTGATTAATTGAACTTTTGGATATATTTCCATCTTGATTAACTACTTGATTATTACCATTAATAATATCTCTGTTTTGAGGTTGATTTTCAATACTCACCAGTGATGGTCTACTAGGCACATTTGATGTTGATGGTTGTATTTGACTGTTGATCGGATATGGTAATTGACCTGGAATATTTTCAGCCGATAAGTACTGTTGTGGGAAATAATTAGCAGTATTGATGGTATATCCTTGATTTTGATTATTGGCTTGTTCTCCATTATTGACTGGTATATATTGTCTCTGAGGTGCTTGTGCTGGTGATGTTTGGAAAAATTGTGGTTGGGGTTGAATACTTGGACTAATTGTATAGAATTGTTGTTGAACCGGATCATAAAATTGCTGAGGATGAGTTTGTTGATTCTCATTATTATGATTTATATAATATTGATAACTCTGTGCTGTTGGGATATAGCCTTGTTGTGGTTGATTTGGTTGAATTTGAACAGCTATACCACCCATTTGAGGTATACTCTTACTTTGTTCTAATGCTGGTTGTTGCTGATGGTGTTGTTGTGGTGTATCTTGTTGTGTGCGTTGCTGTTGTGGATGGTGTTGCTGATGTTGTTGTTGTTGTTGTTGCTGCTGATATTCACTATAAGTCTCAACTGGTGTTATGATAGTACCATCACTATTAATCATATTAGCTAATCGTGGACTATTATTGTTATTTCTTTGAGAAAATGTAGAAGATAAACGATTATTTGCAGCCGTTGATGAACTTTGAGAAACAGGCCTTGACCTATAGCCGTTATTTGTGGTTGCACTATTTAAAACATTGGAATGATTACCATATTGTTTTGGAGTCAAAGCGTTATTTGGTATCCTAGAATTAATAGTAGTACCACTTTTAATGGATTTGGCATTAGTACTACTTGAAACTATACTTGAGTTTCTAGAAATTTTTTTAACATTCTTAAAATTTTTTGAAACATATCTTGCTCTTGCAGCAGGAGTAGATAAATTAGTTAAAGCTTTAATGTCATTATACCAGTCAATCATTTGTTTATAAGTATCAGTTCTGAAAACCAAATTATGACCTTTTGAAATAATACCACCAGGGGACTTAGTATAAACAACAAATTTATAAAGACCATTTGATTTACCATCATCTTTTGAATGTTCACTAACATGACATTGGTCTAACAGTAAAGACAAAGCAGGAATTTGATCTTTTTTACGATCAGGAGTTTTAAATTCATGTAAGAAGTTACAGGTTAAAACGTAATAACCACTTGAATAAGATTTAAGAAATTTCGATCTTCTTTCCAACCAGCCTTCTCTCAAAGCAATATTTAAAGGAGAATCAATTTCAGGAATTGATAAATCAGAAATTTTTCTTGAACCAAATGATAAATCAATAAAAGTACCATTTTTAACATTTGAGTTATTATGGCTAACTGCACTTAAAGAAATTGACGGAGAAGGTAAATTTTTAGAAATGAAAGAATCCCATTCGAAATTTGATTCTTTTGTTAAAAATCCATTTGACAAATTTGGAACTAAGAAATTTGGAATTGTTAAATGTTCATTATTTATCAATTCTAAAAACATTTTTAAGTAATTTTGAATTTCAATAACTATAATTGATTCCAATTTCCCACCAGCGCTTTGTAAATTATTATAAGCTTCATATAAATAGTTTTCTTCCAGTAACTGACGTTTTAATTGACGATCTAATTTCAACTTAACCAAATAAGGATCAAATTTCGAAATGTCATGTTCATTAGCGGAAGAAGAGGGAGAAGTACCATGTTCCAACTTATTTGATAATTCAATTGCATTTGTATATGAGTTCAATAAATTTTTGGTTTCATTGATCTCTTTACCTAAAGAATTTTTAAAATCATTTTGTAAATTTTTAATTTCTTTAATTTTAACTAGTAAATCTTTTCTTAATTCATCTAATTTTGGTATAATGATTTGATTAATTTCTTTTAAAGTCTTAGAAGAATTAGTTACATTCTGTTGATGAAATCTAGTTAAAATATTTGGCAAATCTTGAATAGATCCATTACCAATCGGTAAAAAAAACTTATTTATGGCATTTATATCATCTTTATGACTAGAATTATGATTAGAAGAATGATGATTACCATGACTAGGTGCATTATTTGAATTAGACGCTCCTGAGTTACCAGAAGATATTCCAACTGCTTGCTGTAGTCTCAACTGTTGCCTCACAATTTCTTCCTGAACGTTGGCATATTCTTTTAAATAATTGACCAAATCTTTAATAATCGATCTCCAAGCTTGAAATCGAAGTGCCAACACCTCAGTTGGATAATCTTGAAGATTATTGAAGTTATAAGGTAGAATAACCGCTAGAGGGTTACTAAAATCTGAATTCATCTTGCAATTGTTTTAAACTTTTGCAATTACCGGTTCAACTGGACTTCACTAAATCCTTTCTTCGAGACCAATTTTTATTGTGTGGCCTCTTCTACCAATACTTAAGTACTATCCTAACCTCCTTAAAGAACCAAATTTGTCCAATTCAAGTAATCTAACAGAAAAGAAACAACAGGCAGACTGGCTTTTAAATTTTTCTGTCTAATTTTTTGATTATTTATTTGGGTTTTGGGTTTTTCGGGATTGCTTTTTTGTTAGTATTTTTGATTTTTTCTCTTTTATGTCCTTTCGTTTTTATGTTTTGCTAAGCTTCAATTAGTCAATGGTGGAGTGGAAGCTTTAGCTTTTTCGACAAGTTAACCAAAGGCTCGAAATAAACGAAAAGTTTAAACGTAACGTAAGCAGTTTGAATAAGTAGGGAAAAAAAAGGTGATTAATTTAAGAAACCTCGGGGAAGGCAAGGGGGATTAAAATTGAACACGGGCCGTTTGCGAGAAACCGGGGGTGGGAAAATAGAAAAGAAGCAGTAATTGCAAGAGATTAAGAACTGGAGTCGGTGATATATAGGTGTCAAGTAGAATTTCAGTAGAAAATAGTATGCTGGTGGAAACGTACAAAAAAGAAGTGTGAAAAGAAAATAAAGAAAATAGAATGAATTAGTCCCAGATTCTTGGAAGTGAGTGTGAATGCAAGTATGGTTCTGTGATAAGAAGGTACCCAGCCTGTTTTAAGAAATTCTGCTAATGACTAGTTTCAGCCCTTTTAGTTTACTTAGGCTAATTACCTTTACAGTAACAAAGAGTTACACGGTTGGCAAGCTAAGTAAATAATTAGAACCCTTTATGGTTTTAGACGTTTACATACGGGCCATTGACCGGTTTGTTTTGCTTATTCTTTTGTCTTCCCAATGGCTTATATATGCTTCTAGAAGTATATATACTAAAGTGACCATTTCCCTATGATTCGTTCAACTGGTCATTATACCCATTGGGTATACCTAACTCGTCAAGGTTATCCACCACCATTTTCCCAGAATTCAAAGTGAAATTCGAAATGGGATACTTTTTCGTGTAACATTTGGCTGGCTGGTTGTTTCTCCTGTCTATTTTAGCGAGTTTCACCATCTTCATCTTCTACTAAAACTCGTCTCCTCGTTATAACCAATTCTGCATTCTATACATGGAACAAGTCAGTCTAGGATCTTGTATTGGCCTTGTTTGGTTATAACCTGGTGCCTGCCTAAAAGGGTATGGTTATTAGTTGCGTCGTGCTAAAAATACCCCCTCGGAATATATCTTGTCACGTGCTTTTCTGGGATCCGGTGGGACGTGTACCGGTGGCGGTGATTTTTCAACTTTTAAGGAACGATATCAGAAGAGAATAATCGATTTGATCAGATTTAAACCCTAATTCATAGGATACGAGGTTATGCCTAACCAAGGCTATATCATAAACATATCTTCCGATGAAGAAGATGACGACGATACTGCGGTTGAGATCCTAGAGTTTCGTAATGCTACTACGAATCTATTAAATAATCCTCAGTCGAATAACTTACCCAAAGTTGTCAAGAGATTAAACGATGTGGAATGTCCCATCTGCTTTGATCAAGTTGATAATGCTACGGTGACCAGTTGTGGGCATATCTTTTGTTTGGACTGTATTCAGCAATCGATCTCAAGCTCTTCGGCAAGAGGCCAAACAAGAGGTAAAAAGGGAGTTGGCTTATGTCCTTTATGTAGAGAAAAAGTCATTTTCAAAAATACTACTTTATTGAGAATTAAAACTGGACCTAAAGTTCAGGCTCCTGACCTAAATGAAGATGGAGAGAGGAAAAACGTTTGAGTGAAAGAAGGGGTTACTCTTGTGCTTACTCGGTTATGATATTCGCTTCTGTTGAAACGATTAAGTGACCGTTAGCAATAGCTAATTGATAATTAGTAGCTTTCACTTGCCGAGTTTATGATAATACGAAAGCTGTTTAGGAAATAGCTCTGTTTCAAGGAAATGCAAAAAAGTGCTTACGACCTCCACAGTAGATCAGAGTTCTCGCTGCACTATAAAGCATAATTTATCAATTATTAGCATAATGTGTCGAAGATGTATCGATTATTAGCATGTATTCATTAGTAAATAGTTTAATGGACCAATAAGTCAAACTATAAGAGTGTAAATCTAATACATGTAGAGAAAATGGGAATGTTTTTTACAAAATTCTCACAAACATTTTACAAAAATTGCAAAAAACCATACAAACTTGTTTTAAATTTTTTATTTATATTGATTTAACTAAAAATACATGCATTAAAGATGAACGAAACTAATCTATAGATATAACCCTTCAAGATTTTCTTCAACTTTATTTTTCAATACTCTTTCTTTGGCAGCTTTGAAATCATCCGCTTTAACTTGCATTCTTCTTTCTCTTAATGCCAATAAACCAGCTTCAGTACACATGGCTTTAATGTCTGCACCTGATAAATCATCTTTTGAAGTGACCAATTCCTCTAAGTTAACATCAGAAGACAAGTTCATTTTCGATGTATGAATAGTTAAAATTTTTCTTTTAGTATTTGAGTCAGGATTTTCAAATAAAATTTTACGATCAATTCTACCAGGTCTAATTAATGCAGGATCCAAAGATTCCATTTTATTGGTGGCCATAATAACTTTGATATCACCACGATCATCAAAACCATCTAATTGATTTAATAATTCCAACATAGTTCTTTGAATTTCACGTTCACCACCAGAACTACTTTCATATCTTTTACTACCGATTGCATCAATTTCGTCAATGAAAACAATTGATGGAGCATGTTCAGCAGCAATTTGGAAAATTTGTCTACATAACCTTGGACCATCACCCAAATATTTTTGAATTAATTCTGACCCAACTATTCTTAAGAAAGTTGCACTTGTTTGATTAGCAACAGCTTTTGCCAATAAAGTTTTACCAGTACCTGGAGCACCATATAATATAACCCCTTTAGGTGGTTTAATCCCCATTTCTTCATATAATTCTGGATGAGTTAAAGGTAATTCAACAGCTTCTTTTATTTCTTGAATTTGACTTTCTAACCCACCAATATCTGCATACGATTCAGTTGGTGATTTATCTAATTTCATGACCGAAACCATTGGATCGGCATCATCTTGTAATACCCCAACTATGGCAACTGATTTATGATGTAAAAGTACCGAACAACTTGGCTCTAATAATCCTTTATCGACAAATGACATTATGGATACATAATATTCACTACCTGCTGTACTTGAAACAATTGCATGATCATCATCAATAATTTCTTCCAAAGTACCAATTGACATTGGATATCCTCTTAATTCATCAACTTTTTCACGTTCTTCCGCTTGTTTTGCTTCAGTTGGTTGGAAAGTTTCTTGATTAGATACGAATTCTTCTTCTAATAATAAATGATCTTTGATTCTTTCTAATTTTAATAACTTTAATTTACATCTAGTATTTGGATAAACGCTTGGTAATTTAACTGCAGTATCTGGTCCCTTTCTTCTCTTCTTACCAAACTTGGATTCCACTGGTGGTTCGTACTTTGGCTTTTCTTTCTTTTTATCATCTTTCTTTTTATTAAAGCCATCTCCTGGCATTCCTGATGGTGCTTGACCCTAAATGATAATGTTAGTTACTACTCGTCGATGAATTCAGAGCTCCTGCAAAACATACCATATCTTAATACAACTTATATGACTGTTTTATATTAGTATACGGATTCGAATCCTCAAACAATTGATAGCTTATCCTTAAAGAAGTGATTGAATCTCTTTATATCAACTATCAAATCGCCACCCGAGCGGGTTCACTGTAAATTTTCAAATCGCACACTGAAGAAAATGGGCGGGACACGCACTTGTCTTTTTAGCAATCAGCTAGCTGCAATTATCTTATTACTACAAAGATATATAACTAGGGCATACTCTGGTTAATTAAGTATGACTATAGAACACGCTTTTAGTCCTTACATGCGTCATCGATAGATGGTAGATATAAATAGTAGATGCAAATCTATTTAAGCCAACTTAACGGTTAGCAATGTCAACGTTACCGTGAGTTTGAATCAATTGCACTAATTTAGGAGGATTTGCCCCAATGATCTTATCGATTTTTTCACCTCCTTTGAAGAAAAGACATGTTGGCATGGCAGAAATACCGTATTCTTGTGCAATGTCTTGCGCTTCATCAACATCAACTCTACCAAATTGAACTTCGGGTACTCTTTGGGCCAACGCATTGAAGATTGGTTCCAATGCCTTACATGGACCACACCAGGTAGCGTAGAAGTCTATCACTGAAACTTTTTCATTAGAATCAACAAATTTAGTAAACTGTTTCAAGTCCTGGAGCTCTTGAACAAGGCTTTCGGATTTAGAGTATTGACGAATACCAACTGGTGAAACCCTTGGAATTCTGACGCTCTTCAATAAACTGGATTGTCTGAGCAATTGAGATGGGGAGCCTAAACGAAACATATTGGTACTCCTAGAATTGAACACCGGGAAGCAAATAGCAGAGAAAGCAATTAAGTCCCAAACTGCCTTTTCCTTCAAGTATGAGTAATTTTTTTTTTTCAATTTCCGGAAATATACACCCGTACACCCATCACGTGATACGACCAATCCGAGATGCAGCCCATCTCTTCGCTTTGAATTTTTTTTTTCTAATTTTTCAGTCTAAAAGTGAATAGTCTTCTTATCAACTAAACGATAACTTTAGATATAATGGCACCTTCCGCTAAGAGCTCCAAGCGTAGTGCTCCGGCAGCAACAGCCCCATCCAAGAAGGTCAAGACCAACGGTAAGAAGCAAGCTCCAGTTGAAAGCGAAAGCGAAGTCTCTAGTGATTCAAGTGATATTTCTGATTCCTCTCAAGATGAATTAGATAGTGAAGAAGATGAATTAGATGATATGGAAGTTGACAGAAAAGACGAGGAATCCGAAGAAGATGAACTCGATGACCTTGATGAAGAAAAGAGTAATCAAGACGAAGAAGGCTCCGGAGACGAAGACGAAGAAAAGACTGTTAGCAAAGAAGTTGATCCAAATAAAAAATCATCAGCAGAACAACACGCAGAACAACGTAAGTTACTTGCTGATCGTAAGTTAAAGAGAAAGTCAGGTAACGAAGTTCAGCAAATCAAGAGCTTATGGGAAAAATTGAGAGTTAAAAAACCAGCTCCTCCAAAAGTTGTTCGTGACAAATTAAGTAATGAAATCTGGGAATTAGCAAAAGATGTTATCCTTGACTTAGTTATGAAACACGATGCTTCTCGTGTTGTTCAAACCTTGGTCAAATTTTCTTCCAGAGAAAAAAGAGAGATAATAACTAAAGAATTAAAGGGTAATTTCTATCAATTGGCAACTTCTTCTTACGGTAAATACTTATTGGTTAAATTATTGCATTATGGTTCGAAAGAAAGTCGTGCTCTTATTGTCGATGAACTTCATGGTAAATTACGTAAGTTAATGAGACATAAAGAAGGTGCATATGTTGTTGAAGATTTATATGTTTTATATTCTAGTGCTGAACAGAAACACCAAATGATTAGAGAATTTTGGGGTGCAGAATACGCCGTCTTCAAAGACTCTGGTAAAGGTAAATCTGTTGTTGATATAACCAAAGAATCTGCTGAAAAGAAACAATTAATCACTACTAACTTATATGGTACTATCAGTGCCTCAGTTGAAAAAGGTTCAACTGGTTTCCAAATTTTGCATGCAGCCATGAAAGAATATACCGATATTTTAATTGATGATATCGAAGCTAATGAACCAAAAATTAGAGAATTCATTGAATTATTAAATGAACAATTTGCTGAATTGGTTCATACTCAAGAAGGTTCTGAAGTTGCTTGTACTTTATTAGCTCTCGCTACTGCTAAAGAACGTAAAGTTATTATCAGATCTTTAAAAAATCATATCAAAGAATTAGTCAAAAATGAACATGGTAATTTGGTTTTGATTACCTTATACATTACCGTCGATGATACTGTTTTAGTACATAAATCTTTGAATGTTGAGGCTTTTGATGATGAATCAATTCCTTCCATAATCAGTGACAAATTTGCTCGTAGACCTTTAATATATTTAATGAAGGGACTTGATGGGAAATATTTCAATCCAAAAGTTAAAAAAGATTTAGAAAAATATGAAAAATTGGCCTATGCTAAAACTTCTAAAAAACCAAAAGACCAAAAAAGAGAAGAATTATTATCCAAAGCATTACCATTAATTTATAAAAGTATATTAGCAACTACAAATACTGAAGACATTGATAATAGATTTGACAAACTTATTTCCGTTAACATTGCTTCTCAATTCATAACCGAATTAATTTTAACTCCTACTGATGATGATAGTATAAACGAAATGAAAAAACAATTATTGGATTCTATTTTTGATGTTTGTATCAAAGGTGATGTTTTGGAAGATTACCATATCATCAATAAGACTCCTTTCGTTGCAAGAGCATTAAAATCATTGATTCAAGGTGATCAATTCAAATGGGATTTCGAATCCAAAAAACTTAAAGTTACTAACAAGAATAATATTCCCGGTGTCGGTGTCGAATTTGCTTCTAAAATTGCAAATGAAATAATGGAAAACAATAAGTTAGCTGATTGGGTTAGCGGTTCAGGCTCTTTCGTTATTGTAGCCGTTTTCGAAGTTTTACAAATTAGTAAATCCCCTGAATTCAAAAAACTTGAAAAAGAGTTGAAAAAGAACAAGAAAACATTGCAAGCTGATACTGACAATAAGGGGGCTCAACTTTTATTAAAAATCTTGGGTTAAATCAGATGACTTATATGTAAATTAGATAAATTTTTCTTTATTAAATAAATAAGAGTTAATGCATTAGTATGAAAATGTATTTAATGTAAGAATAATCTCACATATCCAATCCTTCATCCATATCGTCTTCCTCGTCTTCCTCTTCCAAATCCTCGTCTTCGTCATATTCCTGACCATCACTATAATCCCTATCTTCACGTTCATTATCTCCAGATGTCCCTTCTTTCTCATTTAAGTCATTTTCATCTGAATCATCCTCCTCTTCTACCACATCTTCGTAATCAACTATGATTGCGTCATTATCTATATCATTTTCATTAGTTCCATATTCTTCAAACCATTGCAACTTTATTCCACAACGAAGGCACCTTTCTGAATTTTCATCGCCGTTGTCTTTTGCATTGAATTTGGTTGCTAAACAAACGTAGCAAAATATATGCCCACAATTAGTTACGTAGGGATTTGTGACAAGACATAAAGAGTCTGATTTACGATCACTCTTCTGGTTGTTCAAATGACAAATAGCACACTGACTGATAGGCAAGTGCGAGAATGGTGTCACTACTGGTGTAAGACCAGAAGATTGATCAAAGCTATTTGCACCCTTCTTATAGGGAGATAATAGTTTCTGGGTCATTCTTTGTAGTTTCCTCAATCTCAATAAAGGTAATATGAATACTAAAAATTCAGTCATGACGTTCCAAACAAGCTGTCTGTTTTGAAATTCAAAATTAACATTATCACCATTGAACTTCAATAAATCGGAGACAACTGGAGTTAGTGATATTCCTAGAACTCTATGTAACAATGAAGGGAATCTTCCACTTATCAAGAACAAAGTAAAGTTCACTAAGTTCAATAATTTTATAGAATTGTTAATTTTGGATAAAATATTGAGTCTGTTTCTGAAAAAAAACTGCTTTATTGAATCGATTGTTGCCTTGGAATCCCTCCGTGGGGGTCTTTCTAAAGAATACAAATACGATTCGGCTTTCTTAAACAAATATTTCCCGATTATGAAGGCTAATAATAGAGATCTCTTAGAATATCCAATCTTATTACCTGACTTGAAATCAGTGAGTTTCAAATTTTGAAGTGAAAGACCATACGAAGAGCCCGATTTCCATACTGTAAGCCTAAACACTAGTAGATCTAGTAGAAGGTCCCACAACTCTGGATGTTGATTATAGCTCCACCATCTTGATGATTGTAGCTGAAAAACCGATGAAAGCTGTTGGGATAAAAGCGAAACTAATTCACCATCTAAAATAGTTGCATCCAACTGCGAAACCCTTGGAGCAGGGTATGATATTGGAATCATTTCGGTGATGTATTCAATGGTGTATCAAGCGTATAGTAAGCTTATTTGGCGAAATGATGTTTTTCTCCACAAGGAAAATCTACGCACTTTAAAAAAAAAGATAGAGGAACGAAAGCCTCGGGACTGAACTCTAGATTTTTTACAGCCATCTACAACTAAACCGAACAATTTGAATTGTCATTAAATTAAAATAGGTCGTGAAGGGATTGTATATACTCTATAAAAATAGTTTCAATCGGATTGATGCAAGGGGAATATTTCAAAGTTTAGATATAATCTCAGACACAAATTCTCCAACCAAGACTGAGCTTTCTCCAGAGATTAATGTAGATAGCGTATGCTTAATAGTTTCTGGCATGGAAGAATTGGTGAAGTGCTCTAACTTTCTGCCTGTTGATACGAATATACTCAAGATTCTAAGCAAAGATAATTGAACAACTGGTTTGTTGTGGTAGGATCTCAACTTAGTAAGGATATTGTTAACGATAATTTCTTTATTCATATTCTTACGAAGGAGTTTGTTAGTGGTGAGGAGTTTTAAATAAATTTCCAAAGTGGCTTCAAGGTTGGAAACTTTTGTTAATAAAAATCCTGAAATAAGACAGTCCAAAGCTATCGGAGAGTCAAGTTTAATTGATTGAGGTTTTTGTTGATTCCAGTGTAAAATTGAATCTAAAGCATTTGCTTGCCAATAAGGGTCCGTGACTAGATTGAAATATACAGAAAGTATATCGTGTTTTTCTAAGACTTCTCTAACCAGTCCGTCACAGTAGACCAACTCACATAATATAGGTAAGACAAATTGCTTGAATTCAAGATCAACTTTTGATAATCTCTTGAGTATTGGGACGGCCCCAAGTTTTACCAATTCAATTTCTCTCGCATGATTCAAGTAACAGCAATTGAATAGACAAGGACAGATTGTATTGACCACTTCTTTATAGTGCTTATTTGGTGGTTCAAATTCTTTTAAATTAATGACGAGAAATTCTAAAATATCAGCACTGTACAATGTTTTCAACAAGCTTGGGATACATGACATTGAACGGAAAAATTTTAAAATTGATAATTGTGCTTGGAAATTCAATTTGGAATATACTTTAATTAAAAGTTTGTAAAGATCAGTACTTGAAATATTAACTCTCACTCTTGCTTCTGCATTACTAAATGATTTAATGATTTCAATTATTTTATCGATATAACTATCAACTTGAGCTTGATTCAATTTAGTTTCGTCTGTTTCATGGAATTTGGTTAGCCTATTGAGGAGAACAACAAACCAAAATATAACACCATATTTGGATAACATACGGCAGATGTCCGATTTAAATCTTGTAAGGTCTCTGGATAAAACATCATGTATACAATCAATTGCTACCAATGGGAAGTCGGGCGTGTAATCGAAGTCTTCTTCTGCAAATTTAGATAATACTCTAAGACCACCCGAAGACACAAACATTGATAATGCTCTCTCAGAGTTTTTAAATAATCTTATAAATTTTACCACTTGTAAGCGAACATGGATATCATACGAGTTGTTTCTGAATTGGGTTATTATAGGAATACCACCTAAAAGACAAAAATTATCGAATTGAGCCACATTATTTTCGAATATATAATTCAAGATAAATATTGAATGATACCATAATTTCTGGTGTTTGACCAATTCTGATGCATTTTCTAATAATTCAAGTAGGGTTAAAATTCCATGATCTCTTATAACAACATCGTGCAGAATTGGATACTTTTTAACTAAATGAAGCATTCTTCCAGTGATTTTAATCAATGAAGTAGCCGCCTGGTCATCACCAGAGTGAGAATTGTCAAGCTTTGAAGAGAACTTATTTATTAAAAATTCCATTTTATTTTGAATTTCGATTTCATTAGTATCAAAGTTTTCAATATCAAGTTCTAAGAAAGGATCATCTTCTTCTATATTATCTTGAGAATGATCTTCAGCATTAGGTAAAAGATCTCCATTAATAACTAATTTACTGTTATCGTTTTCGAAATCAAGATCTTCATTGTTATCTGAAAATTTATTCAATATATCCTTCTTGGAAGCTTTTTGAGGTTCCAACAAGCCAGGTTCTCTTGTCTGAGGAGTTTCAGAAACATTTCGGGAATGGACTGACGGGAAGGAATAAGCTGGTGGTTTAAGTTGAGAGACTTTTAGATCAGCAAAATCAACATCCCAATTTTCATCATTAGTTTCAGAATAGCTTTTGATTGGTTTTAAATCTTTTTTCAATTCGGTGATTTCAGCCGATAATCTATTCTTGGATATAGGGGAAATTTTGGAGGAATTTTGATTTTGATTCAACCATTTATGTTTCAATAATAATTTGGCATTTGTTCTAAGATTTGGTTGTTTTTGAAAACATTCCAATAAGAAGTCTTTAGCCAAGTAAGATAAGTGTTTAGGAAGAGGTGGATGATCATCAGTACCAATTGCATGTAAGGTGGCCATTGGATTTAAATCGTGATAAGGAGGTTTAGTAGTGAATAATTCAATAATGGTAGCACCAAGAGACCAAATATCTGAAGCAGTACATAATCCATCACCACCCAAGACAGTTTCAGGAGCCATCCAGTTGGGTGTCCCAACAACCGTATGATGCTGAGAAGAGACCTTTGTAGCAACTCCAAAATCCGCCAATTTTATATCACCATCTTTTGTTATCAAAACATTTGCAGCTTTTACATCTCTATGAACAACCCCTTGTTCATGTAAGTAATTAAGACCATGCAAGATCAGTTCAACATATTTAATAATTTCGGATTCAGGAATACCAGTATTTGTTTTTTTGTACAATTGTCTTAAGGAGCCACCAGAACAATATTCTAATAAAACGTTCAAAGAAGTTGGGGTTTTAACAAAACCATGATATTTAACAATATTTGGATGCTTTAAAATTTTCAATAAATCAATCTCACCCATTAATTCTTTAAAATCTTGATCTCTTTCCAATTCGATTTGCTTGATTGCAACTACTTGATTAGTTTTTAGATTTATGCCTTTATAGACATTAGCAAAAGCACCTTTCCCAACTAAATTTAAAAATTCAAAATTATCTAGGATGCTATTCATCCTTAATCCAGATATTTTCTCTACCCTCTGAGCAGGAGTTAGCGATACGTTTACTAAAGGTTTTCTTTCGTTATTTTTCGGAGTATTACCAATATTACTGGAAGATGGACGCAAAGGACCAGAACTTGGCTTTGGTGTGATATTCAAGCCATTATCATTATGAGTGCCTTGAGTTTGATCATTATTATAACTTGAGTTAAGAGTAAAATCAGAATCGGGATTTTTACGAACTTTATAATGTTTAACATCTTGTAAAATTTCTTGAGGACTATTGATCGGGTTATCAATGAAAGGAGATTCATTTTCGTCATTAAAGGATAGTTCACCAATTGGGTAAATATTTTCATTAGCATTAAAATTAGAAGAGGAAGACATTGATTTATTACCACGATGTCTTATAGGAGGTCTTTCTATTTGGCTTACATTATTTTCACTTTTAGATCTTCTATGAGGGATATAAGGTATTTCTTCTTCAACTTCTAAATCTGAAATTCTCGACTTCATTTTCTTGATGAAGGGTGAGCTACTCAATGATGAATTCTTGGGTTTAGGCTTTATATTAACTGAAGATCCAGCACTTGAACCCGAACTAGAAGTCGTTCTCGAGCCGGAATTCGAGCCTGAATTAGTACCATACTCAGATCCAGAGGCCGAATTTATATCCATATTCATCTTGGGGGGTTTAATAAATGAAATCCCGGATATATTTGAAAATTTAGAGTAGGATAAATTTAATTCATCGTTGTCTTCCAATTCAAAATCATTCGCATAACTGGGGCCCTCATTGATTTCCATATACTTGAGTAGTTTGTTAGTCTTGGAAGGCGACTTGGACCTCGAATTGGGAACGTTCCCTGCAGTATTTGATCTTGGTCTATAGTTATGATGATCTTGAGTATACGAAACATCGCCAATAGACCTTGGTCGTTGGAGAGAAGTTTTGGGATTATGCTGCATTTTGAAATTAAAGCTTATTCAGCATGACTTGTAAGAGCCTTCGTGGAATACACTTCAGCAAGCTCGTTAAGTTCCTTCACTGGAATTGGGCTAACTTCATAGAAGTAATTGTTTGTTTTGATGTTTCCTTCTATTTGTTTGTGTTTTTGCATTTCTCGCTTAATTTTTTTTTTTTTTTTTGTTAATATCGAAGCACAATTAAAGATATAACAGCTGGGAACACAATAACCTTACAGTGAAGTATGCTAATATAAGAGTCAAATTGCTATATACTACATAAGAATCTAGAGCTGTTTATTTGTCTTTTTTTTTCTTTTCCAAATACCACATAAGAATCTAGAGCTTTGGCTCAGCTACCTTGGTCAACAATTTACCAGGACCTTTATCACTGGTGAAAAGCATCCCCCAGCTCTGAGGAACCTTTGTAAATTGATCTTTGGTCTTGGATAAGTCGACTACGGTGACGGTTGACTGGTTGATTTGGATTTTACCTTCTTTATACCACTGTAAGATATCTGTAATTGCCCTTTGGAATTGTTTTTCATAATCAAGAACAATGAAACCTTTAACATTCAATCGTTTAACAATGATGTGAGACCAATTGGATATTTTTGATTTTTCCAAATCATTATAACCAGAAATTGCTCCACAAGCGATACAGGTACCAAAGTTTTTGAGACAGCCCAAACCCAAATCCAAGATTCTTCCACCAACACCATCGAAAAAGTAATCAAACTTGTCTTTACCCAAAACAGTGGCCAAGTTTTTAGTGAAATTTGCATCTTTATAGTTGAGACATTTATCAGCACCCAAAGATTCAACAAACTTACATTTGTCATCTCCACCGGAGATCCCAATGACTTTTTTACAACCAATGACTTTCTTCGCCATTTGAACAACCATGGAACCAGTGGCACCACTAGCGGCAGAAACCAAAATAGTATCGGTTGCTTTCAAATTGACAACTTTGAATAAACCAAAATAAGCAGTTAGTCCAGTGACCCCCAATACATCCAAATACATGGTCAAGGGGATACTGGTATCCTCGATTTTATGAGTAGCCAAGTAATCTGGAATAACACAATAATCGAACCATTTGAGAGTTGCATTGATTATATCTCCCTTTTTGAATTTGGGGGATTTAGAGTCTACCACAACACCCAATGCTGAAGATCTCATTTGATCACCTTCCCTCACTGGCTCGACATACAAATTCTCTCTTTTGATACCTTTCTGAATCCAGACTCTTTGGGTTGGATCGTTGGACAAATATAATGTTTTAACGAGTAATTCTCCCTTTTTCAATTCATGAATTGGTCTTTCCACTAATTTAAACGTAGCATCTTCAGCTTCAAGATTGAAGTTGAGATCTTTGGTTGGTGCTTTGTGAAGAACAAATCCACTAGAGCTAGTTATCTTTGACATGGTTAAAGAATAAAAGTAAAGAAGTAGGAAAAGTTAATGTGGAGTAAAGTATTTCAGGTTTTGTCTTTGCTGGAGATAACCAGAATTATGTCCGACACACCCAAAAATTAAGGTTACAAACAACAATGGCAATACCGAAAAATTAGATTGAAATATGCACAAGTTTTACATTACTATTTTACTTATTAAGTTATTAAATTAATGTTATATATTTATACAAGAAATGCTTATTCATCAGCGAGTTTAGTAAGTAATTTACCGTTTGGTTTATTAGAAGCAAATAATTGGTACCAAATTTCAGGAATTTTTTCTAATTGTAAGCCGTCAGAAAGGTCATTAACGTTATAACCTTCAGTAGCCTTGATTGAGCCAGATTTGACCCCTTGGACAATGGCACCAATGGCTTGAGGGAATTTATCTTTGAAATCACTAACAATGAAACCTTGAACACGTAATCTGTTAACGATAATTTCGGACCAAGAAGTGACTGCGTTTTTAGAAGAATCGTTATAACCAGCGATGGAACCACAAGCAATAACGACACCGAAACTTTTGATTTTCTTCAAGACAAAACTCAACATGTCACCACCAACGTTATCATAGTAGGCATCAACGTAATCGTTACCAATGTAATCACTTAATTGTTGTTTCCAGTCTTCATCATGATAATCAACGGTGAAATCAGCACCTAAAGATTCAACGTATTTACCCTTTTCTTTTGAACCGGTAATACCAATGACCTTACCGGCTTTCAAAAGATGTTTGGCAATTTGAACAACCATGGAACCAGTGGCACCACTAGCAGCGGAAACAATTATGGTTTGACCTTCTTTAAATTGACCAACTTCGGTTAAACCAAAGTATGCAGTTAACCCAGTCATACCAAGACTACTCATGAAAGTTGGAATTGGAAGACCAGAAGAAGTATCAACCTTATTCCAGATAGCTTGTTCATGAACAATGGCGTAATCGGACCAATGTAAAGCACCAGAAACTAAATCGCCTTTAGAGAATTTATCTGATTTTGATTCAATTACTTTACCAACTGCTAATGAACGCATTGGTTCACCTTCTTTAACTGGTGGAACGTACATTCTTGAAGCATCAAGACCTTTTTGAATCCAAACTCTTTGAGTTGGATCATTAGATAAGTACAAGACTTTGACCAAGATAAATCCATCCTTAATTGACAGTTGATCAATTTTAACAGTTTCTAATTTGAAAGTAGAGTTTGGTTCTCCTAACTTAACATTAACTTCTTTTGAAACACTTTGGTTAAGAACAAGTTGCTTAATTTCGGATGGGAATGACATGCTGGGATATTTAATTGATTAGGTATACAAGAAATAAAATAAAAAATAATTTCTACACGAATCTCATCCAGTATTTATACAAAGTCAAGTATAAATAGAAGTTTTGAAACGGGGGGTCAATGTCACATACATTAATAAGCAAGAGAAAAAATCCCATGAATCTCAATACAAAGGGCATTGCTCTATACCCAGAATAACTTTTCATACATATTGCGTTCATAACTAAAGAGTGAGAGAGATAAAATAAACGGAGATTTGGGCACGTCAAAGAAGAAAAAAGAAGAAAAAGAAATAAAAACCGTTGAGCTGCGGGCAAAAAATACGGCGGGCTTTAGGGGAGTTAAGATCAACTCCGAAATCCTGACGTAGATTATACCTTGGTGATCAACTTACCGTTTGGTTTTTCATTGGTGAAGAGCTTGTTCCAGACCCGTGGCACTTTCAAAAGGGTGTCGGGGTCGTTGGAAAGATCTTCTATGGTGTAGCCTTCGGTGACCTTAATTTTACCCAGTTTGATCCCTTCGACAATGGCATGGACTGCTTGTGGGAATTGATTTCGGTAATTGATTACCACAAAGCCTTTCACGGTCAAGCTGTTGACTGTGATCTGGGTCCAATTGTCCACCAAGCCTTTGGTTCGATCGATATAGCCAGAAATGGATCCGCAGGAAACAACGGTCCCGAAAGATTTTACGTTTTTCAACATAAAACTTAGGATTTCACCACCGACGTTATCGAAATAAACATCAGCAAAATCGTCGCCGAGGTATTCACCGAGTTGCTGCTTCCAGGTTTCGTCGTGGTAATCAACGGCGAGATCAGCACCCAAAGACTTAACGTAATTGGCTTTTTCTGGTGAACCAGTGATACCAATCACCTTACCAGCTTTTAAGAGATGCTTAGCAATTTGAACCACCATGGAGCCGGTGGCACCACTAGCAGCAGAAACCACCAAGGTTTGACCTTCTTTGAATTGACCAACTTCGGTTAAACCAAAGTATGCAGTTAACCCAGTCAATCCAAGACTACTTAAATAAACTGGGACGGGGAGACCAGAAGAAGTATCGATTTTAGTGAAGATAGATTGTTGATCCACAATTGCATAATCAGACCAGCTGCATGAACACGATACGATATCACCTTTAGCAAACTTATGCGAATTCGATTCGACAACTTCACCAATTCCAAGTGAACGAACTGGGTCTCCTTCTAACACTGGAGAAATATACGTTCTACGAGGATCCACTCCTTTTTGCATCCATCCTTTTTGAGCAGGATCATTAGACAAGTACAAGACTTTGACTAAAACAAATCCCTGTTTCAAATCCGATTCATTATACTTGACAGTTGCAAATTTGAAAGTAGAATCCGGTTTATCCCATTCGAAATTTACCTCAGCAAGGGGATTTTTATTAACCTGAATTTGGTTGAGTTCAGTTGGCACTGACATGTTTACTAAGGGATATAATTGCAAGATCAATTGCCAATAGAGATCTTTTTAAACGTAAACTGGTCTCTATTGGTAGATTAAAAGGGGATTGTGCTTCCGGAAATTATCTCACCAGCTCCGGAAGACCCTCATTCGGACGTACCGTCGCACCGAAGGATAAAATCCGGATACCTCCGGAGACTTTTCGATTACAAAAAAAAAGTAGATAAAAACGTAAGCATAAAGACTATAGAAATGTAATAATAAGACGAAGTGAATGAATAGAAGGCTATGGAAACATGAAAGAATAAGTTGGACTAATCCAAAGATTAAAAAGAATTTTTTTCAGCATTTGGTAAGGAACCGGTTGCAATTGCGGTACTTTCATCTTTTTCATCTTTAGCAAATCGTTCTCTATTCCAGCTTAGTAAATTAACATCACCGGTTTTTCTAGGATGAATGAAGTTGATTATAAGTAAGGAGATGGCTAATAAGAAGCAAACGGCCCCACCAACCATCCAACTAACACCCAAAAAGATATTTTTACCACCAATGACTGATCTTTGACTAACGTAGATATATTTGTGACCATTATAAGGTAAAACTGGGAAGTGTAAGCCAATTGAGATTTCATAAATACCTTCTTCTAAAGCATCGTCATCATTTCTCAAAGCCAATTTATTAAAAGTTGGTAAACCGGAAGTATGCATCCAATTTTGAAATTGATACCATTTTGAAATATCTGGTACATTAGTAGAATTATAACCTTTTGGATATTGTTTATACCAATTTGGAGGTGGGACAATATCTTTATAACTATATTGAGTTTTCTTAAATCTATTTTTATCAGAAGCCCAAGCAATACCTTCTTCGGTTAATTCATATTTTGAATTAGTACCATTGACTGCATTGAAAGAAGTACCAAAAGTATCATTGAATAAACTGTTTGCAATCAATCCACAAGGATAATACTTTTTACCATCAGAATTGACCGATAATGGTTCACAATTTTGACCAACAGTATCCTTGATAACACTTTCAGAAGCAGCTTTACCTTCAATTTGATCTTCACTAAAAGATTTGACAAATCTACGATGATTTGCATGGAAATTCTTCAATCTATAGAAGAAATAAATTGGTGCTTTCATTCTAGTTGGAACTTCAAATTGAATCCTACAAACTTTCCTCTCATCTTCAAATGGTTGTGAATCATCAGTAGCTAACTTCCACTGAGGTTTATGTTTTGGTTCTTCATCATTTTTGAAATTAAATTCGGTATAATTGTCTGGAATTTCACTCCAATAATTTTTGGAAGCTAAATTTTCACACTGGGAATAATCAATTGAAAAATCCTGTGTTTGATGGGATGCATACCACATAGCTGCTCCTAATGGTACAAAAATTATAGCAATACCAATCAATATCGGAATAACTGTTTTCGCAGTCAATACTGGATTATACGCTTTCAATCTCTGTTGTCTGAAAGCACTGTTTCCTGGCTTTCTGGATTTCTCTTTATTGACATCTTTTATTGATTCATCAGATGATACTTCCGAGTCGGAATCTTCATACTCCTCGTTAACATGGTCGCGGTCGACGTTTGCATCACTCTCCACGTATGCTGGAGCATGTCCTGGTTCTACTTGTTGCGCCATTTCCCGGTTGTATTCTCTTCAAACTTGTTATTAAAACCTGTGTCTTTTCATCATCGTTTTCTACCGAATTCTCCTGAAATAGCCAGAGACCCGTACATCATCAAAGTAGTGCCAGAACCAAGAAGCAGAAAAGACCCGATTCCATAAAAATCTTCAAAACACCCATACCCCATTTTTTAAAAATAAAATTTTTTTTTTCTTCTTTGGCACAAACTACTGAAAAATTTAGTGTGATGCGATTAGAGTCAACTAACAAAAAAAAATTTTTTTTTAATTGACCATTAGAGAAGTTGTTGAAGACACCGAGTTTCTTTTTCTCTGAAACAAATCGCTAAGTCTATAATCTAAAAGATAAGAAATTAAGGAGAAAATGTCAAGTCAAGACGGAGCTGCTGAAAAGTCCATTGAAATGTGGAAGATCAAGAAATTGATCAAATCTTTAGAAATGGCCAGAGGTAATGGTACTTCAATGATTTCATTAGTTATTCCACCAAAGGGTCAAATTTCATTAACTCAAAAGATGTTGACTGAAGAATATGGTACTGCTTCCAATATTAAGTCTCGTGTTAATAGATTATCAGTTTTATCCGCTATTACATCAACTCAACAAAAATTGAAATTATATAATCATGTTCCAAAAAATGGGTTAGTTGTTTATTGTGGTGATGTTATAACCGATGAAGGTAAAGAAAAGAAATTAAATATTGATTTTGAACCATTTAGACCAATCAATACCTCATTATATTTATGTGATAATAAATTTCATGTTGAAGCTTTAGCTGAATTATTACAAGATGATGATAAATTTGGTTTTATTGTTATGGATGGTAATGGTGCATTATTTGGTTCAGTTTGTGGTAATGATAGACAAGTTTTACATAAATTTTCAGTTGATTTACCTAAAAAGCATGGTAGAGGTGGTCAATCTGCGGTTCGTTTCTCTCGTTTAAGAGAAGAAAAAAGACATAATTATGTTAGAAAAGTTGCTGAAGTTGCAGTTCAATATTTCATTGAAGATAACAAAGTTAGTGTTAAAGGTTTAATTTTAGCTGGTTCGGCTGATTTTAAAACTGAATTATCGAAATCTGATTTATTCGATGGTAGATTACAAGCTAAAGTTATGAAGTTAGTTGATGTTTCTTATGGTGGTGAAAATGGTTTTAATCAAGCAATTGAATTATCTGCTGAAACTTTAGCTAATGTCAAATTTGTTCAAGAAAAGAAATTATTAAATGATTACTTTGATGAAATTTCTCAAGATACTGGTAAATTTTGTTATGGTATTGAAGATACTTTAAAAGCTTTAGATTTAGGTGCTTGTGAAATCGTCATCGTTTATGAAAATTTAAATACTGTCCGTTACACTTTAAAAGATTCTGAAGGTAATGAAGTTATTGCTCATGCTAATCCAGAATTACCTGATAAATCTTACTTATTAGATAAAGCAACTGGTATTGAAATGGATATTGTTAAAGAAGAAAGTTTCTTAGAATGGTTAGCTGAAAATTATAAAAGTTTCGGTGCCAATTTAGAATTTGTTACTGATAGATCTTCTGAAGGTGCCCAATTCGTTCAAGGTTTTGGTGGTGTTGGTGCCATGTTAAGATATAAAGTTAACTTTGAACAATTAGTTGATGAATCTGATGAAGATGAATATTATGATGATGACGATGATGATTTCATTTAAACAATTTAAAGCATAACCAATTTCCCCTAGTAATTTCTAAAACCAAAAATAAAAGATTCCGTTTTTCCTTTCTCTTTTCAAGATTTAACATGCTTGCTTGTAGTACAGTACTCCCTTTATACACTTTTATATTTTATCGCAAGGACAAGCATGCTTAATTTCAATAACTAATGATTTTTTTTTTTTTCACCTACATTTTTTTACCTTCGTTTTTTTATCAAAGCCTTTATAAACATATATAAAACTTTTTAAAAAAAATCTAAAACTATTAATATTTTATGTGTAATTGATAACTAGTTAAATATTGTACAAAATAATCTATAAATGCAAAGTTTACTTCTTAACTGGCTTGGAAATCTTACCAAGGGCTTCTTTATTCTTTTTCTTATTAATTTTGGCCTTTGATTGAGGTTTCTTTCTTAATTCATCCAAAGCTTTAGATTCTTTATGCCCCAAAATTTGTTGATGGGTCTTACCACTAACCATTTGATGAGCGAGATTTTCCAATCCACTAGTCAAGTATGACCTCCTATGATTTTTTCTTAATTGAGTGTTTAATAGTTCGTTTAATTGAAATTTTAATTGTTTTGCTTCTTCTTTAGTAATGGTCTTACCTTCTTTTCTTTTTCTTTGTTTTTTAATAATATCATCTTCAAAATTTTCTATATCAGACAAATCTTCAAGCCCCAAATCATCGGCAGCTTGCTTGACCCAACTATCTTCTTTACGAGTTGCAGTATTGGAGAGATTTGCATCAGATAATTTTGCTGCAAGTTTGACTCTTGGTTTGATCTGGGAAATGATGTCCATTTCAATTGGTAATAATTTAACGTCATTATGAACATTTAATCTGGCATTATTTTCTGAAGAGCTTGCAACCATTTTTCTCAACTTTTTAAAAGGTCCTGATGCCTCCTGTGGAGAACAGAACATCACTGAAACCCCCTCTTTACCAGCTCTTGCAGTTCTACCTGATCTATGAATATAAACATCTGCTGATCTAGGTAAATGATAATGGGCCACATGATCAATATTTGAAATATCTAAACCTCTGGCAGCAACATCGGATGCTATAAGTACTGCAGTTGAATTTTTTTCACTTGCTTCCTTAAACCTTTCTAATGCTCTCAATCTTTGTTTTTGAATCATAGAAGAATGAATTGAAAATGCTGGAATCTTTAAATTATTTAATAATGGAACCAATCTTTTAACCGAGTCAATTGAATTCGCAAAAACTAAAGTAGATCCAGAATACATTAACAAGAAATAATATAAATATAAATCTCTTTCAGTAGGACCACACTCAACCAAAGCCTCAGTGATTTGACCAGAAACAATTTCTTTTGGATTAGCATCAATTAATGACGGCTTTGCATCTTTAAATTTCAATTTTTCGGTTAATAAGTTCAAAATACCTTCATTATCAATCAATGAACCAGAAATTTGACTTTTTTGACCTTTTTTATAACCTTTATCTAATTTACCAAATAAATCAGTTGAAAAAGTAGCTGAGAAAACGAGGGTTTGCCATTTCCAATCAATTTTTGAATCATTACGAGGTCTATGTTTATGGAAAAGTTCCAAAATTTTTTCAAACTCTTCGAAATGACCATCTTGTAAAAGTCTATCAGCTTCATCTAGAACGAGTATATCGGTGCAGGCCAATCTTTTGGCTAATTCTTCATCTTGTTGACATAATTCCAAGAATCTACCTGGGGTGGCAACGATGATACCTGGGCCATGGCTTAATAATCTCTCTTGTTTTTGGATAGACAACCCACCAGTGATGGTCACAATACCATGTTGAGATAAGGGAGAATATTGTGCAATTTTGTTTAAATGATCAACAACTTGATGAGCCAATTCTCTAGTTGGAGCGAAAATGATACCTGAAGGAGAGTTTATTTTTTTATTTTTCAAATTATTTTTGATGTGATTAATTTTGGAAATATGTTTTTCTAAAATTGGTATACCATAAGCCAAAGTTTTACCTGAACCAGTGGTTGCTTTACCTATGACATCCTTACCTTGTAAAGCAAGAGGGATGGTTCTTTTTTGAATAGGTGTTGGTTGATTAAACTTTAAAGATGATAACCCATTTAAAGTATAAGCACTTAACTCCAATCCTTTTTCTTGATCAGTCCAAGCAGGTAAGTCAATATCATCGTCATCAGGTAAAGGTAAATCAAGTTGCTTGAAAGCATTTTGTAAGAGCTCTTCATCTTTGTCTTGCTTGTTTGAGGCCTCCTCTTTTTGGTTATCTTGTGCTTCTTTTTGGTTATCTTGTGCTTTTGGTTCGGCGATATCGTCAAATCCAGTAAATTCTTCCTCTTCATCTTCGTCTTCCAGTTCCTTTTCATCTTCTTTGTCATTACCTTCTTTATTTTCCTTGTCTTCCCAAACACCATCGGCTTTTTCTAATTCTTCTAATTGTGCTTCAGTTTTCAAATTTCTTTTATCTTGAACTATGAATTCAGCTTTCCCATCAACTATTTTAACATCAACCCCGTCAATTTCTTCTAAACCGTAGAAACCTTCATAATCATCTAAATTATCAGGGATTTCCACTGGTTTCCAATTCAAATTACCAGCTTTTACCACTTTAGATTCTAATTTTTGTTGTTGTTTAAGTGTTTGGGGTTTTTTCGATTTTTTAACAACCTTACCATTTGGTCCTTTTTTCAAAGTTTTACCTTTGGCAGGTTTACCTTTGCCTTTAACAGGCTTACCTTTGGCACCAGAATTGCCCTTAGCAGCGGTCTTTTTAACAGGTTTATCTTTCAAAGCCATTCTTACTTACAATCTGAAAAGGTTGTATCTGAAAGATCAAGTCATCTCAAATAGAGGAAAAAAAATCGAGCAGAGGTCGCTTAGGTGCAGGACCTTTTTTTTTTTTTCAAAAGGTTTTTTTTTTTTTTACTTTCATTAGATATCATTTAGAGACAACCTTGATTAACTGGGTAGAGATTGAATATGGCAGGGAAGAAAAGAAGCGGATTATTGAGGAAACCGCATTCAATAACCACCGATAAGAAAAAGCTACCCAAGAGTTTCAAGCCACAACAAGCACGACAATTGATACGCCGGTACCATGTCTTACATAAGAACAAGCAAATGATCTTGAGTCGGCTTAATGAGAGTAAGGTAATTGAGGAGGAGCTTAGTATAGATAATTATAAGAGGGTAATTGGTGGGAACAAACATTATAAGCAAGGATATGAGGAATTACTGGTCAATAGAAAGAAGAATGTTGAGATGATTCGAATTGAGAATAAGATGAGAAAAGAAGAATTGATCAAGAAACTAGGAGAAATAGATAAAGAGGTTGATACAAGAGGAGGGTTAGCGGCATACCAAATTGCATCTACGCAAGGACAAGACACCCAGCGAGGAGGAGACTCGCTGAAGAAGCTAATCGAGTGGATGAAGGGAGCAAAATACCAGGGTAAAATTGAAGAAATGAAGAAAATGAATAGGAAGATTAATGCATTAGAGATTGGAAGTTTGAGTGCCAATAATATGATAAGTACTAGTAAGGTATTTGAAGAAGTGAAGAGAATTGATTTGAATTCACAAAATGGACAATTAATTGAAAAACAAGATTTTATGCAAAGACCACTACCAAAAGATGAAAACGAGAAGTTTAATATGATTAGTTGTTCATTAGTATTAAATTTTGTCCCATCGGCGATTTCCAGAGGAGACATGTTGAAAAGAATTACAAAATTTTTGAAAACTCCCAAAGCCAATGAGATAAGTGGTTTGTTCCTAGTATTACCATTACCCTGTATTAACAACTCTAGGTATTTTGATAAGAAAGAATTAGATAAGATAATGCTAGGACTTGGGTTCAAAGAGCAAGAATACTATCAAGCGAAAAAAGTTGCTTATTGGTTGTATGATTGGCAAGGAGAAGCGACTCCTGCAAAAAATCAAAAGAAAGAATTACATAAGGGTAGTAATCGGAATAATTTTTGTATATTAATAAAATAATCTAGACTTGACAATCACTCCATGGGGTAGAGATATTTAATGGAGTATAATGGGAGATACAAGGCGTACCTGTGAATACAAACCAACAATCACTAGACGTGGTATGATGAAATGGTGAAATTCACCCCAAACTTTAATTGGACAATTTTTTCTTTAAGTTCAACTGCGTAATGTTGATTTTGTAATCATACCATAAGGTACATATGGGACCACGGAAAATCGTACGGATTATCTCCTGCCAAAGCTCAAGTAGACTATCTGGCTACATCGAATGGTACATTGATACATCGAATGGAACATCGGCTAGCTCGAAAGGTACTTCGCATACTTCTAATATACTAGTATATCGGGTTAGTATACTCAGCATATCGAATTAGTATACCTGGTAGCAGAACACTATGGATACCAGAGCGTAACATGTAATCTACTACTACAATTCGTGATACAAGACCGATTGTTCCGAGGCAACGGCATACTAAGCTGTTGGCTATTTCTCCGGGGCACTTTGTATAATACGAATTCACCCCACGGAGAAATGGTGCGGATGTTCTTGGTCCCTCGTGTATTGTGTAACATACCCGGTTTTTGGTAAGCCGTAGCCGTGAGCGTATTGGTCGGCCAACACCAGCACCACTCGGCCCACCATCAACATCATTGGATCCACCCAGACCACCCGTGATACTGCAGGCGTAAGGAAGCGACGGTTGGAATCTAAATCATTGGGATGGGGTGGAAGTCGTGCAGCTAGTCACCAGATTCATGGGGAGATGGATCTGCAGTCTGTGTGCAGGCGCGTGGGGCATTTATGGAGGTTTTTCGGAGAAACTGGTGGAGTCAACTTTCTTTTTTTTCACTATTTTTTTCTGTTTTGTTAGTGTCGGACGAGGCAAAAGGCGCGGTGTACGGGTAAATTACTCTTGACCACTTGCTTTTTCTATTGTTGGTGCTGCAGGCTTTCTTTTTTCCGGACGCCTTTTTTCTGTATTCGGAGAAGTTTTTTTTTTTTTTGGTGAGGATTTCTGTTTTTTGGTTCAATTTTTTATTTTTTTTCTTTTATTTTTATTTTTTTTGAGGTGCAGAATATTTTTTTTCTTTTTAGTGCAGAATTTTTTAACAGCCGACTCTATTTGGTCAGCCCAGAGAAAATGCCGGGTTAATTAAGTTTTTCCAGTTAATTTAATATGTCAGGATTAATTGTACTGGAAAAACTGGCTATTAGTTAGGCTGTAGTATAAATATGAGATGAATTCTTGTAGTAATTTTAGAATTTTTTTTATTTGCTTCTACATTATTACATTACTTACTTAACTTACAATATGTCTGACGAATTACATTCTGGTGCTCAAACACCAGTCAATGACTCTTCAATTCTTTCAAAAGAAGACGTTGAACAATCCAAGATCCCTGATGAACAACAAATCAGAGATGAATTACCGGTTTTACCAGAGAAGAAAGCCAGTGATTATGTACTTGTTTCCATGTTTTGTTTCTTAGTTGCCTTTGGTGGTTTCGTTTTTGGTTTCGATACCGGTACTATTTCTGGGTTTGTTAATATGGGAGATTTTGTTAAAAGATTTGGTACTCATCATGCTGATGGTACTCATAGTTTATCAACCATTAGAACCGGGTTAATTGTTTCTATTTTCAATGTTGGTTGTGCCGTTGGTGGTATTTTCTTATCAAAAGTTGCTGATGTTTATGGTAGAAGAATTGGTCTTATGTTTTCCATGATTGTTTATATTGTTGGTATTATTATTCAAATTTCAAGTCAACATGCTTGGTACCAATATTTTATTGGTAGATTAATTACTGGTTTAGCTGTTGGTATTGTTTCAGTTTTATCTCCTTTATTCATTAGTGAATCTGCTCCTAAAAAAATTAGAGGTACTTTAGTTTGTTGTTTCCAATTATGTATTACTTTGGGTATCTTTTTAGGTTACTGTACTACTTATGGTACTAAAACTTACGATGACTCCAGACAATGGAGAATCCCATTAGGTTTATGTTTTGCTTGGGCCATTATGATGGTTGTTGGTATGATTTCAATGCCAGAATCTCCTCGTTATCTTGTTGAAAAAAATAGAATTGAAGATGCTAAAAAATCAATTGGTACTTCAAATAAAGTTAGTGTTGAAGATCCTGCAGTTTATACCGAAATTCAATTAATTCAAGCTGGTATCGAAAGAGAAAGATTGGCTGGTAGTGCTTCTTGGACCGAATTAGTCACTGGTAAACCAAAAATTTTAAGAAGAGTTGTTATGGGTATGTTTTTACAATCTTTACAACAATTAACCGGTGATAATTATTTCTTTTACTATGGTACTACTATTTTTAAAGCTGTTGGTTTGAAAGATTCTTTCCAAACTTCAATCATTTTAGGTATTGTTAATTTTGCATCTACTTTCGTTGGTATTTGGGCTATTGAAAGATTTGGTAGAAGATTATGTTTATTAACTGGTTCTTCTTGTATGTTTATTTGTTTCATCATTTATTCTGTCTTGGGTTCCGTCCATTTATATAAAGATGGTTATGATGGTCCAACTTATGTTCCAACTGGTAACGCTATGATTTTCATTACTTGTCTTTACATTTTCTTCTTTGCCTCAACTTGGGCTGGTGGTGTTTATACCATTGTTTCTGAATCTTACCCATTAAGAATTAGATCAAAAGCTATGGCTGTTGGTTCTGCTTGTAACTGGATGTGGGGTTTCCTTATTTCTTTCTTTACTCCTTTAATCACCGCTAGAATTCATTTCTACTACGGGTTTGTCTTTGCTGGTTGTTTACTTTTCTCCCTTTTCTACGTTTTCTTCTACGTTAATGAAACTAAAGGCTTGACTTTGGAAGAAGTTGATGAATTATATGCTCAAGGTGTTCTTCCTTGGAAATCATCTTCTTGGGTTCCTCCATCAACCGAACAAATGGCTACCACCACTGGTTACGCTGCTGAAAGCAAACCAGAAAACGAACATGTTTAATTTTAAAATTTTCTTTAATCTTTTATTTTAATAACTTTTAATAAGTTTATGACTTTTAATCTCTTGCATTTAGCATACTGACGATTTATATTAATGTACATATATGTTTACTATTATCTATTGTAATTTATTACTTGTAATTGACAAATCCTACAGTAAATCAAACAATTACCGTAAATCAAAGAATTACCGTAAATCAAAGTATTAATTACCGTGCTCAGGGCATACTGAATGGCAGTATAGTGCTAAAGTGACTGTGCTTAAGTGATAACTACTAAGAGGACAAACCTAAACCAGAATACCGCAAAGTGACAGCATAATAATTAGTCTAATTGGTCTACTGCTTAGTGATATTAGTAAATAGTATATGGAAGTCAGTAGTATAAGGAAGTAAGTAGTATAAGGAAGTAAGTAGTAAGCAAGTAGTAACACGACGGCTTAATACGGATTCATGTGCTTCCGTACCCCCGAGATCCCGACTTCTTCCTCGGAGTAAAGCGCAGGCAGAATGTCGCGGTATCGTACGACACCGGCGCGCACGACATTGTGACTCAAATATACTCCACTTTGAGTTAAACCAGTGAAAATTTTCGGTGCCAAAAGGAGGGGAAACGATTAGGTGCTCCACAATAGGTTTGTCCGCTAACGGGAAATGGTTTAATTGTAAATATATATATATATTGACGTATATATCAAGCCAGATACTTTTCAGTCTTACATAGTATAAGTTTTCAGTAGGTAAGGATGCTTTCTAGAAACATAAACGTAAGAGGACTTAGATCGTTTTCTACATTGGGATATCTTAAGAATTGGAATCAAATTCCAACTGCTCCTCCAGATAAGATTTTGGGGATTTCCGAAGCTTATGTAAAAGATTCCAATAGCCAAAAGATCAATTTAGGGGTTGGTGCTTATAGAGATAATAACGGTAAGCCAATTATTTTCCCATCAGTTAAGAAGGCTGAAGGCATTTTATTAGAAAAAGAAAGCGAAAAAGAATATACTGGGATAATTGGTAATAAGAATTATCAAAGTATTGTTAGGGATTTCATATTCAATAACTCCAATAAAGATGCTAATGGTGCTAAGTTGATTAAAGAAGATCGTATTGTTACTGCACAAACCATTTCTGGTACTGGGTCCTTGAGGGTTATTGCTGAGTTTTTAAATCGTTTTTATGATTCTAAAACCATAAAAGTCCCCAAACCAACTTGGGCAAATCACGTTGCTGTTTTCACCGATGCTGGATTACAGCCAGAATTCTATAATTATTATGATGTGGAAAACAATTCTTTAGATTATGAAAATTTGAAAAAATCAATTGAGTCAACTCCAAACGGCTCTATTGTTTTATTGCACGCTTGTTGCCATAATCCAACCGGGATGGATTTATCCAATGAAGAATGGGATGAAGTTTTACAAATCATTACCAAGAAAAACTTGTTCCCATTAGTTGATATGGCTTATCAAGGATTTGCTCTGGGTAATCCATATAAAGATATCGAATTGATTCGTAAATTGAATCAATTGGTTGTTAATGATGAATTGAAATCATACGCTTTGTGTCAATCTTTTGCTAAGAATATGGGATTATACGGAGAAAGAATTGGTTCAATCTCAATTGTCACCGAATCTTCAGAACAATCAGTGGCAATTGAATCTCAATTGAAAAAATTAATCAGACCAATCTATTCAAATCCTCCAATTCACGGTTCCAAAATCGTCGAAACTATTTTCTCAAATGAAAATTTATACAACTCTTGGTTAAATGATTTAGACCAAGTTGTTGGAAGATTAAACAAAGTTAGAGATCAATTATATCAAAAATTAGATAAATCAAACTATAACTGGGATCATTTAACCAAACAAAGAGGTATGTTTATCTACACTGGTTTATCAAAAGATCAAGTTATCAAATTAAGAAATGATTACTCTATCTACGCTACTGAAGACGGTAGATTCTCCATCAGTGGTGTTAATGAAAATAACGTCGACTATTTAGCCAACGCCATTAACGAGGTTATCAAAAGCTCTTAATCTTAATTAGAAATCTATGATTGAATTGTAATTATTAAAAACATGTAGTGAAATTTTCCGTTCTTTGTGCCATTTCTTCTCTTCCCTGTCATTTCGTATACTGTTGAACCCACAACCTATCCCAATCCACCTACCCATCTACATATGGGTTCACCTTTCAACTAACCACGTCCACTTCTCGACTACCTACGTCTCTATGTGGCCCAAGTATGTACTTCAGTAGTCAATTAGGTATAAAATGAAGGTGAAAAATTTGCCTAACAAAACAAAAAAAAAATAAAAAAAAAGTCTGAAAAAAAAAGATTTCCCTAACAAAAGCCCAAAATAGTTCCGTGTCTTTCGGAGAAAGCAAAACAAATTAAAAGATCCCATGATCTCCCCATCCCTTTCAAATCCTTTTCTTCTTCTTCTTTCTCTTTAATTTATTCAACTCGAAGATGTCAGTTCAATCAATTGCAACTACCCCATTTCAAGATCAGAAACCTGGTACTTCAGGTTTACGTAAGAAGGTTAGTGTTTTTCAACAAGATCATTACACTGAAAATTTCATACAATCTATTTTAGATGCTATTCCCGAAGGTTCCAAAGATAGTACTTTGGTAATTGGTGGTGATGGTCGTTACTATAATGACCACGTGATTCAATTGATCATTGAAATTGCTGCTGCTAATCAAGTTTCCAAGTTAATCATTGGGGAAAACGGGATCTTATCCACTCCAGCCACTTCTCATGTCATCAGAATCAAAAATGCTACCGGTGGGATCATTTTAACTGCTTCTCATAACCCAGGTGGTCCTCAAAATGATTTGGGTATCAAATATAACTTGGGTAATGGGGGGCCTGCTCCTGAATCCGTCACTAACAAGATTTTTGAAGTTAGTAAAAAACTCGATTCTTATAAATTGATTAAATTCGATAAAGTTGACTTATCTAAAATCGGTAACTTTAAAGTTGGCAATTTAGATATTGAAATAATTGATTCAACTAAAGATTATGTTGATTTATTAAAATCCATCTTTGATTTCCCATTAATTAAATCTTTCATTTCAAAAGCTACTAATGAACAAGGTTTCAAAATCTTATTTGATGCATTAAACGGGGTCACTGGTCCTTACGGTGAAAAAATATTTGTTGAAGAATTGGGTTTATCAAAAGACTCAATCCAAAATTATGTTCCTAAACCAGATTTTGGTGGATTACACCCAGACCCAAACTTAACTTATGCCAAAACTTTGGTCGATCGTGTTGATAGTGAAAATATCGCTTTTGGTGCTGCAAGTGATGGTGATGGTGACCGTAATATGATTTACGGTGCTGGTACTTTTGTTTCTCCTGGTGATTCTGTTGCTATCATTGCTGAGTATGCTGACTCAATTCCTTATTTTGCTAAACAAGGTATCTACGGTTTAGCAAGATCAATGCCTACTTCTGGTGCTTTGGATTTGGTTGCTAAAGATAAAAATTTAAATGTTTATGAAGTTCCAACTGGTTGGAAATTTTTCTGTTCTCTTTTTGATGATAAAAAATTATCAATTTGTGGTGAAGAAAGTTTCGGTACTGGTTCCAACCATATTCGTGAAAAAGATGGTGTTTGGGCCATCGTTGCTTGGTTAAATGTTTTAGCTGATTATAATCAAAAATTCCCTAATGATAAAACATCAATTGCCACTGTTCAAAATAAATTCTGGGCTAAATATGGTAGAACTTTTTTCACCAGATACGATTATGAAAATGTTTCAAGTGAAGGTGCTAATAAAATTATTGATTTATTACAATCAATTGTTGATAGTAAAAAACCCGGTGATGAATTAGCCCAGGGTTTCATCATAAAACAAGGTGAAAATTTCTCTTATACCGATTTAGATGGTTCAGTTTCCTCTAAACAAGGTTTATTCATCAAATTCGAAAATGGATTAAGATTTATTGTCAGATTATCAGGTACTGGTTCTTCAGGTGCAACTGTAAGATTATATTTGGAAAAACACTCTAAAGATGAATCAACCTATCATTTACCAGTTGATAAATACTTATCCAGTGAAGTAAAATTCGTTTTGGATTTACTTAAATTTAAAGAATTCTTAGGCAAGGAAGAACCTGATGTTCGTACTTAGGTAGTATTTATATGATTTTTTGAATTAAGAAAAAAGTTTCTATCTAATTAGTTTCTAATAATAATAAATAATTTAATTTATGGTAATGATATTTTTAACTTAAATAAATAATATACATTCAGTTATTAATTACAAAGTGATTATAAACAGTATCATAACTTCATTAATCTATGAATCAGTCTTTAATTTTTTATTTGAAATTGATCCATCGTCAATGTGTTCTCTTTTTTGAGAATTCGAAGATTGAGATGTTGATTGTTGATCTTGTTGGTTTAATTGTTGTAATTGTTGTTGTTGTTCGTAAATAACTTTTGAATCTGATTCTTGTAATTTGATAACTTCATCCAATCTTTTTCTCATGCTTTGCTCTCTTAATCTAGCTGCTTGCTCCATTGCTTCTAACTCCATAATTCTGGTACGATATAAATCATTAACCAACTCCAATTCAGATATTCTAGTTTTCAAGAGAGTCACTTCATGATTGTTATTGTTATTGTTATTATTATTATTACCACTAGATGAATTGCTACTGTTCATATTTGAGCTATTGTTGAAAGTAGAATTTTTATCCTCATTATTTTGGTTCGACTCATTTGAATAGGATTGTTGAGGGTTACTATTTGAGTCAAACGGTATAGACAGGGCTCCATTATTTGATAAGTTACTGAAACTGTTTTGAAAATGTGGTAATTGGTTATTTGGATTAACATTTGTGACAGCTTGATGAATTGGGGGTAATGAAGTTTTGTGTTGGCTTGGGGAATTTGAGTTACTCAAATTATGATTTATTGCGGGAGGAGAAGTTGATCTAGTATCACGATTTAAATGGAATTGAGGGCCAAAAGAAGGTGAGTTAATGGAATGGGCACTGTTATTACCTGACCCTAAAGCCGGTAATTTAGGAGGTGGTGGGTGGTTTGAAGAGTTTGCTTGTAAAGCAGTGGAAGGAGTGGAAAAAATCATTGACGACGTTGGCTCCTTTTTGATAGTAGTGGAAGAATTATTCATTAATGAAATACCATTAGTACTATTAGAATCATTTTTGCTATTGGTTGGTTTGAAAGTAGCACTAGGACCTAATTCATTTGACATTGTTTCTAAAGCACCAGCAGCTTGAGCAGCACTAGCATCAGTAGTTGAGGTTGCATTATTTTTCTTATCCGACAAGTTGGAAGAAGATCTTGCATTTGATAATGAAGAAGTAGTTGATAATAAAAGGGGTGAGGTTATTCTTTGTAAACCAGGAGCAAATTGGGTAGGAGTAGAAGAAGGATAATGTAAAGGTTGGACCTGATGATGTAAATGATTTGGTAAATGATTAGAATGTAACGGACCCAAATGATTTGAGTAGGTTGCTTTATCGGCAACTTTGACGTTATAAGCAGCAGGCAATAAAGGGGTCAAGTTAGGATTATGGCCATCAACTGTAGTGTTTGGAGTTGAGGTATTGGAAGATTTCTTTTTAGAAGATTTAGGAGATTTCTTACCACTAGAGGAAGTATTTGATTTAGAATCTTTGACTTTAAATTCTGGAGTATTTGAGCCGGAATTTTTAGAAGGATTTGGTTGTTTGATTCTATTTCTTGATTTGATAGTATCAGTTTTGAGGCTAATTGGTCTTGGACGACCATGTAACTTGAAAAATAACCCACAAGCATTACATAAAACTTGACCAGTTTCGTCACGTCTCCATAAAGGGGTATTTTGAGTCTTGCAATTGCGACAAACTGGACTGGTTATATTAGTTTTGGTTGTTGTTGTTCCATTATTAACATGGGTGGTTGTTTTAGCGTTTGGATGAGTTGGATTTGAATCAGCCATTTCCGGCTTTATTTCTTTATTTTCAAGAGTAGTTGAAGTCAGATTGGTGTTGTCTGAAACAGAATGCTTTATTGGAGGTAAAGATACGGCAGCTGGAGCTGGAGACTGGCTGTGACTAGAAGCTGAAGCTGGAGTTGGAGCCGGATTGCTGGCAGCAGAAGGTACAGCAGCAGCGGGTGCAGTTTCGGCAGCCGGAGTTGGAACCTGGGTAGGAACCTGGGTAGGAACCTGGGTAGGTGCTGCAGTAGATACCGAAGCAGGGGCCGGAGGACTAGCAGATGGAGTACCAGAAGGAGCACTCACTGCAGCAGCAGCCGGGGCAGCAGCAGAGTGGCTGGGCACCGCAGTGGATCCGTGGGGAGCATGATGGGGAGGAGGAGGAGGAGGTAAACGTTGTTGAATTTCACTCATAATGTACAAAATTAGTTAGACAAATAAATAAGCAGGATTGATCAAACCTAAGATAACGATAACAAACCAAACAAGAAAAGGAACGGAAGCTGCCCTAAACACAATTAAATAGATACAAGAAGTAAGAACTAGAACAATAAATAAACTAAATACAAGCAAGAACCCATTCAAATAAGATATTCAACTTGTTGAAAAATTAGGAAGAGGAAAAAAAAAAAAAAAAAAGTAAAAAAGGAAGCGTGCTAGGGTACTATTATACAATATGAAACGATAAAGTATTGAGCCAACTGGGGTACATGTAAAAAACCTCTAAACTTTAGTTATCAGAGCAAAACGGCTAGCAAAGGGCTATTGTTGATAAGGATTTTTTGGATAAGGAAAAGAAAGTAGTTGAAGTATCTGAGATTTTTTCGTCCCTTTGATGAAAAGTTTTCTTATCTGAGCACACCGAACCGCTAACAAAACAAAAAAAAAGTCGATAAAAAAAAAAAAAAAAAAAAAAAAAAAAAAAAAAAAAAAGATAGTGCGCTAACAAAAATGCTACAATTAATACCGACGATTTGTCGGTGGTGGACGGTTTTATCCCTAGGGGTCAACCAATGATTTGGTAGCGTTACCGTACAGGGTATCAAGGGTTACAAAGGAGAAGAAAGCACGGGAGAAGAAACGGGAGGAAACGTAATGCAACCTGTAGAAGCAACTAGAAGAAAAGTTTGAGAGGTGAAAAATTTTCACTGGATGGAAAAAATTACAAAATCAAAGTTACAATTCGGCATTGCTTGAAAAGAAGTAATGTTTTTGTTCTAATTGCCTTAGCAAACGATGTAGCAGTTAGGAAATACTAAATTGAGCTACTAAACAGACCTTCTGAAAAGGAAATACTACACAAATAACGGGATAGGATTAAATAGATAATTCTGATAAAGGGTTATCTGTTGACACATGCCTGATTTGTTCTTTGCTCTATCTTATCTAAGGGTACCCATTCCTGGAAATGGCTTGAAAAGATGGGCCAGTTACAATTGTCTGATTAAACGGGGCAAGAAAGATGCACGGGTGTGTATTCTGCGGAGGGATGCACGGGTTTATATGGGGGCAACTTTGCCGGTGGTGAGCCGCTGGCAGAGCCCGGTGTTGGTGGTTGCAAAATGAATGAACCGCTTGCCACCATGCTCGAGCAACGGGAGGATGTAAGGGGTAAGCAGGGTGTCGTGCTGGACGGTGATGACGTTGTGACACGGGGGGAGTTGTGCTTTGTAGGTTTGGTAATTGCCAGACGGAATAACGAAATTCAGGCTTATATTACATATAAGCTTGGTGAACTCAGTCTTTGGAGACTTATTCTGGTGAAGCTTGACGAGGGGATCGAGTTTCTGTAAGTTGGAGAATATCCCACTCAACGAGATATATTGTCGGATGATATTCTCCAAATCGTTTGATTGTTCAAGGAATACAAGTTCTCGCACCCAGTCTTCAATGGCCAGGTTGTCTTGGATTCTTCTAACAAACTGTTTCCAGCGAGGCTGGATATGGCTGTGGTACAACAAAATCGCATTACCATTGCTCTGGTGATACCCAAAATCGCCCAAGTTCATCCTCTTGCTTATGTGCTCAACCTGATCCAAATACTTTTGGTTTTGCTCCATGGCATACCTGAGATACTTGTCAACACCGGTATCGCTGAGCTGAACCCAGTCTAAGCTGTTGATACTAAGCTTCTCATCATTTCCAACAACGACTAGATTTTTCTCTTCGAAGTTCACCGTTATCGAGTCGCAGATTCTCTTGATCATCTGGATGGGGTTTTTTTGCAGGGTCACTAAAGTGACACCATGACCCAATGCTTTCAATAATACAGACGTCTGGTCTTGGTCCAAAGATCCGGCTTGTGGCGGAAGAATGGTCTTGCAACTAGATATCTCAGTTGATCCATCAGATAGAAAATGCACCTTAAATGGACCTTGGCTCTTTGGCTTCTTACTATCGTCTTGTTTTTGTCTTTTAGCTGCATTCTCGACTGTTAAGTCAACCCCAGTTAGCGTGACTTCAGTATCTTTTAATGGAGAATACGATTTTTTAGCTGATCCGTATCCTAAAAATAATTGGTTCATATACAGAGGTATCTGATCATTGCCAAGACGCTTTAATAGTTCCTCGCAATGCTCTATCCTCTGTAATGTTTCCTCGTCAAGTTTTATCATAAAGTTGAATCGTTCTCTAATACTGCGATCAGCTTCTTGAATCCAAACTTTACAAGAGCCTTCATTCTGGCTCATGACTCTCCCCAAGCGGATTAACGAAATACCAAGCTTCTTAAGTCTAGCATGAGGCGAAGACGCATTTCTATTTTGTAATTCCATCAATATCACTTTCTGATCCTTCATTTTCCTGAACGAATTATTATGCTTGATATCTATTTCAAGGTCGTTCTTGCTATTTTTAACATAAACTGCAGTAATACTTTTTGAAGTTCCCTTGTAATTACGCAGTGGTGCATCGATAACATTGATAGACGTAATACTTCTCTCAATATTCGCAAAAATGTCCTTGTATACTTCATATAATGATATTTCTACGTGACGCTGGATAAAGTCATCGATTGAAAGAAACTGACTCCCTTTAATCAATGGTAGTGGCAAATAAGCAGGGAATTCAACCTTAGCATCACTAATGAATGGATCAATTACATTCTTCTCCCCAATAGCATATAGCGAGCTGGAGTTGACCGAGTTGATTCGAGGACTGACATAGTTCATTAACACATTAATCAAGAAGCCTTTGCGATTAAGAAAATTGGGACTAATATTCCTGGAAAGACCCAAATTCTTCATTATTTGCTGAAGAGTATCTGACGAGAAAGCATCTAAAAGCCCAACTAATTCTTCCGGTTCATAATTATGTATTGATGGCTTGGCCGATATACCAGCGAGTCTTGAATCCAATGAAAAAAATTCAGCTTGTAAGGTTTCGAAATTTGACTCGAAATCATTTTTCTTGATTTCGCCAGTGAAATCATCAACGGGATAATGAAGGAAGCTATTGAGCAAGGCAATGTATTCATCTAGTGAATTTAAATTCTTATCAAAGCATGATGCAAACTGCACCTCACGTATTAGACTAGCTGAGTATATTCTTAATGGCAATTGAGATACCAACGACGTTAGAAAAAGTAACAAGGCCCTCAGGTACTCCAAATAACCAACTTGCTCATGTTTCGATAGTTCGTCAAACAGTAAAGTGCTCTTCATAAAATCTGTAATCAAGCCGTATAACCATCGTTGTTTCAATTTTGCAACCGGATTTTGTTTGTTTTTAATGCAGTCTTCGTATTCATCTTTCAAACCAGGAAGTATTACTTGCGACAGATCTTGTAAGTTGGACAAAATACTAATGTCAAACAACGGACCAACCGTTTGTTTCACTGTTTTATTCGATAATTGGACAGTAACCAATTTAGTGATGAAAAGTAAAATACTTCTCCTCAAATGGTACTCGGCATTAGCATTCAAGCAGATGACGAGAATTCTCTTCAAAAACAAATCAAACCTGTCCGTGTCTTGATCCAAAATCTGTTCAATGATCAAACTTGCATCTTCGTTTTCTATTTCATATACTGCAATAAGTAATATCAATTCAAGGTGATTGTTTGTGATATCTTCATGGTAAAACTTCCATAAAAAATTAGAGAAAAAACAAGTATTATAAAGCAATTGGTATATTTTCAAACAGTCCGGTTGTGTAATTAGCTGGTATACTTCTTGGACATAACTAGGTTTGAATGAAGCTGATTGTTTCGACTGCCATTTGGCTGCCAAACTCTTTATTTTCTTCAAACCCTGATCATCATGCCGTATTTTTGAACTCATATCTAAACTAGAACTGACACGGCTCTGACCACTAATTTCAAGCACGAAAATCCAATCTTATCCTACTTTATACCATATTCTTATAGATATATGGCGTTCTTGTAGAGAAAAAATCGAAGAGCGTGCACCACTCAGTGATGTACGGGGGTTTAAATGGCGTGCGTTAACCGACTTGAAACTTTTTTTGGCTTTTTTTTTTTTTTTTTTCATTCTTCACTGTTGAAAAATTAGCTTATTTGAATGTTCATATCTTCATTTTAATCTTGTGTTTACCACAGCTACAGGAATTAATGATGTTTAAGGCAGCCACACGTTTCTTTTCCATAGGAAGAACCTTAGGGAGTAGTGCTGTTTCTCCGGCTGTTCAGCCAGTCAAGGTGTCGCCTGTCTTAGCAGCTAGACAGATTATACCAGAGAATGCATCTAAATCAAAGAGAAAATCTTCGAGAAGAAGAGAAAAGAGATTAAAGTCACAAATTATAAGAGATGTCAACAACTTGAAGCAAGTTGAAATCAGATCATTCAAATTTCAAGTTGATCCAGTCTTAGGGTCACCAGATTGTGCATTTATTAAACGTTTAAACACTGCTCTTAATGAACCAACTCATTTAGCCTATGGTTTTGAAAGGGAAGAATTTGAAAAATTATTATATGGTGCACAAAAGGCAAGTCTTGATCAAAACATAGCAGGTGACGAAGTTGCCGAATCAATTTTTGCAATTGAAGAAAAGAAAAGAAAAGCATTATTAACCATTCTCCATATGAAAAATACAAATGCCAAAGATAAAAAGAAGTTAGCAATCAAATTGGCCCGTGAAGAATTTCAAAGAGAAGAAGGAGATACTGCGTCTCCAGAAGTTCAAGCGGCTGTTTTAACTGCAAGAATACATTCTGGATGGGATCATGTTAAAAATTCTTTTAAAGATAAAGTTCACAGTCAATACATAAGACAACTTGTTCATAAAAGACAAAGGATTTTAAAATATTTGAAAAAAGATAATCCAGAACAATATTTTTATGCAATTGCTAAATTAGGTTTAACTGATGATGTAATTACTAATGAATTTAATATGGGAAGACAATATTTCCAAGATTTCAAAGTCTTTGGTGATAAACAATTGGTCAAACCTTCTAATAAAGAAAAGGCTAAAGCTGCTAAAGTTGAAGATTTGAAGAAGAGAGTTCAAGATTATAATAGATTGGCTAAAGAAAACTATGAAGCACTTTATGGTAAACCAAATCCATCTGCTTAAGACTACATCATTTATTATTCCCACTTGTATATATATATATTAATAAATACTTTTTGTCAGTTTCGTAAGGTCATAAAGATGAAGACTAAACTTCTTCAGGTATCACTTCTTTTATTAGATCATTTATCTTGTCATTGATCGAGTCTTGTCTTAGATCATCGATTCCGGTAGTAAATGAATCAATCAGACTTTTGATATCCTTTTTTATTGATTCACCTTCAGCACACTTTGATTCTAACTGTTTAAACAAATCAATATTATCAACACAAAGTTGATTATGAATCATACTAAGATTTCTTATCACCTCTTGCCTGGATTGAATCAAATTCGCTTCAATGATTTCAGAGGCTGATAATCGATCAATTTCAATTGGAATTTCTTCATTAGATTGTTTTCGATGATGTGCCGATTGTATTATATCATCTAATTCGTTTAATTTATTTTCAATGTCTTGTTCTGCAAAAATGAGCGCAAACTCTTTAAGAGACGTATCATTTATATAGCTTCTCATTTGTTTTCTAGCGATTTGAAGGTTCTTTAAACCATCATTAGTCTTTGCAATATTAGGAAAACATTTGGTCATTTGATCTATATTCAACGACTTATTGATTGTTTGTTCCAAAGCTTTCTGAACAACAAGGTTCAATCTCTCGTAACGCACTCTGGTCAAGTCACTCATGATATCTTATCAAATCAACTGGGTATAGTCAAAAGGATTTAAGTCTTGTTTATATTTTCAGATATTGATCGGGGAGACATTTACGACATTGTTTTTTTTTCTTCTTCTTCTTTCGGTGTACGACATTTTTTCCCTATCATGAGAAAAGCTACGCTACTTAATAAAAAGGCAAACTAAGTACCATTTGGGATACTTAATTAATTGATAATAGAGATATCCAGGATGGCCGACCCCCGTGAATTCATAGACGAGGCAGACAAGTTGCTCAAACCACAATCATGGTTCCTGCTGTTGGTTAGTGGAAGTTCACAATATTCTAGACAAGAAGAAGCTAGTGATTTATATGTTCAAGCCGGGAATCAGTATTTATTAAAGAGAGATTTTAATAATGCTGCTAGTCAATTTTTAAAAGCTTCGAACATACAAAAGGAGTTACGTAATGATAATGAGATGGCCAATTATTTGATTGAAGCATATAAATCGTTTAAATTTGTATCGCCACCAGATGCAATCAAGGCATTATCGCAAGCCATTGATATTTATTCAGCCCGTAATGGACAGTTTAGAAGAGCAGCCAATTGTACCATGGATTTAGGAGCATTATATGAACAAACCAATGAAATTGAAAAAGCTGGAGAAGCATATGAAAAAGCGGGACAATTATATACTGTTGATCATGCCGAAGCATTATCTAGTAAAGCTTTTAATAAGGGAGCCGATTTATATGCATTGGCTGGGAATTATTCCAAAGCAATTGAATTTTACGAAACGGTTAGTAAAGTTAAAGTTCATGAATCTTTAACTTCATGGAGATTGAAGGAATATTATTTAAAGATCATTTTATGTATTTTATGTTTGGATGATTTTGTTGGAGCACAGAAAAAATTCGATGAATTTAATGGAGAAGGAATTTGGGAAACTACAAGAGAATACAAATTTGTTCAGGATATCTTAGAATCCATTGATCAGGGCGATGTTCAAGCTTTCACTGATCGGGTCTATGAATTTGATCAATTTAGTAAATTAGATAAATTAAAGACCCAGTTATTATTAAAGATCAAAAAGTCCATTTTCGAAAAGGAAGATGATGATTTAACATAATTGTATATTTGTTTATATATATCTATCTATTTATTCATGTTGTAAGAAGCGCACTACATCTGGAATTAAAAAAGTCGTCTATTCAAATAATACAAGCAGAGTTAGGTCATTAGGTCAATAAAGTCTATAAATTATTCATCGTCACTTTCAGAGTCTGAGGTGTTCACCATGTCGAGGAACTTTTTCAAATGTCTTTTATCGGAAAGGTTCAAGATCTCAGGGCCCTTTTCTGGTTCCTTATGCAGATATTGACCTGTATTGGTGTTGGCGTTGCTGCTGCCGGTGCTGCTGTTACTGCTGCCGGTGCTGCTGCTGTTACTGCTGCCGGTATTGCTGCTGGCATTAGAGTGACTAGCGTTAGCGTTGGAGTTTTGATTGGCACTCATGTTGGAACAAATGCTTTGGACGGTTGTCGAAAATAAGAAAATAGTTGATTTATATGTCACCACGAATATATTAAATAATGCAACTAATAAGTTAGCATTCTATGGATAAAGAAAGGATTTTGCTGCGAAAAATGGCCCTGTCTATAGAAATATTTTTGTTTCAGATTTGATAAAGGGGTGCGAAGTGTTTCGAATGTGTTTCACCTATTGTAAGCTGATAAAATAAATCCAATCCAAAGCAAGCCCAAGTATAGAAAGACATATATATATATATATATATATATAATATGTCTATGAATCAAGAGTAAAAAGAAATTAAAAGGGATTACTGGAAAGAGAAAATAATAACCGTGGTTGCAGGATCTACCTACCTCTAATTGATACATGTAGATGAAGCGTGCAGTTCACTGCACACACAGATCTCCCTTCCAAGCAAATGACGAGCCGGCTCTTGGGTCCGACGGTCATAGGTTCACAGGAAAAGAAAAGACAAGAGAAGAGTTTTACGGTCTGTGGCGTAAGTTTATTTGACTACGATTCCCTGGACGATGACATCTCATCGAACGCACGGAGCCAAAAGCCAAACAATAGAATCCCTACGTCTCCATTTTGTGGCAGCCCAACCCAGTCATGTTAAATCGAGTTACGAAGTACGTAACTGATAGGCTTTCGTAAGACCCATCACCAATGAAGTTTCAATGCAAAGTTTTGTTCGATGCGTCCAGAAACCTGCCGGCGAAGACGTGATGCGCACAGTAAACAATGCGCTATTTTCATCGCCGCCAGCGAAGTTCGTTCCAGTTGGTCAGCACCCTTGATTTTTCTTTGGTTTTTTTTTTTTTTTTTTGTCTGGTTTATTTGTTTTTTTCTATTGTTTTTTCTTTTATTATTAATTCGAGTCATCGCCAGTCACGGGATCGGCCCTCAAGAGGTAAGTTATCCCGATTCAATTTCACATACTGTTGGAGCCGTCGGGAGTTCTTATGGATGGACTCAGCTATAAGGTAAAGTACAGTCCCAGTGCTAACTCCGCTGAAACTGAGTTTATTTGGGAAAAAGGAAAGACTCCAAGAACGGATAAGGAAAGTGGAGTCAGTATTGTATTGGTTGACAAATGTAGGAAAATAGCATGGAAATAGCATTGAAATCATTATGAATATTATGAAAACTGTATGGAAACTGTATGGAAACAATTATAAAATATGGAAACTATTATGGAAACTGGGAGAATTATTATGAAAATCCTTATGAAAATCCTTATGAAAATTATTATGAAAAATATTATGAAAAATATTATGAAAATTGTATGCAAATCATTATGAAAATATTATGAAAATTGTATGCAAATCATTATGAAAAGTAGTATGACAAGTATGAAGAATACAAGTTGAAGGGTAGAAGTAGAAGAATACAAGTTGAAGGGTAGAAGTAGAAGAATACAAGTTGAAGGGTAGAAGTAGAAGAATAAAAGTAGAAGAGTAGAAGTAGAAGAGTAGAAGTAGAGTAGAAGTAGTATAAAGTTTGTAATGCTTTAAAATAAGGTGTCCATGACAAGGGATAAGGGATGGCTGAAATATTAAGTTTTGGGAGTTTGGTCTCTGTGGGCATTGAGCTGCATTTCTCAAAGCAATATACGAACAGGAGTAAGGAGGTGTGAAAAATTAGGTAATTACTATGGAAATGTAATCCTATGTAATTTAACCATGCGATTTTCTCAACAATGTACTTGAGTAAACCGTAATATAATTTTTGTAGACGTTTAATTGATGCAAAAATTAATAAACAAAGCTTTAAGGTACGCGACTAATGGTTTTTAGTCTAATACAAACAAGTAGCCATTTGATTCGTTAAGGTCCCTATATTCCTTGCCGATTGACTATTGAGTAAACATCATGTTAGTTTGCTCCATCTTTTGACTCCTTTTATTTTCCCTACGTTTTGCCTTTGCCTTTATTTTTGTATTGCAAGCGGAACACTTAATAACAGTTGTTTAAATTTATCTACTTGGGTGTTTACTTGCATATAAAAGGCTTACAGACTGTAAAATTGGTGGTTATTCACTTTAATGTTATTTTAAGCTTTATCCTTGTAATAAAAATATAAATATCCTTCAAAATTCCTCCAAGTGATCCACCGTCGAATAAGGTGATATCTTTTCTTTTGATCAGTTTTCGATATGCTTTACGCATTGGCTACCCCTGGTTCTGCTTTCCAACCTTCTATTAAAAAACCTCAGGTTTCATGGCGTCTTAGAAAATTTAAAAAAATTTATATGGAAAGAAGAGGTTTGTCTAACCCTAGTTCAACTGAAAGCTCCTTAAATGATAATTCTAGTCTAATTGACTATATAAAGTTTGATTGAACTTACTTGCACCGTTTTTTCATTGTTTCCTACAAAGATATCAAATGTCGATTAATGGTTAAACTGTTGGTGCCTGACTTCAATAATTAGGTGATTTACGGAGTCACTGCCTTCGTCTATTGTTGTTAACTGAATCAATCTTCGTGCAAACGTCTATTACTGCAAGCAATTATATACTCATCAACATTTTCGTCAATGTATTGGCGCCAAAATTATTGTTTTCCGCAAAGACTGAAAATCCTCAGCCAAAATGATAAGCGAAGAACCTTCTCAACACATTCTAGTGGGAATTCTACATTCTATTTTTCAATAAATATTGTATATTCAATAAATGTATAAATAAGCAAGAATATATTTTGTAATTGTCTTCCAATTTGTTTTTTTTTTTTTGTCTTAAAGTTTATACTTTTTTTTTTTAGTCTTTTTCTGATTTTTTTTTTTTTTTTTTTTTTTTTTTCGCTTCCATGCATAAGCTTTAGTGGTATTAAATTAAGCCTTTTCCAAAGTAACAAAAAAAAACAAAGAAATGAAAAGAAAACGCAAACATATGAACAGATAAAAAGAAATTGACAGCTTTATGATGGAGCAAGATTGGAAAACATAAACAAAAATAAAGGAAACGATATAGAATAAAATGAAAATGAATAAAAGATAAATATTTTCTTATTTAGCTTTTAATTATGCAGATGTATTTGAATCTTCAGAAAAATCACTTTCATGATTTTTTTCAGCATTGGAAGGATCCCAGGTAGCACTTGGAACAGTTAAACCTGCTTCATTGTTCCTACGATCTCTTTCAAAATCTCTCCAACGCTTCATAATAATGTCACTAGAATCGAAAACCCCTTCTGAAGCACTATGATCACCTTTATCACCACCAGCAATTGTTCTGGTTTCACCCCAACTGAAATCATCAAATTTCCAGAATGCATAACTTGGAAGAACAAAATTCCAGATTGGTAATGCAAGAAGATAAATAAAGAAATAAATAATATATTTAAGCGAAGAAACTGTTACCACAATAATTGCCCCCGGTAAACCAAAAATAAGACCTAAAAGAACTAATGACATAACTGGAGTTGGTTTAGTATAAATTGAAACAGCAATAACATAAATGGTAAAAGTAATAGCTGCTGGTAAAACTAATGTACCAACCAATTCAATGAAAATAACGAATTGCATTGAAAAACAGAAAGTACCACATAAATCTTTAACTAAAACTAATTCCATTAAATTATGAACAGTTGAATTAATCCAACGACGACGTTGTGATAATAAAACTTTAAATTTATCAGGAACAATAGTTTTACATGCAGCTTTGGGGACAAATACTTGTTTTCTTTTTGGGAAAGTTTTCAACATTAAAGAAGTTAAATAACGATCTTCACCTAATAATAATAAATTCTTTTGATGTAAAGTTTCAACAACATTATCAGAATATCTTTCAACAATATCTGGATTAGCCAAAATCGGAACCCAATAACCATTTGAACCTTTAGGAGATTTAATACGATACATTGAAAAACACCCAGGTAAACAAGTAACCCCACCAAAAATTGATTCGAAAGCTTTAGCTTGATGATGAGAAATATAATATTCAAAAACTTGAATTGCAGTAACCCAGGTATCAGATTTATTTGAAATCTTAGTTTCACCACATAAACCCATAATCATTGGATCTTTAACCATTTCAGCACACATGTGAGTTAAACAATCAGGATAGACTTTAGTATCAGCATCAACCATTAGAATAAGTTCGTAAAATTCTGCCATTAAACCAGTAATTCTCCAAATATTACTTAAAATTTCAAAATCTAAATCAGTCATTCTTTCATCAAACATAACTTTTTGTAAAAATGACATTAAAATAATTTGAGAATCACGCTTACCTCTATTACCAGGTTTAGCAGCGGTAGCTTCAGCAGGAGTACCACTTTTAACAACAGTTAAAACTGGAACTCTTTGTTGTTTTTCAGGAGGAACAGTTTCATCATTATATTTATAAAAACCAGCATAAACTTTAGCCATATTATGACGTTTACTACCAGAAGCAACTGCAACATAAGAATAAGGCTTAACTTCATCAGGGGGGATAGTAAAATCAGTCATCATACTTAAAGCAACTTCTGGAGTAGTTAAATCATTACCAGAACCTTTAATAATACCATCACAAACAACAAAAATTAATTTATGAGAATTTGGATAATCAGTAGTTGCTAAAGAATCCATAGTAAGACGTAAACCTTCTTCATCTTCTGAATAACAAGTAACCAAAGCTAAAGTATGAGCCAAAGGATAACCAAAAGGTTGATATTCAACTGGAGGTTGAGGAACAACATCAGGATGAATAATATCTGGACTTAACCCATTAGTTGGCATATCATCATATTGATCAAAAGGATTAAATTGACTTTGGGGTCTATTTAATAAATCCATTGAAGAATTTTGATCTTGTAAATATAACATTGATCTAGTTGTATTTGATTGTCTTATCTTTTTTGGATTATTTTGATTACGAGAAAGTAAAGCAGCTTGAGTTGACATTGTGGTATATTTAAAACTTTTTGATAATTGATCAGCGTTATCATAATATTGAGATAATTCAGTATTTGGAGCTAAAGATAAACGATTTAATTTATGGAAAACACTTTGTCTATTAGTTTTGTTTGCTTTATAATTAGCTCTTGCTCTTTCAGGAACAGTTTTAATACCACCAACAGCAGAAGGATTATCAACCCAATTTTCAATTTCTTTTTGTCTTTCAAACATTGATTTACTATCGACTTGAGTAGCACCTTGTCTTAAACTAACATACCATTTGAAATAACAAGCCATCAAGAATTTAGTTAAAACGACTGATAAAATAAAAACTAAAGAAACGTATAAAACAATTTTCGAAGAAATACAACCAATAGTTTCTGAATCAATAGTACCAACTTTAATAATTTCAGTTAAACATCTAGCAGCTTTACGTTCATGAGAATTAGTTAAAACTAAAGAAATATCATGACCATGATAAGTTGGATCATCTCTCAATTTATCAAATAAAGGAGGATAAGTAACATCATCTTTTGAAATCCAATCAATTAAATCAAGATCCAAAACAATACCAGAATAAACAACCAAATTTCTTGAAGAATTTCTCAAATCATCCCAAGTAAAGTAAACATCACCAGTAGCATCTAATTTATAATAAGCCTCTCTAGCGGTCGAAGAAGTATGACAAGCCCAACCATCATAATAAGCATCAGTAAAATTAGGGGAAGTAGAACCATCTTGAGCAAACATACGACAAGGCATGTACCAAGCCAATTCATTATCATTTGAAGTTGGAATACTACAATTGTCTCTTGGTTTAATTAAATTTTTACAATTACCATTAACATTTTGAAATAAAAATGAAGCATCTTTACCACCGGCAGCAATTGGAGGATATAAAATATTAGCACCTGAACCAATACCAGCAGCTTTTGGATGTTTTGAAGAGGTCAAATCGAAAGATCTACCATTGATAATAAGATAACCATCAGAAACTTCATTGATTCTAGTTTTAATTTGAGTGTTTGAACAAACGGTTTTAGTAAAACCAAAAGTTAAATAAGCAACAAAAGCCCCAATGTAAAAAATACAAGAAATTAAACCAATTTTTTCTCTCCAAGCAAATTGACGAGACTTAGTTGGTAAACCAAATAATTTCAATAAAGGAGCAGGAGCCCAAAAAGTAATGATATAACAATAAACTTTCCAAAAATATAAATCATGTTTTGGTTTTGGATCTTCCGTTTTGGTTGGTTTGGAAATGACGTTCTTCTTCTGAGGATTATAATCAACTTCATCATTTAAACCATACACTTCTCTACCCCCTTTCAAGTTTGGGTCGTCATTCATATCCATCAAAGGAATACCTTCTTCCGGACCGCCATCATCGATATCATCATCCGAACCACGATTGGCGTGGTGATAATGATGATTTTGAGGATCCAAATGAACAGCATCTTCTTCTTCAATTCCTTCATGACTATGAGGATCAAGACCAGTGGTGGATGGTTGAATCTTTAAATGATTCGATTCCTGGTTAGCAACCTGGGTATAATGATATCTTGGATGATCTTTATCTATTCTTGATCTTTCTGGTCTAACCAAAGATTTCTTTCTTGATAAATCTCCACCTGATTCCGGATCAAATTCATGGTATTTGCTTGATCCAGCGCTATCTCTATAAGACATGGTGGCTTAATGATACTTACTTATAACTAGATCAACTCGATCTAATAAAAATTTCTAAAATAATTCAGCCGCCGACTCGAATGTCACTTTGACAATTAAAAAAAAAACGGAAAAACTCACTCACACACAGAAGTACTTTCCCAAGCCCAGATCAATATAAGCAAGCTGAAAAAGAGAAGATGTTCCCAAGCCAAACGAGTTAATGAAATATGAAAACTTAACGCTGTCGCTTGTACAATCAGCTCAAAAAAAAATTTGGAAAGAAAAATATACTAATAAAACAAAAAAAAAAAGACAAAAAAAAACATAAAAATAAAAAAAAATGAAAAAAAAAAAAAAATGCTTAATAAAGCTTTAAATTAAAAGAGAAAATTCTAAAAAAAAAACATAAAACAAAAACATACAAAAACAACAGAAAAAGACAACAAAATCTAATGAAATTTTAGTGATGGGCTGAAACAATGGCAAGGTGTTTACTTTCCGGCTTGTTTACCTTGATTTTGGGTCCAGATCAAGAGGTGAGCACACTGCTATTATTACCCAGTTTACAACAGGCTGCCCTAATGCTGGACAAGCTTGACGAAACTACTGGTTGAGTATTGGACAGCGTAGAGGCAGTCTCGAGTTTTGACTTTCGACAAATCGAGAAACGACGCGTAGGGGGGTGAAAGATCCGTACATTTGATTTCTGTAGGTTGTTCTGTTCTGTTTCTTCTTAGTATAAAGACGGTAAGAGAGGTAGTTGTAGGGCAATCTCCTCGGTGTCGGTGGTCAATCTCCAGGGTATCAGTGGTGAATCTTCACCGTATCAGTGATAGACGTCAATGAAGATACTACAATTACTAAATGTTCTAGCTTTATTTCCGGGTCTTGGTGTCATCGATTCGTATGAATTCCGATAGGTTCCACCGTACCCTGAACGAATAGAAGAATGTTTAGGCTACTGAACGAATAGAAGAATGTCTAGGCTACTCTGGTCTAGATCTAGAATATTCGTATATTTTAGGATTCACACCCGTGCACCACGCTATATATTTTGCAACCTCAATGCAGTTTCGACTAGTAAAGTCAATTGGGGGATCTTATCAGTAAATTCAATACTTTTAATCAATAGGGACTTGAGTTTTTGCAAGTTCTTGTTGGTGGAGTATCGTGGCTCGATCCGGGTTAAGCCCTGCATGATTAAGAGGATTTCTTGCTCTTGAATTTTAGGTAATGGGGCTCGGTATAGTAATTTACTGTCAGATATAAACCTTCTTAAAGTATAAGCAACCCTATTAATAAAATAGGCTAAGCTTATTTCACTCAAGAGGGTCAGGTCTTCATTCAAAACAAAAGTCATGAGCTGCTGTAAACACATGATTCTAGTATCTTGATTGGAAAACGGAGTTAAAACCGTTAATGTGCCAAAAGTATCATCAAAATTATATTGAGTCATTATCAGAACCAAATCATCAATGTTATTTTCAATGATTGACTCTTCTATATCATCAAGTTGATACAAGAACGATTTTTCGTATAATTTTTCAATAAAACTGGTTAATATTTGTTCATTATTATTTCTTCTCAATAACGCCGGCATCACTTGTTTGATTATTCGATTATACTGATCAATATTAATCGTCTCCGCTTCTTCATCGACTTCTTGGTTGAAACTAAGCATTATCCCTTGTAAGAAATACCTCCATATCTCTTCTTTATCCTCAATTAGCTCGAAATTCTCATTAATCAATCTAGTAACTAATAATTGGAAAAATTTATACGAATCAACCCATAATTTTGTTTCTCTATTCTTGATTCCTTCCGCTTTGTTTTCAATGATCTCTAATAGAGAACTTAATAATTTATAGATCACTTTATCCTCAATTAACAGTTGAACTTTCATGTCATTTAATTTTTTTTCAATTAAATCCATGGAAATATGACTAATGGCAATAAAGCTTGGAATCTTGATTTTATCTCCATTTAATTTACTACTAAGTTTTTTCTCAATCCTGATTCGGGTTTCAAATGGATAGATCAATATAACCGTTAATTGTTGAATGGTTAATCCAAGTATTTTTTCTTCTTTACTATTCATTAGCATTAACTCTAGGTTACTCATTACTGATTTTTGTAAGTTGGTGGGTTTATTTTCATCTTTCATGTTTTTCGGTAATATTGGATATCTTGCACATTTATTTAAGACATTTATAATCTTGTTTGTTTCTTCAATACTCAAGTCTGATTCAATTATATGATACAAAGGTTTGAAACAATCCATCAATACTGATAATGTATCCTGGTATTGAATGTTTATAAAGTCATACTCAATCGGGATATTAATCCAAAAGTTATAGAATAGATTTCGAATTTCCCCGTTTACTTTATCAATTTTTTGAAATGAATTAATCAAATCGTAATAACTCTTGAATATCTTTAAGTTCAAATCGTTCCATCCTAAATCTAATAAGTTTTCGAAAAACCTAATTATCCTTCTCCATAGTTTTAGTCCAATCTCAGTCGATAATCCTTCCTTATCTTCTTCGAAATTCATCATAAATTTACCATAAATAGAAACCAATCCACTTAAAATCAAGCTTAAGCTATCGATCCAATCTTTTTTATTCGATGCATTTTGTAAATTCTTCAAATCCAATAATAATGGTAATACTATTTCATAAATTAATTCCCATGATGGTATCAAATTCCCATGAACATCAATAATCTTGAAAAATGTTTGAATGGCTCCGTCTCTTACTTGTGATCTGGAATCCATCAGGATCTTGGCTAAAGTACACAATAAATAAATGTTTAAAACTCGATAAAAATTCCTCGATTCTTCAAAATTATCAATGAATTTGGTTAATTCTTCTTCACTTTTAATGGTTTGATAATCAATGGCTTTTTCATCCTTTTCGATAATTCTTGATTTGATCGAATCACTAATTAACCAAAAATAACTAACTGAACTGAAACTAATATTTAAGTCGTAAGTTTGAGAACAGAAATTATATAACGTATTAATCAATATTTTCAATTGATTGAATGGTAAACTTAATAAAAACTCATCCAAAATCAATTTCAAAGTGTCGAATGAGGATGATATTAATGAGCCAATTTTATTCATTAGTTTCTTATCATTCTTATCCTTTATATTTCTGAACGATGTATTCAAGATCTTAAACACAACATCCCATCTTTCTTGATAATAAGTATCATACTTATCAATTAACTCATGTAAAGTGTCTAATATTATTAAATGCATTTCTGTTTCACAGCTTAATAAAATTAACTCTTGTGGTATACCAATTTCAAATAATTTTTCTAAAAATACCATCAACGCATCTAACGATTTAATTGATGTTGCTTGATTAATATCTATATCATCCAGTCTGAAACCTTCATTAGTAATGTTTATTATTAAATCGTTAAAATTTTTCACTATATTGATTCTTAGATTATGAAAAATTTGGCGATCCATTCCTAACTCAATGAAAAACTTAATTAAAAGATCCCATGATTTATTATCCAATATCAAAAACTTATTTGAATTGATTTTAGTGACTTCAATCAATTTCACTAAGAAAAATGATTTGTTAAATGGACATATTTCTTTCTTTTTCATGTTTTCAATTGAAAACAATTCAGTCATGACGGTCAATAATTCATAAAATGAGTCAACGGGATATTCATTGATGCTTTCGTAAAATTTTTTCATTGATATATCTAGATTGTTTAAATCCTGATTAGTTAACGTAGGAAGCATATCGTCAGTCATATTTGTAAATATTTTATTATTATAAAATCCACTGAATTCATCAGGACCTTCTAAATAATAATCAACCCATTGAAATGTTATCCAGATAATCTTCCATGAGCCTTGTAAGGTGGATCCTAATGAGACTGCCAAATTAATTAATGCTCTTAAGCATGTTGCTTGTCTCGAATTAAATTTTCGAGGTCTGATCACTTCCTGCTGCTGCTCCAAGGATAAATTCGATTGAGTAGGTGAAATAATTGTATCACCATTTTCATTAGATGATTGAAATTGTGAAGGGCTTTGTGAATTTGGACTTTGAATGGTAGAACTAAATGACTCAACTAATGACTCACCAAATGCTAATAATTGTTTACCTTGTTCTTGTAAGCTATTTCCTCCTTGGGCACTTCTCTTTATATCTGTTTTGGATACATTATTAATAATTGCATCACTTAACATGGTTAATAAACCATCCCTCAAGTTCGATAAGCCAAGCAATCCAGCAGTGTGGATAAATTTTTGTAATGAACGAATTAAATTATGAAAAGATTCATTATCCATTGAAAAATAAATAAAGTTCTGAAATAAAACTAATACATCTGGATAGCAAGATTCGATTAAGCTTGTAATGAAATCAACATTAAGCTCCAAAGTTTCTGGATCTGATGACAATTCACTAACAAACAGTGCAGTACCTTCAGCATAACTTATTAGAATTTTCAAAGTCAAGTATATACTATAAGTGTTTGGTATATTATTTGGAGGTTCTGACTTATCAAGATGATCCAATATTGAAACTTTCATTGAAGAGGTTTTATTGGATACTGTATTTATATTTGAAGATGGGAATCTAACTGTATCATTTAACAAATAAGAATTATTTGTTAAAAAGGTGCTCATTATAGACATTAATTCCTGAACAACATTTTTCTTCTTTGGATTGGAATCATATTTTTCATAAATTCCTTTAATGTTATTAAAATCATTAAATAATGTTTTAAACATCTCTAGGACCAATATTTTTTCCCAGCTAATTTGATCTGAAGAGTCTTGAGTAATGGTATTTGAATCAGTATTTAATAATAAATGGTTTAAGTATGATAATATGATTTCATTTTCTATTTCAAGGTTATCGAGTTGAGTGGATAATAAAACATGTATAATTCTAATTGATCTAGTAGTTAATTGAAAGTTTTGATTGGGTAAATTTAGAATGTTTAATAAACCTGGAACTAGGTTATGTCTTAACAAATAAGAGAGTTCTTGGTGTTTATCGAATAATTTTCTATGGTTCGAAATGATATTTTCGATGATCTCCAAAATTGAAGATTGTTTAATATGCTCTTCTTTTAAAAATGTTAATGGTTCATTCCTTATAATATTACATAGGTCATTTAATATTCTATAACCTTCATAAGATGACTTATTTACTTTTAAGATTTCATCATTATCCACAACCACATCATAATCACCTTGAGTTTCTTGAATTTTATCATAAACATTACTAAACAATTGTTGCAATGTTGCTGAAGCAGTATTATTAACAACCGGAGATTTATTATTTGAAGCCAAACTTGAACAAATTCCAAGTAAGCTTAATAAATTTTCACCTTCAATATCATATTTCTGTACCAAGCTAGGCAAACATTGTAAAGTTCTTAGCTGTATATCAACATTTATATTAATTGCTTCTTCAAAAGATTTCAATAAACCTTTAATATTTTCAATTGGTACTAACGACGATAAAATCAATCGATTTAGGACCGGAATGGAAGAGCTAGTGAGTTTGGCATTGCCAGAACCACTAGCTATTATGAATGGCTTAACCAAATCAATCTTGATTTGATTATCCAGTATATCATTAATATGAATTGACGGCAGATAAGCTTTAAGATCGGATAGTGCTTTGTCACAAGCGTGTCTGGTTTCAGGACTTTTCCGCTTGGACTCCGAAGCCAAATTGGTCAAATCACTAGTTAGATGTGATACCAAGCTCATACTGGAATTCAATTGAATCTAGACCAACCCTGGTTTATATTTACGAAATCAAAGTATATCTTGAAAGATTAGTAGTAGAAACACTTGTTATGTTGATTTTTCTGATCGGTCGGGCGGTCGTGTGCCGCTCGAGAACTCGTTGAAAATTTGCAGTTACAATTGTAGTTGCACCAGTAGCACCAGTAGCACCAGTTGGAGCGAATAAGTATTGCAACAAGGGTTGGCTTGGATGGGTGGCCTTTTCGTGGTGGGTTCTTCTTCGAAAAAGCCTTGCACGAATTCCCAATTACGGAGAAGTCTACATTCTAGTACAAGTTTTGCATAGATCTGGGAAAAATCGGGTGAAATATTAAGTAAATGTACAACGATTCGATGTGATTATGATAGAAACAAGCTATGTTGCACTCATACCCATTCGGAAGTTAAAGATCCAGGCATGTCTCGTACGACCGAAAAATCTCCAGATTTCATCCTACTTGTAAGACACCACTACTGGTTCGTCGTAAAAAAGTCGTACGTATATGCTATGAAACCGGAAAAACTTTTCGGTTATTCCCTTAACAACCTGAATGGAAAATTAGCTAATGGCAGCAGCTGAAACAAACAACAGAAAACAACGGAAAACAGTCAGAACAAGTTGCAGAACAAGCTGCAGAACACAACAAAAGCAACAGCAACAGAAACAACAGAACCACCCGGGGAAGGCAAACGGTGACTATGAAGCCAACCAGGCGTTTTACGTCATTTAAGCTTTGAATTAAACTAGCAGGTGTGCGGGAATAGAATACCGAACCCATCAGGTGCTTTTAGTTATGCGTTGGTCGCGAAATCACAGAAAGCCAGCTGCAAAAAAATACACCGAGTAAGTTAGAAAGGTGAATATAACGTTAATTAAATAAAAGTTTATAATAATATTGAGCATACGAGAAATGAAGGTATATACAGCTAGATACACAATAAATAAAGGCGAGTAAGAGAAGAAAAAGGAATCATTACTTTCGTAGAAGGACATTAAAGATTATTCAAAGATATCTGCATTACCACCGAGTCTTAATATTTCTTTTTTCAAATTTAAATTTTCTTGAATGATTCTTTGTTCATTACTTTGAAGATATAAGATGTAATCGGTTGCTTTTTCTAAGATCATTGATTTATTCAAACGATTACAATTAACAACAGCGTTTGCTGGATCTTTCTTTGGATCAATTTTTCCGGTTTCAAAAGCAGTTTTTTCAGAAGCAACCCAAGGAATGATTTGTTGTAAGCCGGCTATTTTAGCATTGATATTAATTCTATATTTTTTTTCAATTTTATTATGAGCTTGTTTCTGAGTATCCGTTAATCTTTTTCTTGGATTTCTCTTCTTAGTTGGTTTTGAAATTGATGATTTTTCATCAGAAATCAGTTTAGAACGACGATTATTCTTATTAATTGATTCATCTTTTAAAATATCTTTAGTATCAAAAATCGATTCTAATGACTTTGGTGTATAATCACTTGATTTTTGTAAGGTTTCTAGTTTATTATTAACGGAGTAAAGATCAGGTAGGAAATTCTCCTCATTTGCTTCAATCTTTATATGAGGACTGGTAGCCTGACTAGTTTCGGAACTTGAAAAAAATTCCGGTCCACTGAAAACACTATCGTTATCGAAATATTTTTCTAAATTTGAGTTGGTTTGAGAAAGTTCAGCCACATCAAAGTTTGAATATTGTTGTGGCAAGTCATTCAAATCATTAAAGCTATTACTGTTAGTGATTGGTGCGGATTTAGCCAATAGTTCATTAATCCAACCTTGATTATCATCATTAGAAGTTATTGGTGATAATGGTTCGGATGGAGCAAAAGAATATTTCTTTAATTCTTTTGCTTGTTGCGTTTGCTGATATTGAGGAACAGAATTCTGATAATTGTTCATTGTTTTAATTAGTTGTTAGTTAAGATGTATTCAACACAAAAGTTGTTGTTGTATTATAAAATAATTAAACCGGTGGGAATTCCCTGGGGGATTCCCTTGATTTAAATAACTCATTATTGGGACTTGTAATGGTTTCCGCCATTCTCTTAACTGCCTTCAAACTCCTTTCCGAATTCTTTAAACTGTTTGCTGCAATGCATGCAAAAAGGCAAAAAAAAAAAAAAAAAATAAAATAAAATAGATTCAACTAGTAAACAAAAAGCTAATAATAAAAAAGAAACCCCCCAAATGCAAATAATGGGTAGATTATCGCAAAAGATCACCATATTTTCAATTATCTCGACTCATATCCAAGCTTATAACTCCTCGCAAAACATGGGTTCGATCAAAATGCTACATTAGAACAAATCTAATAGATCCATATGGTTTGTAGATCTACTCTGTCCTTGCACGTTTCATCCTTCTAGAAGCAAAAACATCCAAATGGGGGGAATGGAATTACTCCCTTCCCTTCTCCATCTCCTACATTGCATGTTTTCCTGCAAATGCTTTTCCTATTGGAACTACTAAACATCTTCAGCATGATAATTTGAGCCCAATAGAGAAGGACGTGATCGGAAAAACCTCGTATGGTTTGGGATGCCCCCTGCTTGTGTGCAGGCATTATCATGAGACTTATGCGAGAATGGAATTTCGGGTTTGGGGTTTTTCCGGGTGGTCGATTTGGATCGGGTTTTTCAGTAGGTTTGCTTGTAGTATCGAAAATAACGGATGATTTTTGTTCCGTAGCGAGTTAGCATGAGTTCTTGATAGACTGACTTTTCGTTAGACTTTTTAGGTCTCTAAGACGATGGGCCAGTTACTGCGCACGACGGTTTTACTTCTAATTTGCTGCAAAAGCAAAAAAAGGATCTGGGTTATGATATTTTTGATAATTCAATCGTAGATGAAACGAAAGGGAGTGGAGGATGTTTAATTACCCTATTGTGGGCACCTTGTTCTCCTCCTTAGCAAAGTGATTAGTTCGGTGTTTGGAGTACTCAACCAATAGTCGCAATTTTCCTTCCAGTTTAAGCTGCTCAATTAGCGAGGTTACTTGGAATCTGGCTTATCGATTGTTCTGCAACGCCTAATTATTATCTCAACTATCCCTTTATCCGGACTGCAAGAAGCATCGGTGTCCGATTTAGAGTCGAACTCAATTGGTTTGTCTTTTTCCCAGAGCTATTGGGTAATTGCGGCCGGTCTTTTGTAGTCTTCCCAATGTTTCCAGTTCTCAATGATGAGTCCCGTACATCTTTGGTGCTCATGCTAACTAGGCAGCAATTTATGAACATACAAAATACTAAGCAATTGTCTCTTGGACTGTAGAATAGAAGACGTCTCCACTGCTTAACTATTCGATTGCAAATATTTGAATTACCGGCGTGTGAAAACCGGAAATAGATAAATCGCAGGTTGCATGTAACAACTTACAGGTTTTCTCCGAGGTTGAAAATTTTGTTTGCACGTGACCAAAATAAAACAAAACCAATATGTACGGGTCTTATCGGGTGCCAACGGTTAATACACCAATCCATCAGCAACATCCTCCGACATCATTGGACTCGTGTTAACTTGTATTCGAGACTCCCCAGCGCATAACCTTCACTGTCAATTGATAGTATCATAAGACGGCTGGTTGAATGATTAATTACTGCTCATCTTCAGTGGATTAAGTAAATGGCACCTGCAATCAATTCTCGTTCCCGCCCGAGAGCTTCAACGGTTCAAGGTAAGCCCGGAAGTCGGCCTTCACCTAGTCCGGTACAACCAAGATCATATTCACAGCAATTTGTTAAACCAATAGGTCAGACTAAAGTTCAGACTCAAAATCAAGACCAAAAGTTCAATTTAAGTAAAAATCAATCGTCAATGTCTACGTCTAAAGCTACTGGACCTGATTCAACAATTACTTCAAATGAAAATGCAAAAAATCATGTTCCAAGACAATTTAAATTAATATCAGTTAAATTCAAAGAAGCCGCTCTTGATTCTCCGAGTTTTAGGGCTTCGGTGAATCATATCGATTCTCAAATTGATAACATCGATAAATGGTTGAGGGCAATTGATAGTTCAGTTAAAAAAATTCCAAGATATATTAAAGAGCTTCAAACTTTTGGTAATTCTTTTTTAGAACATTTGGTTCCGACTTTCATTCAAGATGGTTTAATCGATCAAGAATATACTGTTCAAGCCTTGAAATCAACTTCCGATTCTTTAACAAAACTATGGGGGGATAGTTTAGCAGCTTTATCAATTAATACCTATGTTAATGAAAATTTAAATCGTAAATTATTCAAAGTTATCCAACATTATCAAAATGTTAGAACTGAATTTGAAATTGCTCAACAAAAATATGATCAATATTTAGCTATTTACGTTAGCACTCCCAAAATAAAAGAAGCTTCAATTGTGATAGAAGATGCAAAACAACTATTTGAAGTTAGAAAAGATTACATTCATTCTTGCTTAAAATTAGTCACCGAAATCTCCGCTCTAGAAAATCAAATTGATCGTTCATTAGTTAGATATTGCTCAGATATTTGGAAATCTAAAAGAACAAATTTAATTTCAATAGAAGCTTTCGATCCTATCTTTAGTGTTCATAGTTCTAAAATTAAAAAAATTCAGGGCTGGTGTGATTCTTATTCTTCAGCAATTGAAAAATTGAAAGATGACATGTTAGTCGCAAGAGATCAAGTGGAAGAAAGTGCAAAGGTACAATTTTCTCCTTCAATGGATGTTAATGATTATAAAATTTCTTTAATCAATTCAAAAGTCTTGGATGATATTACTGATTTAGGCTTTGAAAAACATGGATATTTATTCATGAAAACTTATGTGGAAAAAGCTTCAAAACCTATTTGGGTTAAACGTTGGGTATTTATAAAAGGTGGTGTTTTTGGTTTATTGGTTTTAAGTCCTTCTCAAACTTTTGTTCAAGAATCTGATAAAATTGGTATTTTGTTATGTAATGTTAAGTATGCTCCTCATGAAGACCGAAAATTTTGTTTTGAAATAAAAACAATAGACCATACTTTTGTATTTCAAGCTGAAACCTTATTGGATTTAAAATCTTGGTTGAAAATTTTCCAAAATGAAAAAGAACGTATCTTAAAAGAAAATGATCCTCAAAATAACGACTTAATAAATTTAGCTAGCGGAAGATATCCTCCAATAGTTACTGAATTTGCTTCGACTCTAAATACTTCTACCGATCGTGAATTTACTAATACTAAAGTAATTAATACTGCTGGTCAAATTATTACTTCAAGTAAATTATCGCATCAAATTGAACACGATGAAAGATTCTTTAAAAGGCATATTTATTATCAAATCCCTCAGGTAAGACCTCCCTTCATGACTGATCAAACAAAATCTTCCATCATTGCTTATTCTTTGGCTGCCGCAAATACCTTACCTACTGCATTGACTGCTAATATCTGGGGATCTGCAAACTGGGGTTTGTACTATTTACACGAGGTGCCTCCATTAGAAAGAGAACACCCGTACTTGAACGAAGCCCTTGATTCAGTTGATCGGGAAACTTTAAATCTTGATGGTGATAAAGAAGGAATAAACTATCCCGATTATTATCCTTATGAATTGGTTCCGTTGGATATTCAAATGAGAGCCTTATTTGAAACTGCTGTTTCGCCTGGTGAATTATGCTTGTTTAGCTATAGATGTATTTGGTCTCCGAATTCTCACCAGGAATTGAGTGGTCGGTGCTTTATCACAAATCGACATGTTTATTTCTATATGCAATCGTTAGGATTTATTGCCCTTACAAAATTACCAATTGAACATTTGGTTGCAGTCGATTATTCCACCAAGAAAAATCATGACATGTTAAAAATTTATAATATGAATGGTGTTGTTAAAATGAAATTATTTTTAGATGATGGTAAATTGATCAAACGTAAATTAACATATTTGCTAGAAAATAATGCAAGCGATCATCCAAAGCATTTTCATGAAGTTATTAATAATCTAGTTAAGCTTGAGAATCAACATCAATTAGAATTAAAAAATGAGGCACGTAATACGGTTATTGCTACTAATTTAGGGATACCAGTTGATCTGCTTAATCTTCGTCAGCATCAGTTACACCTTCAGCAACAAAGAGAATTACAAGGAGAAGATTATAATGAGGAGTTGTTACCAACTGATTTTAATTCATTCACAATATCAGCGAAAGACAGTATCAAAACTCCTAAGAAACTTGAGTTTAGTGACGTTTCTAAATTAGTAATAGAGCAAGTTTATAATGCACCACCAAAGGCGTTATTTCACTCATTACTTGGGGACGATACTAATCTTTTAGAATCTTACATTCAATTAATTCGTCTTGAGTCGGTTATAAAAGCTCCTTGGCAACGAAAGGATGGTAAATTAATAAGACAGTACAATTGTGGTGTAATTCATGATGGCAGGAAATCAGGCACAATCCAATTTACTGATACAATCGAGGTACTTATTGAAAATGAATATTACATATTTACCCATGCGAAATCTTCCTTCAAGTTACTATATTATGGTACCCCTGCCAGCGTCGAATTTAGATATGTATTATCTAAGGTACATGGGAACCGTACCAAGGTTTCTATCTATAGTCGGTGTGAATTTCACGGGAAACTGCTTATAAGTAAGCTAGTTAAACCCTTAGCGTATTCAATCAGCCGCAAAGAAGCCCGCCAAGTCGAAAAAGCTTTACATGACGTTGTTCGAAGCGTTGGGAATCGTGGTAATATCTTGAAAGCCATCAATATTTATGGTAAGCTAAGTTTCAGTGAATCTGATATTGTAGCTGAAAAAGTCAAACCAATAACAATGAGACCAACTTTTTTCATCAAATTTATATTGGGTAATTGTTGTATGTTTGTCTTATCCCATGTTTCCAATATTTTCCATTTCGTTCTCAACTTATTGATCACTCTTTTGAAAAGTATCAGGTTGAATCAAGTTCTAATACTAATTATTGGTTTATTATCCGTTTTAAACTTATTCTTGTCAACCAAGACTACAACTGCGTATTGGGCAACCAGAAGGGCTAATAATGTTGCTCGTGATTTCTTAATGAAAGATCCAGTAATGTTGAAAAGAGCCATTTATTTGAAAGACACACAAGATATGATCAATTCACATAACAATATCTCAAACAACGGTGAAGAATCGCCATGTTATAAATCTTTCAAAGATGTATCATTCATAATGAATTATGATAAATTTGATAATTGGAATAAAGAGTACGGTGATGAATCAACCAAGTTAGTAGCTCAAGGTTTGAAAAAGACGTTTCAAGAGATTGGAATCAAGAGACACAAGTTATTAGTTGACTTGAGAATGTTGAATGAAATGGAAGAAGAATTGGGCAAAGCGGAATGGAGAAATTGGATAATGAACGAATTGGGAAAGTGTGCTTATATTAAATCTAATCTTTTTGACCAAGTTCAAAACTTGGGCGAAGATACTGACGATTTAAATTCAGGTATTGATTCTGTTATGCAATTTTGCCATAGCTGCGAACAAGATTTAAAGTATTTAGATTCCTTGCTATAGATGAATGTTTAATATTATGAATACGAAGACTTAGATACGATTTTAGTAGTTATTTTTTTTCTTTTTTGCATAATTGCGTCTCTTAAGGAATTATGCAAAAGTTCACCCAAAACTTGACTAAACTCAAAAAAATATATAATCGTTTTGTACCATTCTACTCCAACTAGTTTGAAGATTTGCACAATTGTCCACGATTGATTTGCAAAACTAGCAACTTATGCCGATTTGATGAGTAATCCTGGTCTTCGAATCAATAGGCTCGAGAATAACGAATGAATTTCAGATTTCATGTGGAACACTTAATATACAAAGAAGAGATGTACATGTACTTAAAAAAGAGAAAAAAAGAAAAGAAGCTAGCCCTCTCACCGGAGTTTCAATTGTAGAATGGCAACTAATGCAATCACAAGTGTAAAGGCCGAAAACAGCTCGCCATCCTAAGAGCCATTTGACCGGATAGCGTGTTTTTCGGTATAAGCTCCCTGCAAATGGGTGAGGTCTCATCTTTAATTGCATTTTTGTTACCGATCATGAAACTCGTAGCCGAGTTTCAGTTGCCAAACCCCAACGGTGGAAGTGGTATAAATCCGATTTGCAACTGGTGATCTGACAATCGATACCGTTGGGCCTATCGTTGTCAACCAAATTATACTTTCATGCTAAAAAAATAAGTGATGAGCTTCCAAGTATGAGCAACTAGAGCCTGGCATTAGGCGAAAGTGCAAGTCAAAGTCGTCTTTGTCTTTGATACTCAACACAAGTCTGCCAGCTCCCGGCCGAGAGAGAATAGAGCTTTTTGGATCACCTCTAATCACATACCGTGCACGTCGTTAAAAAACGTTATGAAAAAAAAAAAAGAATACAAAAAAAAAAAAACCTAAAGCGCAAAAACGTCAAAAAAACTGAAAAAAAAGCAAAAAAAACGGTTTTTCTAGTTACTTTTCCCAAAAGGGAAAGGTAAGACACCCATGCGTCTCTTTGAAAGCGAGTAAGCAATAGCCAGTAGGTTGAGCAGATGCCGATGCCGTTGGAGGAAACACCATGGGTTGATTGTTGCAAGCAAAAGTTCGTAAATGGTTCGGCTACTTAGTTATAAAAAGGAATCTTCCACATTTTTGGAACCATTCGTCAAACAAGTGTTGGGCCCAGGGAGTAGAGGTACCAATGTCAATCAAATTTGAGGGATTTGTTGCTTATCGGTGAAGACCTGACAATGCTTGACTATGGGACTCGGAATCTCCAATCAGTTTTCCTGAGCATGGATTGAACAAAACAACCCTTTTCTCTGAAATGAAACAGAATAAGTTTTCCTGGGCTTTTGTAATCCATCTTCGTTAAACTACATGTACAATGACCTAAATGTCATACAGAGTGCTTAATGAAATCTTTTTGATGCACAAACATCACAAACCAAAAAGAAAAGAGCAAAAGTACCCAATGCTCATCCATGCCAATGGCTGATGATGGGCATGGTTCAATCTGATAAACCACTTGTACGTTATATCAGAGTATTGTCGGTTGGTATTCTGAAGGTTGTGAATTGGCAGTTATGCTTTAATAACAAATTAGTCATCATTAGTTGATCTAACGGAGTTTCTATTGTTTTCTCCCTTCAAGAAATTTGGGTTAAGTTTTTACGCCTACTTTGATTCTTTCTTGTTATTGTAAGCTTAGTTTGTTCCAATTTCGTACCTTTTTCAATTGTTAGAAAAAAAAAAAAAAAAGATTTTCTTCCCACTATCTACATTTTAACCAGGTTACCTTTTAGGTAAGACTAGGGTTTTACAAGCGTATTTTATGTAAGCCAGACACCTCCCTAACGGTCTTTATATATCACACTTGCTTTCTTCCTTTTTGGTTTTCAGTTGATTTTTTTCATTTCTTTTTTCCGACTTATCTGGTGCCATTTTCCTTTTTTTTTTTAAGCTTTTACAAAAGATCTTTTGTCTGCTTAAGAGATCCTCTAAAAGTCTATTCGGCCTATCAAATATAACTATTTGCTTACATCATGATGAAATCATTATCTTTTCACTCGAGCCAACCTCAAAAGAAGAAGATTGCAGTCGTTCCCCATGTTATCAAGGGGAAGGATGTTGTAACTAAGAAGTTGGAGCCAGTTTATTCTCATCAAAATACCTCGAAGAAAATTCACGATTTTGCTGCTTTAACCAATTTAGAAGGTGATATTGCTCAACTCTGTGATGACTCTTACTCTGGTTACTTAGCGTGGTCTACTAAATCTCATATTGAAAGAACCAAGATTCTTCAAGCCGCTGCACAAAACGTTAGAAATCGTCGTGAAGATTTCTTGCTGAGTTTGGAAGAAATTGGTTTAAGTAATCAATTTGCTGAATTTAATATCATGACTGCAGCAAACCATATCGAAGAGTATGCAAGAAATATCTCTCTGCCTGACGGAACCTTAACAAAGTCCGATCTTTGTGATTTATCTTTAATCGTTCGTAATCCAATTGGTCCTGTTTACTCAGTTGCTCCTTGGAATGCTCCTTTGATTTTAACTAATCGTTCCCTTGCTGCTCCTTTAGCTGCTGGTTGCTCGGTTCTTTTGAAATCCTCGGAAAAGGCTCCTTTGGTAGCTTACTTTTTGGTCAAATGTTATCTTGATGCTGGTGTTCCTCCAAAAACACTTCAACTTTTCCATGTTGCTCCAAGAGAAATTCCTCAAGCTACTGAAATGGTTATTTCTAATAAACATGTTCGTAAAGTAAACTTTACTGGTTCTACTTTTGTTGGTGGTAAAATCGCATTAACTTGTGCAAAATATTTAAAACCTTATTTGTTGGAACTTGGTGGTAAAAATTATTCAATTGTCTGTAAAGATGCTGATATTCCAAAAGCTATTGAAAATATCTTTTTTAGTGCCTTCTTTCATAAAGGCCAAATTTGCATGTGTCTTGATAAAGTATTCATTCACGACTCAATTTATAATACTTTTGTTGAAAAATTACAATCAATGGCTAAAAAGGCTTTGAAAAAACCTGATCATGAAGTCCCTCAACGTGATATGGTTTCTACTACCAAGATTCATGATTTAGTTGCCGATGCTCTTAATAAAGGTGCTAAGATCATTTATGGTGAAAAACAAGATTTAGTTATTTCTTCTTCTGGAGATCATACCGCCATGACTCCAATAATCTTAGCAGATATTACCCTGAAAATGTCTCTCGATACGGTTGAATCTTTTGGTCCAGTTTTGAGTCTTCATAAATTTAAAGATGAAAATAAATTAATAGAAAAAGCTAATGGTGAAGAGTATGGATTAAAAGTTTCTATTTGGTCTTCAAACGTTTTGCATGCTTTATCTCTCGCTAAAAAAATCGATTCAGGTGGTGTCCACATTAATAGCTCTTCTATTCACGATGAAGCTTATCAACCTCATGGTGGTGTTAAAAGCAGTGGTTGTGGTAGATTCAACAGTTCTTGGGGTATTGATTCTTTCTCTTACATCAAAACTATCACCTTAAATCAATAATTTGCATTCAGATCAATCAATTTTTCTTCTTCGTTAAAAAAATCGAGTCTGCTTTTTTTTTTCTTTAATGTTCTTTAATATGGGAGATAGCTTTTCCCATCATGTGTTTTACTAGTGCTTTCTACTTGCTTGATTTGAGATGTTTTCACGATACTTTGTTCTGTTTTGCATTGTTTTATTTAATTTGTTCTTTTTGTCTATTTTAATAAATACATACTTGCATTGAATATATAAATATAATTAAAAGCCTCTTTTGTTTAAATTGTCTATTAAATCTAAGTATAATGCAACTGGGTTAAAGTTTGGTTTTGAATTGAAAACTTTTTCGTCGACAGCTTTTCTTAGTTTATTCGTCCAATTTATTAAATCTAAATGGTCAACATTATCAAGAGTTCCTAGGTATTCCCCCCATTTCGAACTCTCAACACTGACTAGTCCATCATTGTCATACGACCCTTGCCCCCCTATTCTGGATTTTATTATGGCCCATGTAGGCGTGAATACATTAAACCATTTGGGTTTCATTCTAGCCCCATATGAGAAATATTCTACATGGGGATCATCTTTAACTTGCTGATTGAATTCTTTCAAGTATGACGTAGTTAATTGTTCGATACATTTTGGATAAGCCAAACTTAATGGCTTGATAGTATCCATGAAAAAGTCGGCACATTCAGATCCATGATGTGGAGTTGCTACTGTAGTTAGCGAGACTACTTTATAATTTGAATTCTGGGACTTATGCTGTAATTTGGAAATTAAATATCTTGCGTCAAGGCCTCCCATAGAATGGCTTACTAGGTTTAGTTTAATCGGCTTATTAGCAGTTTGAAACGACTCATTATTCTTCGTGTTATCAGTCTTTTTATTGTAAATCGAAGCCTTGCTTTCACTTTGGCGTAGTTCTTCACATTTTTGATCAATGAATTTCTCCAAATGAATTGCTCTTTCTTCAATTGTGCCAAAAGCTGGAACCTTGGCTATGAAAACTTTAGTCCCGATCAGTTCTAGTGCTCTTTTAATCCCATACCAGTACTCTAGATTTATGAAATGAAGATTACCAGCCAAGTTTTCAATGTTTTCAGCAACCTCTTCAACTTTTTCACCTACTTTGCGTTGTACTGGATTTAAAAACTTGGGTTTTGCAATGAAAGACAAAGTATCGAATCCCATAAATCCATGACATAGCACGACAGGATACTTAGAAGGAGCATAATCGTCTTTAAGCTGACTGAATTTATCTGTAATGATTAAATCATGGCCATTTCCAGGCTTATCAATCTCGGTCTTTTGAGACAAATATTTTATGGGCTGCAACCAGACTTTGCGTCGCGTACGAAACGGACCTAGCTTATCCATCAAATTCCTCCGTATTAGCATCATGCCATGGTTTTAGCTTTTAGGATCCAATGTTGAAGTATTCGCCGTTGCTTTAATTATAGAAGTGTCGCAATTTGAATTACCGTTAACTTTTTATGTATTTAGAGTTCTACATGCAGGTAAAAAAAACTATATATACATTTTTTCAATCATTTCCCACTGATTGTTTGAACCATTAAGTCCTTGACGTAGCCCAAAGAGTTCAAAGTCTTTATACCGAAACCCCTGAGGTATACGAACGGTGTCCATTGGACTGCAAATATCTTATGCAACTTGTCACAAGCACCTAATATCATATGGTTTGATGGCCAGGCATCAGCAACGTAATTTTCCAAAACTAAAGTGGAACCGATGTCCATACCACGGTCAACACCTTTTTCCAAAGCTTGGACCAAGTGACCGACATCAGATTGACCCATGTTAAGACCTTGACCTGCCAAAGGGTGAATTGTATGGGCAGCATCACCAACCAAAGCGATACGAGGTGCCATATAGGTATCAGCATGAGACAATTTCAATGGGAATCTTGCTCTTGAGCCTGGAACCAATTCGGTTACTGGTAAGGGGTAGTTTTCTTCTAAATCAGATATGTCTTTTTTTGACAATCTCCAAGATATGTCTTCCAAAACAGATCTATCATTTGGATTATTCTGTAAAGTCTTATAAATGTATTGTAAGTCGACTTCCTCGAGAGTCATTGCAGCGGTAAGTAAATGAGGAAAGATAACTTCATCAACTTTTAATAACAATTCGGCTAATTCAGGAGTCGAAGACCAAACGAAAGTAGCATTGTCATCAGTTAAAGGTAAGATTGCTAAAGGACCAGTTGATAAAAATCTTTGCCAACCAAGAGCTCTATAGTCTTCAAATTGCATTTTGATGGTACCTACAACGCCCCAGCGATCATATTGCCATCCTCTAGATTCTATACGGGCAAACTTTCTAACTGGAGAGTTATAACCATCAGCACCAACTAACAAACGTGCTTGTAATGCTTCTCCATTGTCTAATTTGATAATTGGCCAATCTAAAGCTTCATCTCCAGCGCTTGGATCTATTTCATTCAAGTCACTGTGAGAGTGAGTGTGCTGGGCATTCAAAGGATCTTCTATATCAATGACTTTTGTGTTGTCAAGAATGATAGCTGGTTGGTCCTCTTCTTCATCAATTATTTCGTCATTAAGTTGCTCAATTTTGGATATTAACGAGCTTTGGATGTTGATATTTTCACTCATGGCTGCTAATACACCAGATCCAGTGGTAGTCCCATCAAAACTAATACGTGATGAGTTATCTTGACCATCATATGCACGAATACCATCATAAAATTTGATTCTGTCAAGATTTATAAAATCCCAACTTCCTATTTTCTCTTGCATAAATTCAACCGATTTAGGCGTAAGAGAAACAACCCTATTAGTATAGTTTTCCGGAGGATCCATTCCAAAATCACGAATTGGGTCTAAATTTGAACCTTCAACTAAAGTACATTTCAAGTGCTTTGTTTTATGGGAATTTTTCAATGCCGCAAGTAAAGATAATCCTGCTGGTCCACCTCCAATTATAACAACATCTTGTAATTTGGGAGCAGATACCAGGGCTGCAGTAGCTAATGATCTAGTCGCTGACTTCCACATCCTTAGACAATGTTCAATAACGTTTCACTGGAAATGGGATCTTCATATAGTTTTTCTACAAATTACTTTAGAGAATCGCACCTATAAAAAAATCAAAAAGAAAAAGTCAATATCGGCCCATTTCTAATACAAATATGACAGGAATATTATTATTGACTCCATTCAATTGAAAAAATACATAGGTAGAAATAAGAAGCATTATAGAAGAATGTTACCACTCAAGTCCTTAATTGAGGGTAGTTTTTGTAAAATTTTAATAACTATACGATAAAAAAAAAAACTAAAAAAAAAAAAAAAAATTAAATAACCCAAATATCTATGCTCTGATTCCGATTGGAATCTTATAAATAAGCTTCTCAAAGCTTATGTTGACACGCTGAGCTGATCAACTCTTTGGGATATCGCTTAATTTAACTTTCCCACTTTCAATCCAATAAGGATCAATCAATTTTTCCTTTTCTTCATACATGACTTTGTATGAAGTTTTAATGGTACCATCACTGACACCGGTCTTGTCAGCAATCTTGGAAGGAGGTAAATCCGTTCCAAACACTAGAGCGGCCATGTAGATAACAGTGGCTGCAATGGTCATTGGCGATCTACCTTGTAAAACACCTACTTCTTTACAACGTCTGGCAATATGCTCTGCAGCATTTGTAACTTGGGTATTTAAACCCAAATGAGAACAGAATCTTCTAATCAAATCTTCAGCTGAGGTTTGAGTGGTTTGCTCACTATCTTGAATCAAAGAATAAGCATTTGGATTGGCAGCATTCTTTTCTTGAATAACCTTATTCATAATTTTGAAAACTTTACCAATCTCTTTCTTTGGAACATTAGTTAAAGCCCAAATTTCTTTGAAAGAACGGGCAACCTTGGCTTTACGACACCCAATGAAAATAGATGCGGCCATGATTGATTCTTGAGATTTACCCCTTAAAGGACGTTCATCATAAACAAGTTTATAAACTTCTTTAGCACCATCCTGAACAATCTTAGGTAACTGATAACCATCACACATCTGTGAAATCTTTGTATAAGCAGCAGCCAATGCGTTATCCTTCTTGTCAACCAATGATTTGGACTGTGCTCTATTTAATTCACGTCCTGCTTTGGTATTATCAGGTACATAAGAAATCATAGTTGATAAATCTTCTGAATCTAATAATGGATTACCGGCATCACCCACACGACTTGGGTCATCCCCATTTTGATCATCATTACTAAAAGTTCTCCATTCTGATCTGGTATCAACAACTCGATCACTTAAAACCAATCCACAACTTCCACATACTATATCTCCCTCACTAAATCTTTCGATTAAATCTGGTGGGAAGATCTTACATTCAGGACAAGTCAAAGTGATATTTAAGTTGGGACCAGTGAATGGTTCATCTATGGCTGGCTTTGAAGCAGTTTGGGCACTCATCATCATTTATCAAAGAAAATACAAACGCTGGGATTACTAATAAGCAAATATTGAAACTTGCTGTCCTCCAATATAAATATGGATGCTTTCAGTAACTTTAAACCAGAACAAGCCGCCTATGAATATTGCAGTAGTCGAATGAACGATACAGCAATTCAATGAAGATTATGTGAAGATAGAAGATAAACTATCGTTAAAGAAAAGAAGAGAAACTTGTAATAAATTAATTCTTCATATATCAAACCTCTTTTTTCTTTAGTATTCTTTTTTTTTTTTGTTTGCCCGCTTTCGTATGGGCGTGCGAATATCAAGTCATATATAGGTCGACTGAAGATTACAAATGATTGATGTAATGATTACTTATTATTACATAGAGGTGATATATCACAAGTTATAAGTAGTTATAACCAGTGGATAATGTTAATTACTGCTTGGATTTTTTGTTAGCAGCTTCGGAAGAGTCTTCGGGAGAACGTTTTTTGCCTGACTCTTCTTCGTCGTCTTCGTCTTCACTAATGTCAAGTTCTTCTCCTTCTTCACTGTCATCTAAATCATCATCTTCTCCTTCACCAGCCGGCAATGCTTCGGTGTAGTATTTGACAGCATATGGGAAGATGTCGTCGACAATAAGTCGGGCCAATTCTTCACCATTTCTGTATTCTTTGCCTGGTTTAGTACCGGTCCAGCCAAACCAAGCAAAGAATGATTTCATACCTGTCCTGTAGTTCTTTTTTTCTTCCGTGGTTAACTCGCCTTTAGCATTGGATTTGATCAAGTTTGGGTTGATGCCATCTAAGGATTTTGGCCACTTTATGTCGACTGGTTCTGATGTTATCTTTTCTTCACCATCTTCAATAACTGTCTTGAAATGTTTTGTAATCGTTTGGGATTCGATGATAGCATTGGAATCACTTGCTTCATCTTTGAATGCAATTATAATTGAAAAATCTTTGTAATGTTCAGTATCATTGGTATCAACAACCTTATGATGGATATATACATCACTGATTGTCTCTAAGTACTGCAAATCATCGACACTCATATATTCAGCAAAATCTTCATTTTCAGCTAAAACAATATACCAAAATTGAGGAATATTTAATAAGATTGACCTACGGTCTTGATAAATCGATTGGGTGTTTTTGATTCTAAAAATTTCTGCTTCTCTTTCAGCCTTATCCATTCTTTGTTCACATTCGGCTAATTCAAGAAGAGATTTCTCAAGGTGGGCACTTTCGTTTTCGGTAGCTTGTTGAGTCATGTTGGATATTTGGAGTTAACGGAATGCCAAACTATGAAGATTCGAACTACTTATGGGTGTTCCTCATCTCTGAAATTTTTGAAAAATTCCGTATGCGGATTCTCCGTACACCGTTCTGCTAAAAGACTACAGTAGTTTAATATACATATTTATTTTAAATCGATCTAATTAACAGAGGAGAAATGTGAAATGGGGGAGGACTAACGTCTTGGTCCGCCACCTCTTCTAGTCATTTGAGGTAATTTGAATGGGACTTTCAAAGTAGCGATTTTATAGGTTGCAGCAGCAGCTTTTGGAATACCAAAAGCTTCAGCTTGTGAAGCAGTGGCTGGTTTAGTGATGGCACCTAATGCTTTGAATAAACCAACTAATTTTGTTGGTTTCAAGTTCAATTCATGAGCCAATGGAGGTAATTCAACCAAAAAGTTATCGATATGCATGATTGTAGCTAACAAATAACATAATAATTTATCTTCATGATGTGGATCAATGATGAAGGATCTATCCTTGGTCTTACCGAATTGAGTGGTACGTGCAACGGTGAATCTTTGTAAAATACCATCGATTAAAAGCTCTGATGGCTTATTTTCTAAACGAGTCATTAAGGAAGCACGATCTTTAACTCTTCTATTTGCGTAAACACCTAATAATAAAGATGCATAGTATAATAATTGTAGTTTTGTAGTATTACCGGATTTGATAATATTTGGTAAATGTTTGGCAATATAAGGTGATTTGGCAAAAGGCAAGATCTCCAATCTTTTCTTTTCATCTTCTTCTTCCATGATTGAATTAACACGAATGTAATTCCAATCTTTTTTCGGTATTATATTATGCAATGGATAGATATCTTCTACATTAGTAGCAGATTCATCGGCAATAGGAGTTGGTCTATCATTAGTAACCGATTCATCCATTTCTTTAGAAGTTGGTAATGCAGAAGTACTTTCCTTAACATTATCAAGAATATCCATTTCCATATCTTGTAATTTTTCGGAATCGATTCTATTCTTTTCCAAATTGGTAAGAGCTTGTTTAGCCTTCTTGGTACCAAATGATTCTCCCAAAGCTTTACGTTGTTCCATAGAACGAAGACCAACACTCTTAACCGATGGCCCTTTATGAACTCTCTTGGATTTAGCAGTAACTTTACCATTGATTAATGGTGATTTGAATAACTCAACTGACTTATGAGTAGGATCATATAATGCAACAACATAATCGTTATGTTCATCTGCCCCACCAGTTTCACCATTATAGTCCAAACTATCATTTTCACCGTGTAATAAAAATTGATGGTTCTTTTTATGTTTATACAAATCGAAATCAGTTTCTTCAGGAATCGATAACCCATTGAAAAATGACCCAACAACAACATCAGGGTCTTCTGACAGTGAAGCCACCCTCAATTCAGTGGTCTTAGAATCCCTCTTTCTTTTTATTCCGGCCATTCTTACGTTAATCTTAGCTAACTAGCAGTGTTTAACCAAGCTCTATAAAAAAATTTATATCATCTCATCAGAATCGACTGCGCTGCAAAAAAAAAAAAAAAAAAAAAAAAAAAATAAGAAAATGGAAACTAGCACGACTTACCCGTACATCTTAAAAAGGTATAAGCTCATCACCGACTGATCTTTTACACCCAAAAGACGAATCAGATGTCAACGACGTATATAGATGATGCGAAAGCATTGACCTTGACTTACTATGAAGTACTAGGAGTGGAGCCAACCGCTGATACTGCGGAAATCAAGACGGCGTATAAGGAAAGACTCTTGAATAGCCATCCCGATAAGCAAAATGGAGTCAATGGTGAATTGAAAAATCATGAAAATATGGTGATTACGATAAAAGAAGCATACAAGGCTTTGATGGATCCTTTGAGAAGACAAGAATATGATGAAACATTAAAAAAATCATTTCAGAAACAGGGGTTTAATATCAACGGAGATGGATTAGATTCGTACAGTTTAGAAGATTTTGAAATTGTGGCCGGTCCCAATGCAGAAGAAGAAATATGGGTTAAGGATTGTCCTAGATGTACATTTCCAAAGTCCATTACTTTGACAGAAGAAGATTTGGAAGAAAATGGTACTGATGATGGTCAGGGAGGGTTTGACATTATAGTACAATGTGAAAGTTGTAGTTTATGGATAAAAGTCAAGTATTATGCAGCTGATGAGGAATGATTAATAGAATTACATTATGGGTGATAGAGAATGCAAGCATGTATATTTCATTAGAGGATCATAATAAATAAATAATATATGTAAATGAACAAAAAAGAAAGAAGCAGAAGTAGAGAGAAGTAGAAGTAGAGAGAAGTAGAGAGAAGTTAAACAATCAATGTTTTATTTGAACCTTTATTTGAACTTTTATTTGAACTTAAAGGAATATTAAAAGTATGATTATTTGATTTTTCTAAAACAGTATCGTTGATGCAATTTTTTTTCTTTTTTGACCATGATTTTTCTGCTTCGATAATTGAATATAATGCATTACCCATTGCTTCGAAATCAGTCATCAAGTTAACATGACCAGCAGGACTTGAAAATTTCCCAACAATTTGACCTTTACCGGATTTTTCATCGTACATGGAAAATCCTTTTTGTTCTGGCATTAACCATTTTTGGTGAACAACCCCGTCACCATGGCCGTAAAAAAATTCATAGTAGTTACCATCTTTAATATCTTGAATTGATCTAACATTGGAGCCTCTAACTGAAGGTACTTTATTACCATAAACCACCGCCAATGGAGGATATTTAGAATCTAAAGATGGATCATAATTCAAACCAAGAACGAATTTTTTAGCCAGTTTCAAAGTTTCCGCTAAATAATTGTAAGCATCATTGAAACTAAACGAAAAATGAGTTGGGAAATCATTTGAAGAATGAGAAGAAGGTTCCATAGAACTAGGTTCTAATTGGGGAGACGATTTAAATTGTTCTGGTAAAGGAGATGTGTTATCATTAGATTCATCACTATAATCATGAGGAGATGTTCTTGTTGGAGAATTGCTAAGGGACTTATTTTTTTTAGCGATTGACAAAGACCTGTAGTTTCTAAATTTTGTACTTAATGAGTTAATTGGAGAAAATGATAAACTTGAATTTGAATCGGGAGAATTGGAAGAATTAATACCATTAATTTCTTGCAATAATCTTCTTTTTGAAACCAAAGGATTTAAATTATATTCAACCCAAGTATCTGGATTAAAATAATCCAAATCATAACATTCTTTAGTGTCTTTATTAACGAAAACTCTACCATTTAAAGGAAGAAAACAAAAACTTGATCTCATCATAAAGTTTGATTCAAAAGTTAAAATTTTATCGGAGAAAATGACCGAATCACCAAATCTAATTGGACCCAAAATATTAAGACATTCACTTGGAACACCAACATAAACAACACCTCTAAACAAATGAGGACATCTTTGCATTGTCAGATGAGCAACCAACCCACCCATTGAATGAGCAATAACCAAAGTAGGTTTACCAGTATCCTTGTAAATTTTAGTTAAAAATTCTTCTAGTTTTTCAGAAGACAAGGATAAGCTTAATCTCCAATCATAACCAAATTCTTTAACATTAGTTTTCGGGTTTGAGTCTAATTTTTTCAATAGTTTTTTACAAATATCAATTGGACCGATATTTTTCAACACTCCATCAGGATAGATGAAATTTGAAGCTTTTAATTCATCTTCAACGTTTGGACCAAGTAATAAATTAATTTTTCTTAAATTAAAACCGGCTTTCAAAGGAATCCAAACTCGTTTACGGGTTTTAGAATCTCTTAGGATAGAGCCTCTATAACCACCCAATAAGACTATATTACCATCTATATCGTTATAAATTGATTCTGAAGGTTTTATTAGATTCTTATCCTTTTTAGCATGCATGAAATCAGGAATCATTTCATTAATATTTGAACTAATTGAAGCTTTAACTGCTCTTAATCTCACCGCATCAGGGCCCTTATTATTTTCGAAATATCTGGCTTCTTCCACGGTAGTTACTGATTGTTGTCTTTGAAGGCGTAGTCTAATATCATCAATATCATCTTGTTGATTTTTATTATTGATGAATTGGAAACTTGGTAAATGTTGATCGATATTGAAGGACTTCAATTGCTTATAAATATTTGATCTAATATTTGAAAATCCACCAAAGGGTAAAGAAAATGAAAAAACTTTTTGTGAATCAGCAAATAATCCATGATTATGATCAGTAGATTTATCTTCATTAAGAGGATCTATAGTGGTTCCAGCAATCTTTTTCGATTGTTCATCACTAGGTTTACCAGCATCCGAAATGGGGTGAGAAGTTTTATTATTACCAAGATTTGCATCATTTGATTCAATTTGAGTGAATGATTCACCACCAACAATTGAATCAGCATCAGTTTTACTAAATCTCTTATTGATTACCGGACGCTCTTTACTCTGATTGGCTTCGAAGTCTTTCACTGCTAGATCATCATCTTCGTCTTCAAATTCGTCAAATTCATCAGTAATTGGAGAATTAGATAATTGAGAAGGATCAATTGAATCATTAATGATTTGTTGATTTGGGGTTGTTAATGAAGATTCTTTAATTTTCTCTTTTATCGAATCATGGCCACCGACTAATTCGTCACTACGAGACATTCTATTTCAACTTATTATGGCAATGGCTCTTCTCTAACTTTACTCGGATAGACTCGGTTAAATCAAATTTTCTTAACCAATGAGTACAAAAACCACTATTTCGAAAAATCGTTTCCAATTGAATGAACTATCGTATTTTGACCCCAATATATATGGTTATAAAAACATATACTGCTGTATATAAAGACTGGAGGGTTTTTGTTTTAAAAAAAAAAAGATTAGCATTTTTTTCAAACAATGTCGATGCCTATAATTAGCTCTTTGTTCACGTATTTTTCAAGTATCATCACTTTATTTAATTTATTTTTTTTGCTTTGTATGCCATCCGTACAATTTCACTCTAATTTGACAGACAAATTTCACTCTACCGTTAGACAGTTAGTACCGATACTGCTGTTACTTGGGTTACTTCTGCTGAAGTGCTGTTTCTACTGTTGATGGTTCTACCGTTCTATTTTCACCTACTCACAAGACTACAAGGGTGATTTACAGATAACTCACAAGACAATGATATCTCTGATAATAGACCCTGTTCTTTGTCAAGAACTAGCAATTGCTGCCAATCTTTAACAATTGCTGAAGATATTGTCAGCTGTCAAACTTGGGAGGCTTTCCTCACTGGGCAACACGCCTTTGGTCCCAACTATTGTCCAACAATCCCTGGACGTCGGCAATAACCATTACCTGGTACGGATGTGTCCTTGGAGCCATATTGTATATCGTAGCCATACTGTAGCATGGTAGCCGTACTGGAGCAGCGATCGGCCTACTGACCCTATTGGCTCGCCCCCTGTGGTGTATGGGTGCGGTGATCTTATCTCGGTAAATCATGCAACCGAAGAAAAAATAGCAGCGGCGTGCAGGGCCCAAATATAAGAGGACGTGCACCTGACCTCGTCGGCCAGCCCGTACCCCAGGTGCCTGGGGTACGGTTTTCATTTTGACAGTTGGTATCGCGTGGGGAGAGCGGCGGTACTTATATTTGCAACCACGTGAACTGGGCACAACACTACAAAGGTTGCAAATTTCACTTGTTTAGCACCCTTGACCAGACTAATAGTATACTTCACAACCATTGTTTGGACCAAACACGTTGGAGTAGGTTAAGATAGCACGTTCGAGTATTAGGATAGCACGTTGGTCAGGATTAGAAGCACAAGTCGAATAATTAGCTCCTCTAAGCCCATAGGTTCAATAGCACGCCCCCGGAATACGAGTGGTAATTTACCAAAAAGCCCCAATTGCATTGCAAGCGGTTAGCTATTTTTTACGGGCCCTTGCATTTGCAATAATACGTCAAGACGGTTTTCCTTCAGTTGGATTTGCAGGTGGATTTACCCGGGATGCAAGTAATTAATGCCTGATTTGGATCATTACATATCACCACACCGTCACTACTTGTCACAGGGATCATCATTACAATTGGAGCCTCCTTCTTTACTACTCTTTCATTGTATTCCAGGGGGATGGTGGATTACAACGTGCCCATCAGTCATGCCTTTAAAACGTTTATCTTTCTTGTCTTCTCAAAGGGATATGCTATAACGTCGCAAGGTGTTATTCTTCAGCACTCCTTCACTAAATTCATGAGGTTTTCCCATTATGTGTTCCATTTGTTGGCTCAAACGTGCTACTTTGCCAGTATGGGTTTGCTCTCTTGAGTAGGAGGTTTTTTTTTTTTTTTATTTTAATTTTTTTATTTTGTTTGTTTGTTTGTCTTAATTTTTTCTTTCTGAGATTGTTAGAGTAAATCACAATATACTAATACAATGTTAGTTGTTACTTTACAATAGTACACCTCGAATATGAACCACCCTTTGCGGGTTATTGCTTGGATATTGTGAGCTTAAGTCAAGGTTCCTTTTCCGGTTTTCTTGAGCCTATTCCCTTCTTTGTTGCCGCCATTTTTTTTTTTGTAATTTTTTTGTAATTTTCTTTTAATTCTATAAACACCCAAAATCTAAACCTTTTGGTTAAATTCATTATTTAAAGAGATGGAAATACCCCCCCAATTCATTCGAAATGATTATTCTTGAATTATTGTTCTTCACTCAAATAATATGAAATCAAGTATTCAGTTTTTTTTTGCAATCATTTGCGTCTCATTTTTCGTTAAAGCCGGTTTAGCTCAAGATACAAGTAATTTTTTCCAAAGAAATGGTAAAATATTTATGAAAAGAGATGACAACCCCTTTGAATTTAGAATCTATTCAAATAACGTCAGAGTCGATTCTCCTGAAAGTAAAAGGTTCCCAAGTGAAAAAGGTTGGTCTCAAAGAAAAGATGGTGCAGTTGGTGCGATCAAATCTCAAATTTCTGATTATCCAACTTTAATTGCAATTCAAGAAGCTAAACATAATCAATTGGTTGATATCAAAAGAGGTCTTAATGGGAATAATAACGAAAATTTCCCTTACAATCACTATGGGGTTGGTCGTGATGATGGTAAAGAAGCTGGTGAATACGCGGCAATCATTTATAATACTCAAGATTGGAATTTACTTAATGGTAGTTATAAATGGTTGAGTCCAACTCCGGATACTCCAAGTAAAGCCTGGGGTGCTTCTAATATTAGAATTGTTACTTTCACCACTTTACAACATAAACAATCTGGGAAGATTGTTAATTTTTTAAATACTCATTTTGATCAAACCTCTGAAGAAGCAAGACAAAAAAGTGCTAGTTTAATCGTTGATTGGATTGACCAAATCCCAAATGATTATCCGGTTTTCTTAAGTGGGGACTTCAACTCTCTTTCTAGTGATGCTTCTTATCAAACGATTTCTACTAAATTAGCAGATACTGATAAAAAAGCTTATAATCATTATAATCAAAATTGGAATACTTATACTGGGTTTGAATCAACCGATGTTCAATCAGTAATTGACTTTATTTTCGCTCCTCAAGATTCAAATACCGGCTCAAACCCAGTAACCGTGATTGGCCACGAAGTCATTCCAAACAATTATAATGATTATCTATTCAGTGACCATAGACCAGTCTCTACTCACTTCAAACTTAAATGGTAGATATTTTACGAGTATCTTACCCAATATCTCTTCTTTTTCGCCTTTTCGTGCCCGTTTTTTTTAGCCGTCTCGACTAGCTTTGACATATTTTTAGTGGACCTAAAAATATCTTTCGCCGTAAATCGTTATTTTTCATATCTTAATTAGATTTTATACCGTTTAATAGATTGAATAAAATTCTCATGATTTTGTATTATCCTGTTTTAGAAGTTTTGGGGGTGCGCAACTTCACTTTTCATACTCATTTTTAACATCAACTCCGAAACTGAGTCAAATTTCTCCTTATTGTTCTATCTCTTTATATATATGTATCTATACATATATATAGCCCGATGAAGTCGAATTAAAACTCTAATCTATAACTTTCTTGGCTTCGTCAGAATGGAGCAAGAAGTCTACTCAAACTCGAGTTATCCTTTTAGAGATGCGAGAAATAATACAATTAACAGCCATTTAAGAATTAGTATACCTCTGCATGTTGCTAGTAATCGGTCAATAACCAATGACGGTTCGGTGGCCAGAAGCCCCAGTATCCCATCTAAAAATGTACAAATGGAGGATATAGAAAGTCAACGTAGTGAGCACTCAGAATTGGCTGATAATGAAAAGGGTTATTATGAAAGTAATGCTGGTGATGGAACAAAATCTTCAGATCATTTTTTAACTGGTTGGAAATTGATTATTACTATGATGTCGGCGTTTTTAGCTTTATTTATTGCAGCCTTGGATCAAACCATTGTGGTGACCATTTTTTCAACCGTTGGTAATCAATTTCACGCATTTGATGAGATTAACTGGCTAACGTCTGCATTTTTAATTCCGATGGCCGTTTTTTGTCCTTCTTGGGGTAGGGTTGCAATTGCTTTTGGTAGGAAACCAACCATGTTATGTGGAATTGCAATTTTTGAAATTGGTTCGTTAATTGCTGCCTTATCAATAAGTATGAGTATGTTAATTGGTGGTAGAGTGATTCAAGGCATTGGTGGTGGTTGTATACAAACTTCAGTAAGTTTATTAGCTACCGAGTCAGTCCCTGTCAATTATAGATCCCTTTCATTAAGCGCAATGGCAGTGGCTTACGCCATTGCTTCCGTTGCCGGTCCCTTTCTTGGGGGTGCTTTAACCAAAGTAACTTGGAGATTATGTTTTTACATTAATTTACCTTTAGGGGTCATTGCCTTTATTATGTTGTTTTTCTTATATAATCCTCCAAAACCTACAGGTAAACTCAAAGACCGGCTTAAACTTATTGACTACTTTGGTAGTCTCTTATTAATTGCTAGTTTGGTTTTAATGCTAACCGGACTATCATTGGGTGGTGTTGAATTCAGCTGGGTCTCACCTGCAGTTATTTTGATGGTTATCATTGGATTTGCAACCTATGTCGTCTTTTTGATGTATAATTTCATTTTGTCAGCCAATCCAATGTTTTTAAAAGAATTCTATACTACTCCCCAAATCTTCTTCGCTGCAACCATGGGATTCTTTAACTATGCATTTTTCTTAGGTAACATCACTTACTTAACTGTTTACTTTCAGGTTATCTTTGCTCACGACTCTTTACAATCCGGTATTGACTTACTACCTTTAATCATTGCTACTACAATTTCTGCAGTCATAAACGGTGTTCTTATTAAATTGATCAGACATATAAAAGTGTTTTATGTGGTGTTCTCCGGTGCCTTTGGTATCATAGCAGCAGGTCTAATAACTACTTTAGATCGGGATTCCAGTGTTGGCAAGAGAATTGGGTATTTAATAATAATGGGTATCTCAGTCGGTTTTCAAATTCAATCAACTTTGCTTTCCTGTCAAATAAAAGCACCAAAACATGTCCCCGGGTCGATCATCATGGTAACGGTATTCGCTAACTTCAACAGATTCACCGGAGGAGCTTTGGGAGTCACTCTTGCATCTGCTGTATTTAATGCAAAGGGATCTTCTTCAATTGAAGCCATTATAATGGCGCTACCGAATAATGAAAAAAGAAAGTACGTTAATATTGATGGGGCCCAGCTTCTAAGCTCCCCTAAACTAATCAATAAAATCCCTGATCCAACCAGGGGTCAGATTTATGATGCTTTAATGGACGCGATAATAACCTCTTTCTACCTAGGCCTAGGCTTTTCCTGTGCTGCTTTCGTATGTTCACTATTCGCAACAAATAAAAAAATTCCAAAAGATGATGAAATCATATGATTCTTCCCTTCTTAATCTCTTCTTAAGTAACTTGTATAGTATTTATGGTATTAATGGCTTATAACCTTAGTATTTGCAGTCTTTTGGTAGTATTTCGAAGGCCGAAAAAAAGTCGTGCGCGTAACTGGCTTGAATCGAAAAAAATGGGCCTGGAAGGCGAAAACAAAAATTTGAATACTTCGGAACTGTCATTAAAATCAGATATTCTCTACTAGAACCCACGATACTCATAGTGAATTGAAGATGAGTTCAATGATCAAAGTGGCGAACCGTCGACTTACTCATCTTGGTCGCTCAAGCTGTGGTCGTCCCACCATAATTACAGCATTTTCGAATAAGAGAAATTTTCATGCAATTTCGCCATTAAGTCAAACTAATTATGATAAACTCGATAAATTTGATAATTCAAAAAGTGATATTAGCTCATTTGTCTTTAGTTTGATCCAAAAACATAAGTCAGAGCTAACAAGATTGAAGCATGTGCCAAAGAATAAGGTTCCAAGCTTGGATAATCAATCAAGGGAACTCACAATTAAAAGATACGAGAGTATGCTTTTAAACTCTGATATTAATCTTTTGGAGTTAGTCAAAGACCCACATTTCTTTTTGTTAATTTTCAAAAACGATCCTATTGCAAATTCCGAACATCATAACCAGTTGATTAAGAAAGCATCCGAGTTATACCTCTCTGGTGATGCTCAAAACGTTGATAAAGATCTTATAGATAGAGACTGGGACTTCAAAGCATATACAACTCTGTTAGAATACTGTCTGCAAATGCTCAAGAACTACAATGGCATGTATTCAGTTGATCCAAGAGTGCAACAACTATTAGATATTTATAAGGATGTTAACGATCATGATGTTTTCACTTATAAGGCAGTGGCAGAGGAAGTGGGAGTTCCAGAGAAAGCTGTTCGTGACTGGTTTGATTCCTTTCAAACTCTTGAAGAGACTATATCCCAAATTCATGGTGCACCACTCTCTTCTATCTCCACTTTATTGAAGAAACATATCCCAGCAATTCTGCAAGAACTGCTTAAATTTGAAGGACCTGATAAGAGCAGTCAACATAAAAATGAAGGCCCAAAACCTGATGAACAAGCTAAGGAGTCTTCTAACAATGGTAATAACGATAAGAATAAAAAGAATAACAACAAACAAACAAAAGAAATATTTATTGACTTAAGCCGTCCTCCATTTCAATACTTTCAATTAGGTATTTTTATAGGGCTTGCCCTTTATTTGAGTTACTCCCTGAGTAAAGCTTCAAACCATGAAATATCTTTACAAGAGTTTACATCCAAATTTTTGAGTAAGAATCTTGTAAGTAAATTGGTTGTTGTGAATAACCATACTGCTATTGTTGAACTCAATGAAAATGGTAAATCCCAATTTGGTGAAAATGGCTATTATTACTTCACTATAGGTAGTATTGAAGCCTTTGAACGTAGCTTGCAACATGCTCAAGATGAATTCAAAATTGATGATGCTTTGAGATTACCTGTTGTTTATGTTACTGAAGGCAGTAATGCTAAATTACTCGCAAACTTTATTCCAACTGTTTTATTCTTAGTTGCAATTTACTATATGACTAAAAAGGCTGGTGCTGGTATGAATGGTCCTTTGAACTTTGGTAAATCAACTGCTAAAAAATTTAATCAAGAAACAAATGTCCAAATTAGATTTAAAGATGTTGCGGGTATGAGCGAGGCTAAAGAAGAAGTTATGGAATTCGTCAAATTTTTACAAAACCCAGAAAAGTATGAAAGATTAGGTGCTAAGATTCCCAGAGGTGCTATTTTGTCAGGTCCACCAGGTACCGGTAAAACTTTAATTGCCAAAGCCACGGCTGGGGAAGCAGGTGTTCCATTTTATTCTGTTTCTGGTTCAGAGTTCGTTGAAATGTTCGTCGGTGTGGGTGCTTCTCGTGTACGTGATCTTTTCAAGACTGCTCGTGAAAACGCTCCATCAATTGTTTTCGTTGATGAAATTGATGCAATTGGTAAACAGCGTTCAAAAGGTAATTCTAGTGGTGCCAATGATGAACGTGAAACCACTTTAAATCAATTATTAGTTGAAATGGATGGTTTTGAAAGCTCCGATCATGTTGTTGTTTTAGCCGGTACCAATAGAGCTGATATTTTAGATAGAGCATTAATGAGACCTGGTAGATTTGATAGACATATCGCTATTGAAAATCCAGAATTACAAGGTAGAAAAGAAATATTCCAAGTTCACTTGAAAAAAGTCAAATTAGTTGAAAATATCGATGCAGACTTACCTGGAAGACTTGCTGCTTTGACTCCTGGGTTTTCCGGTGCTGACATTGCAAATGTTTGTAATGAAGCCGCATTAATAGGTGCAAGATTTAATGCAGAAGCTGTCACTTTAAGACATTTTGAACTCGCTATTGAAAGAGTCATTGGTGGTGTTGAAAAGAAACTGAAAGTTTTAAGTGCTGAAGAACAAAAAGTTGTTGCTTATCATGAAGCCGGTCACGCTATTTGTGGTTGGTATTTAAGATTTGCCCATCCTTTATTAAAGGTTTCCATCATTCCAAGAGGCCAAGGTGCCTTGGGTTATGCTCAATACTTACCTCCTGATCAATACCTTATGTCTGCTTTACAATTATACGATAGAATGATTATGACCTTAGGTGGACGTGTGTCAGAAGAATTACATTTCTCATCAGTTACAAGTGGTGCACATGATGATTTTAAGAAGGTCACTCAAATAGCTCAAGCTATGGTTTTAAGATTTGGGATGTCCAAGGAAGTGGGAATGGTTAATTACGCTGATACTAGGTCTTCTGATGACTTGACTAAACCATTCAGTGATCAAACTAATAAGGTCATTGATGGTGAAATTCAACGTATAGTTAACGAATGCTATCAAAAGTGTAAAGATCTTTTAACGGAAAGAGCACATGAAGTCGAGTTGGTTGCACAAGAATTATTGAAAAAGGAATTCATCACTAGAGAGGATATGATCAGATTATTAGGTAAAAGACCTTTCCCAGAAACTAATGACGCGTTCGATAAATATCTTGATGGTAAGCCAGCTTTCAAGAACGAACAACCAGAAAATGAAAAGAAAGATACTGAAACTGAATAAGTTTCATTGTTTATGACTCAAATATTCACATGAATATTACCACATTCAAAAACATCAAACTAAAATATATATCCATCGCTGGATTTTGTACTTGTATATAGCTCTATAGTTATCAATTCACTTTATGGTGATTATGAAGCTTGATTTTTTTGCATCCGTAAAATTAGTACGCGCACTACATTTATTTGAGAGTAGAAAAAAAAAAGTACTCGAAAAATGATACATTAAAGAATGAAATAAACAAGTCAATAAAAGGGTGTACCATTCAATCAGCCGCAAATTGACGTCCCTTTTTCTATCTAATAAACCAATAATGCCACCCAGATCAAGATCACGTCTGGCCAGAGCATCTGCTGCTGTGAATCAACCATCTCCAAGATCCACAAGAACTCGAGGTTCTCATTTATCTGCTGGTGATAAAAATATTGATGAAGAAGATAAAGAGCCACAAGAAGACAATGAAGAAGGCGAACCTGATGTCACCAATGACGATCCAGAAGATGAAGACCCGGATATACCTAGAAGCAATAGCAGGAAAAGAAAAATTGGTGTAGTTAAGGCGGAAGAAGATAATGAGGATCCGCAAGAGGACCAGGATCAAGATGAAGACCAAGATGAAGACCAAGATGAAGACCAAGGAGATGACCAAGGGGAAGATGAGGAGGAAGATGAAGATGAAGAAGGAGAAGAAGAGGAAGGAGTCGGGGAGTCCAGACAACAGCCAAAGAAAAGAGGAAGAAAAAGAACGAAATTTGTCCCAACTGACGAGGGATTCCTTGATGAAGACGGAAATCCAATTAGTATAGTCGATGATGAAGTTGTGATTGAAAATGAAGATCCTAAAGGTTGTGAGAAGATTGATGCAAATGGTTATTTGAAAGGAGATCGAGAATTTAGAATGAAAACATTCCATCTTTTAGGAAAAGGAGAAAGGTTATACATGGTCTCTACTGAACCAGCAAGATTGGTTGGTTTTAGAGATTCCTATTTATTATTCAAGACCCATAGATCTTTATTTAAAAAAGTTTGTACGTTTGAAGAAAAAATGGACTTGATTGAAAGACACATCATTCCAAACTCTTATAAAGGTAGATCAGTCAACTTAGTTTGCGCTAGATCCATCTTTAGAGAGTTTGGTGCGAGAGTCATTAAAGAAGGTAAGAAGGTAGTTGACGACTTCTGGGAACAAAGAGCTATTGATAATGGTGATATATCAGGAGAATATGCCGATCCAAATGAACTCGCAAGAAATCAAAATAAATTGAACAATATTTTGGGCGATGGTAACCCAAATACTGCTAATATTACTACACCAATAACAGGTGCGGCCTTGGTTAACTATCAATCTGACCCAAGTTGGATGTATCAAATTGCAAACCAGACAAAGGAATATAATACTTTGTTGAACGACCAAAGAAAACAGATATGGCAACGAGGGGTCAAGGATGTGTATACTGGTTTAGTTTTTTATCCAGCAAGTAGTCAACCAACCAGAACTAAGTTGAGTAAAGTTCAAGATTCAAAGCTGTTAATTTATGATGTGTCTTTCCGTAATTCAAATCTAAAAAGAAAAGTGACTGGGTTATCTACAGTTGGAAAAGAAATTTTCGAAGATCTTGAAGATGAAGACTTGAAAAGGGAAATCTTGGAACAACAAGAATATGAACGATCATTGTAAAATATACTACCTGTACTATAATAAAAAAAGAAGTCTACGTTATTCATTTTAGGCAAATAAGAATAAATAAATTTATGTAAGTAAGTTATGTAAATAAAATTGCATAAATGACCGATGAATATAGTGGGTGAAGTTTTTGAATTCCTATTCGATCATTTCTTCGTCAGACTCTATTGAATCTGGTCCTGAATCGATAATGTCTTCGGTGATAATCTCACCATCAGGAGTCTCTTTTGCCATTTTCTTCTTTTCCATATGAGCTCTTAATTCAAAATCAACTTTAGTTTTCCTTCTACCAACATGAACAGTTATATCGCCTTCTTCGACAACTTCAGCATGTTTTTTCGAATATGCTACTTCAGCCTTTGCTTCTTTGCCTGATATCTTATGGTTAACCCTTATATGTTTTGCTAACGTATCATGTCTCGTAAAAATTCTTGGACCAACATTTGGATTTTGTTTAACACATACGAAACACTTGAATAATTTCTTTTTCTTCAGATGAACGGTTTCTTGATGTCTTATTAATTCATACTTTCTTGAAAATCTACGTAAGCATAATTTATTAGGTTCATCAGCAGAAGGTAATTGACATTCATGAACCACATCGGGATCATAATTCGAAGATTTGTTTGATGGACGATGATGTTCAGTTTTCTTTATTATTCTATGAGCCGCAAGTTTAGCATCAACTCTAATTTTTCTTTTCTCTTTCTGAGTTAAGCCTGATAATCTTTCAGAGACAAACTTATCATGATCTTGAGGTGAAACTCCCATTAAGAAAGATGCAGGAGTGCTTGAGGCAGACTTACCATCATCATTAGTAGAAAATGACCCAGTATCAGAACCAGGAGATGCTGATAAGCCTTCTAAATAACCTGCATTTACTGCTGCTTGAGCTGCTGCTAATTTCCTTCTCTTAGCTTTTGATTTCGAAATTTTCAGTAATACAGTATCAGATAATGAAGCTTGTTTAAAGCTATAAGTTGCATAATCTTTTATGAATCTTGAATAACAATCATTGAGATCAAAATGAATCAAGTTCAAAAAATGATAAATAGCTGGTTTCCAAGATAATAAGTTATAAATTTCCCAATAATTTAAACTCATGATAACATTAGTTAAAAATCTTATAGTTCTGGTAGCCAACTCGACATTTTTATGATTAGTTGAAATTTTAATGAAAATGTCGAAATTTTTCTCAATGACTAAATATAATTTAGATGTGATTGGTTCATTTAAATTTTGAAATTTTGGTAATGAGTCCATCAAGGAGTAAAGTTTAGTTTCGAGTATAGCTGATTGGTTAATAGAAATCTTCTTATCATAAATCAAAGAAGTTATTTTGTATAAATGTTCGGTATAATCTTCGGTAGTTGAAGGTGTGCAAATAGTTAAAATATTGATTATTTCATCTAAATTGAATTGATTATTCTGTGTCAACGCTGAGGTAGAATTAGAGTCTTCTTGATTATTGGGGACCATAGGATTTGCTGGTATGATAGAAACTGAGTGATTTAATGGATATTGTTCTTTTTCAGTATTATGACGAATGGGGGAAGGTTGGGAAGTAGAGGTTGGTGCTGTAAGGGGCATAGAGGAAATTGGTAGGTTGCTTGTGATTGAAGCACTCAGTTGTGGAGGTTTATAACCAAAGGTAGAGTCGGACCTTGTATCATGAGATGGAGTTGAAGTTGTTGAGTTGGTGATTTTAGTAGCGAAATTAGGATTCCCATTTTGAACTGCATCATTGATTGAAGGGTAATGGATATGATTTTGTTGATGGTGGTGATGCTGATTATGCTGTTGATTCGGGTGAAGTTGCTGATGTTGGTGTGGATGAGTATGAGGAAATGTGTGTTGCAGTTGGATAACCTGGGGAGGTTTTGGGGGTTGGGGAGAACCAAAAGAAGCCCCCAATCCTGGGAAGGATCCACTCTTAGTGAAGGAAGAGAGAGGCTGTTGATGAAACTGGGAAGGAGGAGGAAGTTGATGCAGATGTGAAGGAACCGGAGACTGTTGATGACCCGAGAGTGGGCGCTGCGGTTGCACCGATTGGATTGGTTGCACCGATTGAACTTGTTGTGCCTGAGGTTGTGTTTGAGTTTTCGGCTGAATCTGCTGAAACTGTTGCCTTTGATGCTGATGAGGATTGAGTTGTTGTGGATTTTGCTGCAGTTGCAGTTGCAATTGCAGTTGCTGCTGCTGCTGCTGCTGCTGATTACTTTGCAGCGAAGTCTGTTGGTGTGACATTGCACGAGAGGGAGTCAGTGGCACCGAAGGTATATAGGTGGACGAATTCATTGCGGAATGAAAATGTGGACGAAATGGTGTATTATGTGTTGGCACCTGGTTCCCAAAACTAAATGACCAGACAAAACTTCAGATTTTAAAAATTGTAAAAAAAAAAAACCAGTTGTTGCAGTTATAAATTCGACGAGCCAAAAAAGAAAAAAAAAATACTAGAAAAACGGGAAATTAAAGAAGTTGGAACAGATTTTGGTCGCCAAAAACGTAAACTGCAGAAACCTGAGGTGCAAACTGTAATTGAAGCGATCCAAACTGTAAAAGATAGCAAAAAGCACCAAAAAAATGATTTTTTTTTAAAACAACCAAAAAAAAATTGTAGCAAAAAGAAACAGCGAAAAAAAGAGCGAGTGAGCCAATCGATAGGCCTGAGCGGGTAATTCGTAATAGAGATCTTTTAGCAATAATGGGGGAGATGGGTGCAGCCGATGTAATGATACGGTAACTGAGAGGATACCTTTGGTGGGAAGTTAAGAAATCACTTCAATAATCAATTCAAAGAGTAGCGTTATATTCGTAATTTGCAGCGGCAAAGAACTTTGTAAGTAGCTGTTAAAACGACAAACTGGCCCACTTTTACACGAAATGAGAGCTATTGTAGGGTAAACACCTTGAAATTAATTTGGCCAGACAATCTGATGAGCGTTAGCAACCTCCAAGAGACTATGAGCTAACGACAGACTCGAGTGTAGTAATAAGGTGTAGATAAAGAAGAAGAACAAATCGGTTTAATTTTGAAAGAAAAAAAAAATTGCGTAAAGGAGGAAAAAATGTGTCTTTAGCCCATATATTTTTGATTGGGTGATACAAAACAATCGAGGCCCACGCAGATAAAAGTGGTTTTCTATATGGCTCTATTCAGATCCTGTGCTTACATTTGGGTACAAACATCAACTTGGAGCTGCCCAAGGCTGCCATTGATGCTTGCAGTTGCTACAAGTAGAATTTGCAGTATGTTTTCACTTTAACTTTGTTTTTTCGTTCATTTTTTGCGTCATTTCTGCTTACAGTTTACCCTTTGAGGTTTACAGGTTGCATTTTGCATTTTGATTTTTGGGTTTTTGGTTATTTTCATTTTTGATTTGATTATATATATACATAGACAAGCCTATGGAGGAGGAGCCCCATGCTGAGAAGGTTCGTTCGAAGATGTATGGGGTGGGTACTGAGAAGGCAGACGCGATGGTTCTTGTGACGGAATGGGGTTTGAGGAAGCGTGCACAGGGTGGTGCGGCTGAGAAGTCAGTTGTGACGGTTGTGCTTGTGGATATGATATAGTCGGTGGGGTTGATGCTGGGGAGGTGAGGCCGGGTGGTTTCACTGATGGTGAGGTGTGTGCCACTGGTTCAGCGGAAGGCTTTTCCTTCTTTTTATAGGGGCCCCTGGGGACATGGTCTCTTGTGCTAAACAGTAAGAATCCTGCGTATGATGACTTGATGGTGAAATCACTGTTCAAGTATTGTGGATGAGGTAACGGTTCACTCGACATTCTTTTCCTGTTTCCACTGGACACATCGTCATTATTGTCTGTATGTTCTTGTTCTCCTTGTTTGGTTAGATTCTGTTGTTGGGAAATGGTTGGTGAAGGTGATTGACCATCTTGTGGCAGCTGGTGTTGGCTATTTTGCTCATGTAATTCTTGATCATTAGGTACACCACCACTTTCGTCGATTATTTCAACGTTTTCTTTTGCATAATTAACTGCCAATTTATTTTCTTTGCCAGTAACTCCATGCTTTCTTCTAATATGACGGGCCAAAGAATCATGACGAGGATAACTCTGTACTTTACTGCCACTTCTTGAACAGTAAATACATTTATATATTTTCTTTTTAGTAGCATGAACAAACTCTTGATGTCTTAATAATTCATTCTTACCATAAAATATCTTTAGACATGGTTTATTTGAGTTGGGATCACTTAAATGACATTGATGTATTATCGCTGATTTTCTATTTTGTTTTTGATTATTTTCAGTTTCTAGATTTTTCTCGTGTTCAGATCTAATTATTGTCAATTCTCCTGCTTTTTTACCTGCTTTATTGGCTTCAGTTTTAGATATTGATGATTGTCTTGACAATTGCGGTTCTTCGAGTCTTCTCTGTTCGTCATAATAATCTTCATCTTCACTGGTTGATGATTCTGAGTCTTTTAATATGTATCCTAATCCACTCGAATTGGCTGAATCTTGCTTTTGTGTAAGCATCGATTTATCATCAATGTATTCCGATGTTTCTGGGTCAACTCCTTCCTTTGGTTTACCCTCTGGCTTACTTACGATAAATGTATCAGAATCTTCTAAAGTTGTATTCTTTTTCGTATAGTAAGGTATTGGTTGCCTTGATGGATCTTCGAACTGAATTGAAATTCCACTTTTCAAACTTTGTGGTGGATAAGGTAAAGATTGAGGTTTTGATTTTGATTTCGCTTTTTGCAACTTATTTTGATCAGATTCATACGATCCTTTAGGTTGAAGAGGTTTTAGCTGTTGAGGTTCTGTATCAACTTGAGCACTGGACACTGGATTTTGCGAGGTATCTATAGGTTGTGATGATAATTCTAAATTTGGATGCTCTTGCTTCACCTCTACCGATTTTGAAATATCTCCAGGGTTTTCAGCTGGTCTAGGGGTATTTTCCCTTGGGGTGACTTCTTTGGGAGCCTCTTCTCTGACTGGTTCTTTTGTTGATTCTACTGGAACTGGATCATTCGGTGTCGGTTCTTTAGTACCAGGTATTGAAGAAGGCAAATTGGAGAGGATCTCAGGGGTTCGTTGAATAGTTGGTTCGCTCACAGGTTCAGTGACTTGTTGGGAATATATGGGAGGGAGTTGAGGGATATCAGGCTGAAAAGATTGCTGAATAGTTTTAGGTTCTTCCGGTATTGGTCTATCAAGAGCGGGAGCCTCAGAAGGTATAATTTGAGAATCCATTTGGCTTTCTTCATCGATAAAGGAATCTGAAGGTAAGACCTCGTGGATAGTTTTTGGACGGAGTTGTTGTTTTTTAGGGGAAGTTTCAGTTTTCCTTTTTTTGCGACCAGGACCCGAAGCATTACTACTTTGATTATGATTATTATGATTATATTTCAACGTTATATCGATATAAGGTTTAATGTTAATTTTTGATAGTTTTCTTTTAATGATATCTGGATCAACACTATGGTAAGAAAAGTTGTAAAAGGGATAAGGGAAAGGGTATTGGAAACCTTGGCTCATTGAAGCTTCCATATAATTTTCGGGGGGTTTAACAATTGGACCAAAAGGAGTTTGAGAAACGTCTATATCGATTAATTTTAAAAAATGACTTAAATCAGGAATTATATAAACCAAATGATAAACTTCCCAATATTGTAAAGAGTAGATTAAATCCACCAAATATTTTGTTATATGACTCGATAAAGTTAAATTGAAATAAGAAGATGAAAATTTATGTAAATGATTGTAATTATCAATTAAAATTTTTGATAAATGTTCACTTGGATAGTAAATTTTATCATTTGTTAATTTTTCATTTAATTCAAAGTTGAAATTTGTTCTTGGAATATACGAAGTTAATTCAAATAATGCATTTTCTATAGATATTCTAGAATTATCATCTAACTCTTTTTCTTCATTTAATAAGTAAAGTAGTTCAAATAATTGACTGGAATAATGATTGATTGATTCTGGTTGATGATTACTTTGTTTATTGGGAGTAACCTTATGCGGGTTGAGCTTCATCAAGTCATATAGAATAGGATCATCAACCAAGATCTGACCCATATTTTGTTTTGATCGTGGATACCCTTCGAGTTTTCTTATTAATGCACCCGGATAAAATTCTTCTTCTGGCATCTTGACAAAACGCTATGCACAAAGCTGAGAATAATGGCAATTTCAAAAGATTCTGTATTTCTAATAAGTCTTCTTTCAGTACAATTAGGCCACTTTCCTTCAACAAAAAGTGGATTCCAAGGGCCTAGTAATTTTTGCAAACTTCTTTACCAGCAACTTTAATCAAAAAAAATGCAAACAAAGCCAAAAACGGAAAGATAAGACTAGCAGCAGCAGGACACCCAATGACCTCCCTTATTATTTGCAAATTACCAAAGCTAGTCAAAGTATATACTTGTAAAAATGACTTTTTTAACAATTAAAAATTTGTCTACGCTATCGTTTTATTTCTCTCAACTTTTTTTTCCTGCCTGAGTAACCTGCTTTTTCGTCGTTTTCAAAATAAACTGCAACATTTTTTTTCTGCAACAAAAAAGTTGTAAACGGCAGCAAAAAAGGTCAGTTTTCGGTATGCGCACTCTTCTCGCAGCCATTTTATTACGTTATTATGTGATTTCTATTATTTATATTACTTGATTATACACTAGAATCTGGTGGCACCAGGGTATATATGTCTTTCCAGATCTTGAGAGATGGCGTCGGCTTCGGCTACTGATTCGATATCGTCCAACGTTTTCAAGTAAGTTTTTTCGCTGTTTTCCACGATTGAATCTGGTAAAGAATGGCCCAAATAGTGTAAAACATGATTGAATACAACTTTATTAACATCAAACCCCCACAAGTTATCTAAATGCTCATGGTTAGGAACCACTTGGCATTTAGTGTATTTTGCAGGTAATTGATTTTTCATAACGTTGATATCAACCAAAGAATCGCAGTCCCCGTATAAAAGATTAATTGGAACTTTTATATTTTGTAGAGGATAACTGATTGGATTTAAGCCGGAGAAATTTGAGTTTGAATCATGGTACATTTGAAAGTTTTTAGACAGGATGATTTGAAACCAATGAGCCACGGTTTTAACCGAAGTGGTGGAGTATAGATGAGCATAGGAAGATAATTTTTGAATTTTACTAATATTGATTGATTTCCAATTGAATAGTAAGTAGTTTGAGATATCAATAAAAGTGTCGAACAACGGAGGATACATGATTTTCCCCCATAATATGACACTTGGCATCAATACTTTCCTAGAGAAAAGTAGAAAAACAAAATTTGGACTTGATTTTAAAAGTAAATCAAGGAATTTGGAATATAATCCATGGGGGGTGGTGGCAGGACTTATAGCTATAATTTGGTCAATTTTATCGTTCAAATCAGGATTGACTGAAACACTTGCAAATGCTTGGGCAGTACCTTGACTAAATCCAATATAAGTCAATTTTTCTGCTTTTGTTGTATTTAAAATATAATTTATCGTATTTGGTATATCAAATAAAGCAAATTCATCAATTGAAAAATCCCAAAATTTTTCTGAGTTTAATTTGTAATACAAATGTTTTTGACTATATTTATTACCTCTATTATTTCCTAACCAAACATCGTAGCCCAAATCGTATAGTATAAATGGTAAATTCGAATGTTTATCCAACATTGTAACCCAAATTTCACTATTCATTAGTAATCCATGGTGTAAATAAATCACTCGACCACCTTTATTGGCTTGTCCATTCTTCAATATTCTTTGAATAGTTAAGAAATACCCATCATCAGTACGCACAATTTCATTTTCAACATCGTATCCAAATAATTGGCACATTTCTTGAATACTGGATGAGTTTAATAAATCAGTCATCAATTCATATTTTTCTCTAGTTAATTCTGGATGGGAATTAGAATCCAAATATTTATACTTCACTTCTTGAACATTGCTTGATGAGGTCACCGTTGAACTAATTAAGTCAATTGGATTAGATGTAAATTTGTATATTTGTTGAATTGTATTAGTACAGAGATTAATTATCGGGCTCGGTAATATCCCTGTAATCACCGAGATGAGATACTCTATCCATGTCAATAAGAACGATATGATAATTATTGGCCACTCAAGTATTGAGAGCCTACCGAGAAGTGGGATATACATTATTGATATCGAATTTTGGGGAAAAGAGAAATAGGTGATGGTCCTCTTCTATATATTTGCTGTATTTTGTAGTATTCTCTTTTTTTTGTTCTGGTTTTTTCCTCTTGAGACGATTTCCCAGCCACCAACGGTCCAGCAACAAAACAACAATGTTAGCTCCATAGGGGGAAGAGTCAATTGCATTAGGAAGTAGAAGGCCATACACACATCCTGGTAAAGCATTTCTGTAACAAACTTTGATAACTCACTGCAGTCTACACTCAGATAATTTACCCTGTATCGGTACTTTATTGATAATTCACAATCCTTTCATACTTGCAATTGAGCCTCTCTGCACACTATTGTCAGACACAACCTTATACAACCTGAAGGGGAAGTGATCTTTTGTGTTGCTTTGGAGTGGTTCTCAGAATGAGCTAATTTTATTCAACGTTTATAGTATGAGTACAGTGAGTTAATTTATCTTACCTTAAAAGGACCAACGATCAAATTGATAAGTATATAAAGGATGATGAAGCCAGTTTTTCATCTAAGCTGATACAATATCACATCGGAATTTATTCTATTTACTATTATGAACTGTTTGCTAGAATGAACCATTCAATATAGCATTTGCAAGAAACTATCCAATCACAGATGTTCGGACAATCGGTCGAAAAAGTGCCTAAATTGACCAATATGTTGCCCATTACGGAATGAAGATGGTTTTAGGTTCGTGCACACTATAATGGAGCCAAGACCATGGACCTAGAAAGCATTGATGTCAAACACGTCAAGATGGTGAGCTTGGGGTACTTGGAATGGATCAGTCAATTATGGCAGCCGTTGAAATATCCAGAGTACGATCTAGAAGACAATCTGGCTAGGCTTTGCGGACATAGGTTGAATAAAAGGCTCAGAGTATATACGAAAGCTGAATAAAAGGCTGATGAATATATACGAAAGCTGAATAAATTGCTTACCAACAAAATGTGCCAGACAATAGGCTTCCCGAATAGGTACCGATTGATGGAAAAGATAAAATGGCATTTGCAAACCCGATTGTATTTCTCTCCCTGCTAGGCATTTGTTATATATATATTATATATATATATATACATGTATGCCTTGAAAGGAATTTTTTAGATTTCCTTTCTTCTGTAGTTTTAAAATGGTTTCTGCAAGACAAATTGTTCAATCTTTAACTTTAGCTTCAGTTGGTTTATCATCAGCTCCAGAAGTTGCTGATTCTCCTCAAGGAGCTAAATACGTTGCTAAAATTGACAGTGACAAAGTCAAAGGTCAAATTGAATTTTCAACTGCTGCTAATGGTACTGTTCAAGTTGATGTTGATTTGAAAGATTTACCTGAACAAGGGGGTCCTTTCTTATATCATATTCATGAAAAAACTGTTCCTTCCGATGGTAATTGTACCGGCACTGCTGCTCATTTCAATCCTTATGGTGGTAATGAAAATAATACTCAACCTCAAGATAAAGAAGTTGGGGACTTATCCGGTAGACATGGTAAGATTTCTGGTCAATCTTTGAAAACTTTTTATATTGATCCTTATCTTTCTTTAAATAAAGACGATGCTGCCTTTTTCGCCAATTTATCAGTTGTTGTTCACTTGAACAACACCACTAGAATTGGTTGTGCTAACATCACCGAAGTTTCCTCTAATTCTACCGACTCTGATGATGTTGCTACAGTAAGTGCTGACTCGGGTGCTTCTGCTTATGGAATCCATGGTATAGTTGCTGGTGCTGCCGCTGCTGGTTTAGCTTTATTAATTTAAGCTCTTCTCTATTTTTTTTGTCAAATCGATGGTTACCAAAAGTATTTAGTTATTTAATCAGATTTCCTTCTCTTCACGCTCATCTGTAATATTCGGGGTTAATGCGCAAAAATCAATCTCGGGATCTACACCTAATTTTCATAAACTATTTTTATTCAACTAAACATTTTTAGAAATAGAGTAAAAGAATTGAAGGTTTAATATCTGTCATTACCGCCTCTACCAGAAGAGCCGTAAGAGTCATTACCGCCTCTACCAGAAGAACCGTAAGAGTCATTACCGCCTCTACCAGAGGAGCCGTAAGAGTCATTACCACCTCTACCAGAGGAGCCGTAAGAATCGTTACCACCTCTACCAGAGGAACCATAGGAGTCAGAGTTGGAGGAGCCGTAAGAGTCGTTACCACCTCTACCAGAGGAACCATATGAGTTAGAGTTCGAGGAACCGTAAGAACCAGAACCAGAACCAGAACCAGAACCAGAACTATGTTTGTTCAGGGATCCGTAAGAATCAGAGTTGGATGATCCATAAGAACCAGAGTTACCGGAACTGTGTTTGTTCAGGGATCCGTAAGAATCAGAGTTGGATGATCCATAAGAACCAGAGTTACCGGAACTGTGTTTGTTCAGNGATCCGTAAGAATCAGAGTTGGATGATCCATAAGAACCAGAGTTACCTGAAGAACCGTGTTTGTTCAGGGATCCGTGAGAATCAGAGTTGGATGATCCATATGAACCAGAGTTACCTGAAGAACCGTGTTTGTTCAGGGATCCGTAAGAATCAGAGTTGGATGATCCATAGGAGTCGTTACCACCTCTTCCAGAAGAACCATAGGAGTCGTTACCACCTCTGCCAGAAGAACCATAAGAGTCGTTACCACCTCTGCCGGAAGAACCATAAGAGTCGGAGTTGGAAGAGTGTTTATCTTTTTTATCGTCAGAACCGAAACCAAAAACCATTTTTATTATATTGTTTGAGTAGTATAAATCAATTGAATTGATGAAGAAAATAGTTGAAAAAACACCTTTTAGGCAGAAATTGACCTTATATTTATAATAATCCCCTCAGCTCAATTGACAAGCTATACCAACCAATTGCTTGAAATTACCCAAGAGATCAAACTTGAATACCATCGAAATTTCAAATCGAGTCTCTTATTCCAGGATATAGACAACAACTGGGTTCAATTACAATCCCGTGGGCATGCACCTTTCGATATCAGGAACCCAGCCCAAGTACTGAAAAATGGGGAATATCCCTTAAACGAAGCTTTCCTTGAACTTCACCTTCAGCCAATTCCACGGCCATTTGTCCAGTTGACCATTCCATTGACTCAATTGACCCAATTGACCTATTTAATGGTAAATTGAACACCCTAAAAAACCAAATTAAAGTAACAAATGGTGGTACCCTTCGAGGTAAGGTTGCTGAGTTTCATAAACCGAACTGAATTAGTGCTGCAACTTAGTTGAATTTGGTCCTGATAGAACAGGTGTAATTAAGGGGAATTGTGTGATCGCATCGGGAATCTTCTGCGTGCTTCGCTCAATTTTCGCCAACGGTGGGTTTCGCCAACGGTGAAGTTTTGCAACTGTGGATGACTGCGGTTTATGTGGTGGAGAATTGGTCCTATTGGCTCAATGGGCTCAATTGGCCAAGTTGGTTTATCCTAAATGGTCAATTGGCTATGGGAGTATGCCAGGCGTAAATTTCACTTGCTCTAAGGGAACAACTTTAAAGCCAATTCTAGCAGGACCCGGACCAAAGCTTTTCGGTTACGTGTAGGGACTATTTCTTCGCTCAGTTCAAATTAGATGACTACATATTATTATTTTGTATTACTTTGATTGTTTGTTTATTTGTATCGTCTAAAATGCAACTGAAATTTCGATTAACTGTCCCGATTTTTTGATGACCACTACTATCCCGACATTGTAGATCTCGAGACTAGGAATCTTTAATTGCGGAATGGGCTTCTATTAGTTTCCAAAAGTTTCGGTACGTTTGTTGTATTCATTGAGTTACATTCCCTTGTTTAAATTGTTGCGAAAAATGTAGTTTTTTTTACATAATAAGGTTAAATAGGTATTAATATGGATAACTATACAAAGAGGGAATGCAATTAATGATTTCTATCAGCAGTACGAGGTTTAGCACGAATGATATTATCAACTCTTAATAAAACTTCGGCAGCTTCAGCAGCAGAAGAAACAACTGCTCTTTTCAATTTATAAGATTCAACAATTCCTAAATCTTTCATATCAGCAACTTCACCATTATTTAAGTCTAAACCAGAAGTAGTCATACCATTATAGATTGCAGATCTTAATTTTGAAATTAATTCACTTGAATCAAACCCAGCGTTATCAGCTAAAATGGTTGGTAAAGCTCTTAAAGCTCTTGCAAAAGCTTCAATGGCTAAAGATTTTTTACCATTTACATTTGCAGCAGCTTGATCAACTGCTTTTGACATAATCATTTCAGAACATCCACCACCTAAACAAGTTTTGGTTTCTTTAGTAGTTTGAGATAAAACTGATAAAGCATCATGTAAAGATCTTTCAGCTTCATCTAAAGCTTGATCGGTAGAACCTCTTAAAACTATAGTACAAGCTTCACCAGCGGCGACACCACTAAATTTGGTGAAAACATCTTCACCAATTAAAATTTCTTCAATTAAATCACAATAACCTAATTTAACTTTTTCAGGATCATCAAAAGTAGAAACAACTTCACCACCAGTAACTAAAGCTAATCTTTCAATACCATCAAAATCAGCGTGTTCAATTGAATTTATTTTAGCATCAGTGAATAACTGTTCTGGATAATCATAGATTAATTGTCTATTAATAAAAGTATTAATACCAAATTTTTTAATTTTTTCCACTTTATTCTTCATTTTCAATTTTTCAGCTTTTTCTAAATCAGCTAATTTTGAAGTTGAATCAACCTTGAATTTTGCCCCAAAAATCTTAACTTTATCAGTATCCATTGAAGTATTTGCAATTAAAATTTTAGCATTATTAATTTTTTTAGGCTGATTTATACCAAATTTTTTTTCCAAGATAAAACCTTCATCTAAAAATGAATCAGATAATTTACCACCAACTTTTTTAATGATTTGTATATTGTTTAGATTGGTGGACCCCTTTAATCTCAATATAGCATCAACTGCTAAATTAGCAAAATAATCTTTATCTTGAGATAAAATTTTCGAAGATAAGGTTGTTTTAGCAATATTAATTAAATCATTTCTGAAAATGGTTGGATTTGATCCATTATTCACACTTACTTTATCTAGTCCTTCAATGGCAGTATTTCTAGCAATTCTGAAACCTTCAATAATAGTTTGTGGGTGAATTTTCTTGTCAATTAATTTTTCAGCTTCTCTTAATAATTCGGCACTCAACACCGTAACCGATGTAGTACCATCACCAACTTCATCATCTTGCACTTTGGAAATGTTCACCAAGACTTTTGCTGCTGGATTGTCCAATGGAATTGACTTTAAAATAGTAGCACCGTCATTAGTAATTAATGCTTTATCTGGATCAGTTGAACTTTGCAATAATTTATCCATTCCCTTTGGTCCCAAGGTGGACTTAACCAAATCACCAACGGCAATCGCACCAACAAAGGCCGACATACGGGCGTTCTCTGCCCTTTCTTCGGTGGCCTGATCACCTAAAATCTGTACTGACATTGTTTAATTTCGACTATTAGTGATGATTCTTACTATGGTGAATGCTTTTTTTCATACTCGACGTGTTGATCTAAAGGGAAAAAAAAAAAAAAAAACCAATGCCGGTAGGCGCACACACAAGCACCCACAGCAAAAAGGGTAGTGCGCGCGTTGATAATCATTACACCCGTACACACCTAAACCTCCGTACACACTATTTACTTCCGACAAAGCCCGGGGGGTTTTCGTAGTGTTCCGATGATTCTCTACTTTACGCCGTACAACTCAGCTGAACGAGCTGGAGAAACACAAATAAAAGTTATCCAATACCAGTAGACTTATCTTTTACCGATCGTGGGCCTATCTAAGCATATATCGATGGATGTAGAGGTATTTCGATGTATATATGGTGTAGATAGTGGCATCTCCGGGATTAGTACTCACGTGAAGAAAAGTCTAATCAAATGAAAACTGTTCAAAATTCGCTTACTGCTTGAAAACTCTAAAGTTAAGGGCAATTTTTGTAGCGACAGCGAAAAAAAAGAGAGAAGACCAAACAAAACGAAAAAAAAAGTCAGTTCAGACTTGAAAGCAACAACTGATAACATAAGAGAAACACCAATTTGGGAAGGGTTTAAGGTGTGTAATGCTTATGAAGGATAGTAAACTAGGATTAAAATACCCATATTCTCTCTACTGAAGCTTTCCCCCGAGAATAGAATAATTTTGCATTCGTTATTGAGATAATAACTTATATTCATGTATTTATAAAACATTGCATAATGACCAAAGATTTGAATGAAGATTCCACCAAGGATATTGGTTCCACCGAGGATTTGAGTAAGGACTTAAATAAAGAATTAAGTAAAGATTTGAGTACAAAGTTAAGTAAGGATACGAGTAAAGATTCTGAAACCAAGCTAATAGCGACAGTTCCTGATGATTATCAAGTTTTATTTAAAAAATTAGATATACTGCATAATGGAGAGATTACAATTAATGAATTTACCAAAGCACTTCAAGAATTGAATCATCCAATAAGTGATAAACCCGAATTAATAAGTCAAGTTTTCAAATCATTCGATTCGAACCATGATAAAATCATTGATTTTAATGATTTCAAATTATATTTAACCACAACTGACGATCAAATTTTAAAAGGATTCAATAAAATTGATCAAGACAATGATGGGAAATTGAACAAGTCTGATTTTATAACTTATTTAAAGAAGAGTCTTAATTTAGATCCATCAATTTATAATATCGATAAGATTTTTAACACCATTGATTATAAAAATGATGGGTATATAACGTATGATGAATTCAGATATTTTTTAATTTTAATGCCTAGATTACATGGCTCAAGAATAAAAACTGCAATAACTTTCATCGCCGAAGAATTAGATTTATCATCCGATGGTGATGTCACTTTAATAAATCAATTTTTAAACGGATTTGGGTTTTTCTTAGCCGGTGGATTATCAGGAGTGGTTTCTCGTACTTGTACTGCACCATTTGATAGAATAAAAATCTTTTTAATTGCAAGAACTGATTTATCTTCCACTGTTTTGCATTCGAAAAAGGAAATTGCTAGACAAATTGCTAATGGTGCAAGTCAAAAAGTGGTAGAAGAAGCTAGGAAAAAAATGGTTGCCGCTGAAGAGGCTGCTGCTAAACAAGCTGCTGAACATCCGAAAACTATTCGTAGTCCGATCATTCAAGCAGCAAGAACTTTATGGAAACAAGGTGGTATTAAAACTTTTTATGTTGGTAATGGATTAAACGTTTTAAAAGTTTTCCCCGAATCAGCAATGAAATTTGGTTCTTTTGAAGCAACTAAAAGATTTTTGGCTAAAATTGAAGGACTTGATGATACAACAAAATTGTCGAAAGCTCTGACTTATTTAGCGGGTGGTTTAGGTGGTGTTTGCGCTCAGTTTACTGTTTATCCGATCGATACCTTGAAATTCCGTTTACAATGTTCAAATATTGATTCTTCAATTAGAGGTAATGCTCTATTAATTAAAACTGCCAAAGATATGTTTAAAGAAGGCGGATTAAGAATATTTTATCGTGGTATATTTGTTGGTACAAGTGGTATATTCCCATATGCAGCTTTAGATTTAGGTACTTTTTCAACAATTAAAAAATGGTTGGTTAAAAGAGAAAGTAAAAAATACTCAATACCAGAAGATCATGTTAAATTACCAAATTATATGGTTTTAAGTTTAGGTGCATTATCAGGAACTTTTGGTGCTTCAGTTGTTTATCCAATAAATTTATTAAGAACAAGATTACAAGCTCAAGGGACTTATGCCCATCCTTATAGATATGATGGATTCATTGATGTTTTACAAAAAACAATTGCAAGAGAAGGTTATCCTGGCTTATTCAAAGGTTTAGTCCCAAATTTAGCTAAAGTTGCTCCAGCAGTTTCAATTAGTTATTTCATGTATGAAAATTTAAAACATATATTTAGATTAGATGAAACTTTAAAATAATAATTTTTCTTTCTTCTCTACAAAATATTTATTTATTCCATTAAAATCATTATATTTATTATTAATATATTTATCGTAAATATTCATTATATAAATCAAAACAAATAAATCCAATACTAACTTCACCAATTGGGATAAATTTAGTGTTTTTCTTTTTGTCAGATTTACCGTTATTTAATTTAATCCAATTTGATGGTATCAAGTCTTTGGAATTTTCACTAAAATTTAAATCAATTGAATCACTAACATTAATTAATAATCGGAAAAAATTGTTATTATTATTATGGCTAGAGCTAAAATTATAATCATTTATTGGAACTTGTTGTAATTGACTTTGTAATCTTTTCAATTCAATAACGTGTAGATATAGTATTGATTTAAATTGGGAATAGATTTCCTTCCAAGTAAATCCAGGTATATTTATAATTGATGATTTTTCAATCGTATCTTCAGTACTATTTTGAAATGATTCATCAAGCAGATCTAATGACTTAACCGTTGATGATAAATCAATAAGTTTATCAAAATTAAGTTTATACTCTCTCATATTTTTGGTTGTCTTTTCATCATAAATAATTACAATCATCTTATTAACTTTGCCTCCTTCAACGTTTGATTTATTATGACCTCCTGCATTTTTACCTTCTTGTGACCCAAACACTAACACTTGAACAAATTCTTTTACAAAACTTTCAATATATTTATTTAAATTCGGATTTCGTGATTCAAATACTATTAAATCAAATGATTTAACCTTATCAAATATCTCAACCGGATATATTTCGTTATAGTATATGATTTGTGTGATCCATACTTTTATAAACTCTTTTATAGCCAATATGACGTTGCCGGATGTCAACGGGAGCAGCATTCTTATGTTTCCAATAGTGACATCGCTTACCCAACGTCCTGATTGAAGATAACCAAGACAACTAGTAACAAATTCTCTCATTTTTTTTTTTAAGCGATTGATTGAGACTCGATCTTTTCATCGCGTGTGATTGACTGACGCGCCTTTACGAAAGATTCACTATTAATACTTGTAAATCATCATCCAAGGCAATTCTAATTGGGGCTGACCGTCATGACGATAGTGAATATAGGAGCAAGTGACATCCACAGAATCACTTCGGGACAAGTTATCACCGACTTGGTATCAGTTGTTAAAGAACTAGTTGAAAATAGTATTGATGCTGGCAGTAATAAGATTGATATAACTTATTCGAATTATGGATTGGATTTGATAGAGGTCACAGACGATGGTAGAGGTATTGATCCCGCTGATTTCGAGCTGGTCTGTTTGAAGCATCATACTTCTAAATTGAGTGATTTCAAGCAGTTGAGTGAAATTGGGGTGTCTACTCTTGGATTTAGAGGAGAAGCAATGAGCTCTCTATGTTCAATTGCAAGTTCTGTTATCGTAACCACTTGTACGCCTAAACAATATCCTAGGGCAACTCAATTAGAATATAATCACATGGGGGTTTTGAAAAATAAAAAAGTTGTTGTAGGGGGATTGAAAGGTACTAATGTTAAAATCACCAAGATGTTTGATAATCTTCCAGTTAGAAAGAAGAACTTGATTAAAAACTTGAAGAAAGAATTCCATAAATCGGTGAATTTTTTAATGAATTATTTGATAATATATCCTAATATTAGGTTTACAATTTTTAATACTAACTCACAAGGTAGAAAACATTTATTAATGGGTACAAAAGGTGGACCAAAGACTACTATCTTAGATAATTTGATTAGCGTTTATGGAACAAATGGAGCATATGGATTAGTTCCCCTTGATATTGAAGTTAATAACTTGGATATGAAACGATTAAAGCTATACGATAATGATGAATCATCAAGTGGTAAGATGAACTTAAAATTTTCTGGTTATATATCTAATAGTTCGTTTGGATTAGGAAGATCATCAAGCGATCGACAATTTTTATTTGTTAATCAAAGACCGATTACCATGAAAAAGTATTTAAAAACAATTAATGAAGTTTACCGAAGTTTTAATCATATTCAAAACCCGGTTATTGTACTAAATATTGAATTGGATTATAAATATCTCGATGTGAACGTTACTCCAGATAAAAGAATAGTTATGATACATAATGAAGAATTAATAAATGAAGTATTACGAAATGAGTTAATTAACTTTTACCAAAAACAAATAACGGTTATTCCCAAGAACAGAAATTCTGAAATCACAATTAATGGAGAGAAAATTCTGGTTTTGAGTCAGAGAGAAGATTTGTTGAAAAAGGGTGGGTTCAAAAAGGAGCCTACAAGAACATTACATGGAGTACAGGTAAAGAAGGAAAAAGATGATGAAAAAGATGATGAGAAAGATGATGAAAATAATGAAAACGACGAAAGAGATGATGAAGAATCGCAAGAAGAGGAAGAAGAGCAAACACAAAAAGAACGAAAGGAGGTAGAACAAGCAGAAGCAGAGGAGGAAGACGGAGAGGACAAAGAGGGAGAGGAAGAACAGCTAGAATCAGAACCAGAACCAGAACCAGAACCAGAGCAAGTTGAAAACAAGGTGAAAGTAGATCCGGAAGAAGATGCCATTGAACAGCTTGTCGATCAACAGGACAATCTAGAAGGACACGAGTTAGAAGGAGCAGAAGACGAACAGATGGAAGAAGAACAAGAAGAAGAAGTACAAGAAGAAGTACAAGATGAAGTACAAGAAGAAGTACAAGAAGAAGAAGAAGAAGAAGAAGAAGAAGAAGAAGAAGAAGAAGAAGAAGAAGAAGAAGAAGAAGAAGAAGAAGAAGAAGTACAACAACAAGAAGAAGTTCAACAAGAAGAAGAACAAGAAGACGAACTTGAGAAGATAAGTTCCGAAGAATTGGATGATATGTTACAAACCAAAAAACGAAGTCAAGGGTCGACACTTGATTTATCACAATTCATAAGCACCAGTCACGAAACCTGTGAATGCAAACACGACAACGAAGAAGACAAATTAAGAATAGAGATTGGAGAACATGTGGAAGAAAGACAAGTGAAACGACCCCGTATAATGAAACAACGAGACGATATTGCCTTTGGAGAAGATGAGATCGAAGCAAAGCTAATAATCAAGAAAGAAACAAGCGATGAAGTATATAGATTACAGAGTGAACTAAGGGTAGACCAAGACCAATGGGAAACGATGATCTTACCCAAACTTAATGGGAAAACAAATATAAATAAGGTTAAAGTTGATGATATAAGCCACCGAGAAGAGGCGGAAGCCAAACTAAGCTATACGATTAAAAAGGAAGATTTTAAAGAAATGCAAATAATTGGACAATTCAACTTAGGTTTCATCTTAGTGACTTTGAATAATCTGAATAACTTATTTATAATCGATCAGCATGCGTCGGATGAAAAATACAATTATGAACGATATTTGAAAACAATAACATTCGATAAGAATACCCAATCCCTAATCAAAGAACAAACGATAGAATTGAACATTATTGATGAAATGATTGTGTTGGAAAATGTTGAAATATTTAAGAATAATGGCTTCATTATTAAATTTAATCAAGATGATATTCCTGGCCAAAGAATCAAATTAGTTTCTTTACCAGTGCTGAAACATACTACATTTGATCTTAGTGATTTTAACGAAATCATTCATCTAATTAATGAGCACAAGTCTTCCAATATTAAGTGTACTAAATGGGAAAGATTACTTGCCAGTAGAGCTTGCCGAACCAGTATCATGATTGGTCAATCATTATCCCATAAAAAAATGTCCAAAATCGTTTGCAACTTAAGTTCATTACAAAAACCCTGGAATTGTCCCCATGGCAGACCTACAATGAGACACTTGATTGAGTTACAGCAAATGCCTCAATTCAATCAAGATTACAAATTGTAATCGGACCCTATACCCCTTTGTGTTCCTCCTAATCTCTCTCTACAAGTTTTAGCGAGTAACAACAATTCTTATATTGTCACTTTTTTGACGTATGATGACTGTAGAACAGCATGCCGTTTGTAAATCCAACAAATGGATATATCTTGGTATTGTACCAATCTGTTATTCTTGCAACCTCTCAACAATACTCTACCTGAAATACCCTACATCTTTTTGCGCTTCTGGCTCTTTGCTCGTTTATTCTCTGCCCATTTATTCTCTTTGCTCATTTATTCTCTTTGCTCATTTATTCTCTTTGCTCATTTATTCTCTATTGTTTTCTCTTTTTCTTTCGGTAATTTTGCTTTCTCACTAAATACCCCAACATCTGTTTTGACAGATTTATATATAGACTCACCCTATATCCATCCATATCCATCCATATCCATCCATATCCATCCGTATATCTGTAGATTCTTTTCTTCTATCCATCCATCTACCTCCCTCCCTATATCTATGAAAATATTCACCCACATCTACTGCTAAACGTCTACAATTGGGGAGTCGCTGCATTATACTGTCCTGTGCTTTCTTTTTTTGTCTTTTTTTTTGTTTGTTCGGTTTTTTTTTTTTTTTTTTTTTTGTTCGGTGTGTAAAAATACCTATCACATCGACTGATTACGTTTTTTTTTTTCCTAAAAAATACCTATCACATTGACATTTTCTACTTTTCCTTTCTCTTCAAACTATCACTTACCGTCCCCGTCGATTGATTACCCTTCAATGTCAAACATCATGAACCTGCCATTCGAGCAGGACCGGAGCCAAGATAATAAACAGGGCCCGCCGCAAAATGAATACCAGCAAACACAAAACGTTCAATACCAACCGCTATATCGACAACCGGTGTACCATCAACAGCCGCCCTACTATCCACCACAGGTCCCACCCCAGGTCCCTCAGATACTGCAGCAGCAGATACCGCAGCAGCAGATACCGCAGCAGCAGATACCGCAGCAGCAGATACCGCAGCAGCAGATACCTCAGCAGCAGATACCGCAGCAGCAGATATCGCAGCAGCAGATACCACAACGCCCATTCGGTCAAGAGTTCCAACAGCCGTATCCGTTGGTAAACGAACGGAGAAGTCGAAGATCCCATAAGAATTCAAGAGATGGATGCCCCAATTGCAAGAAACGTCGAGTTAAATGTACAGAAGAACTACCTTCGTGTGCAAATTGTACCAAGAAGAAGTACCGTTGTGGCTACTTGGACTTTCCCGCTGATAAACTTGAGGCAATTAGAAAGAAGAATGAAATAAAAGACCGGGAAAGTGTTCCTGAATCAAATTTGAGTGGAAGTAGCACTCCCTCTGTTAAAACACTTTCATCTAATGCAACCCCCAATATTAGAACGGGTCAAGTTGATGAAGGATTTAATAATGATTCTTTAGAACAAAAACAAGAATCCATACCGTCAAATAATAAATCTCTGCAATTACAACAACCAATTTTGGAGAATTTTCAAACAAATCAACCATTTATAAATATTGAGGATTTACGTAAATACGTTTATACTAATTCTTTTATTAAAGTGGCTCAAGATATGAATTGGAACTCTTTATTAGAAAATAGTGATTTCAATTCTTTACAAATTCCAAGATTCAAACCTTCAAATGGAAATAATGATAATTTTAATGATTTTTTCAATAATTCTTCCAATCATCATCAACCTTTGTTTGGGGATCAGTTAAATCGTTATGATTCTATGCACCTGGATGATTATCAAAGCCAAATGAATTCTCTAATGATTGATAATCCTAAGGAAGTGTATCAACCGTATCCAAATGAGTCCCAACCAAATCAATACATTTCAAATTTAAAACGACCTCGACAACCTGAAGAATCTGAACAGCCCCAGGAACATCAACACGAACAACACGAACAGCATCCCCATCAACAGCAACTCCAGCAACTCCAACAGTATCAACATTTTGATGAAACTCTTGAAAGCTATCTACATCCTAAAACAAACACCTCAACTACAATACCTCATGGTCCTCTACCAAATGCCATAATTAAACCTATTAATTTCCCCAAGATTGAAGTTGATCCAAAATTGAAAAACGTTTTCTTACAAAGATATCTTGATTTGAATAATCATGATTCTTCAATAGTTGGTTTAATAAATGAAGAATATGAACACTCGTTCCAACCCGTTTGGAATAATAAATTATCACATAATTTTTGGACCACAGTTTTCAATCAATCAGTTGTTCTAAATGTTTATTTTTCATTTTTCATGGATCGTTCCCTTAATTTCCTATTAAAAGTTTGCAGTGTTGTTGTTCACGGTGATAGTTTTATAACTAATTTAGATGATCCAAGTGATAGTGGTGGATATTCTTCAAATTCATCTAAAGCATCAACACCAAAATCACCTGAAGCAATAATGAAAAAAGTTACCGAAACGAGTAAATTTAGTAAACATGATTTAAATGTTTTAACTAAAAAATCGTTTTCATATTATGGTAAATTGATAAGTGACTTAAGAGCGTCTTTAAGTACATTTCATATTGAATTTTCAACTAAGATATCATTATTTTCTGCTTGGTCATCATTTATTCATTCTCATTCCACGGTTGATACGATTAGTTTATTATATAATGGTACAGCATTATTATTTTCCAAGATTTTAAATGAGGCAAATCTGATCAATGATGTAACTCCAACAATACAAGTTCTGATGGAAATTTTTCATACTCATTGTTTAGTCTCAAAAGTTCCTGATTATACATTTGATGTTATATATGAAATACATGATTATTTCATCCAATTTAAAACGTTATGTGAATCATTAATGGATTCAAAATTCAAATTAGAAGATTGTTTAAAACGTAAAACCAAGGTTAATAAACGTCGGAAACCAACTCCCCTGTTATTTAGTCAACAAGATGAAAAATCCGAAAAATTCAATTTTTCCAATGATGAATGTGATGATCAATATGATGATGAAGATGAATATTTAGAATTGAGTATTAAACAGTTTTTGAATGATAAATTATTTCATCACGATTTAAATGAATTAGAGAAATTTTTAGATAAATTCATTAAAGAGTACTATCCAAATATAATTAAAATTAATGAACAGTATTCTAAAAAATATGGTTATATTGATCGAAATATTCATTATGTTTCATTCAGTTTGGTTTTTGAATTATTAAATCATTGGTTCAGAATTTTCCCCAGTGAAGTTATTTCAATTGGAAGTAAAATGAATCCATTCAAAAAAACGTTTTTCTTATTTTATTCTGCTTTAGGTAGATCACTCAATCATATTATTCCTCCAATAAGAAGTTTAATGTTGGTTGATCCATGTCATGTTTTTTGTCCTAAACTTGATTTTGATTTTGGTTTATATCAAATTAAAAAATTTAATGATTTAGTTATTGATGAAAATCAAACTAATTTAAAAAAATTTAATCAATTCAATTTATTAAATGAAATGTCAATGAATTTATTAAGAATGGTTCATTTTTTCGATAATCGATTATTATTTTATTCTTATTACTTATCTACCAGTTCTGCGCTTGAAGAACCATACTTGAAAAATGTCGAGCCAATTGACATTACCTATAGGGATGTTTTACAAATAATACCTCCTAAGTTGGATTGTAAAGAAAAATTCATTGAAAAATTTAATGATGATTTCATTCATTTAGCAAGTTATCCACAATTTGAAAGATTTTTCTCGAATAAAGACTTAGTTCATCAATTCAATACCGAACTATACAGACAGGAAAATAGTTTCCAAGAAAACTTATCTTTCAATTATCAAGCAGGATGTTTAAATAAAGACTTCAATACTCAGGCCATTCTCCGTGATATTCATCAAATTGAAAAACAGAGGTGGGAAGAAAGTAAGCCGGACATTGACAGAACAAGACTTCGTATGCATTACTTTGAATTGGGCAGGCGAGAAATCCTGAAATGCTTACAGTATAGACGTCGTTAGTTCTTGACAATCTTGTGTTCTGTTCTCTTTTTTTTTTTTTTTTTTTCTTTTTTTTGTTCTTTATTCAATGAAAAGGACTTCTTGTCTTTATCTACGTTTTTCTTTTTTTTCTTTTTTTTTTTTTTTGTTTCGACCTTCTCCTTCTCTGCAAATAATCTTAATTATCATCGACGATTGACGATCATGTAGTGAGTCCGAGAATTTCCTAACCAGAATCGTAAAAAAAAATAGAATATTCGTTAACTTGTTATCGTCAAGGAAACATTACCACCTTCTACATTTTGTAATCCCTTTGTCCGTTTTCTTGCAACAGAAGAACAACACAACGAAGAATCACAACGGAGAAACCCACCGAAAGAAGCTTTGCCAAACATACGTTTGGTTTCTTGGAAGATCGAGGCTAAAGCCTACAAACAACGATCGGAAAACCGATGCGACTTTCCGGGGCACGGTAATTACATGCATATTAACGTAGCAGGTGATGAGGCAGATTCTTAGATCAAAGGCAGAAATTCTTGTTTCCTATTAAGTTTATGTCTTTGCCGATGTAATGAGCCAGCCTTATGTATAACGAGCTATTTCACCGATACCAGTATGAAAGCCGTAGACACTGGTAGGTTTTAAGTTTTTTTTGCTTTTTTTCTTTTTTTATTTTGCTTTTGTCGAAGATCTCATAGAATGTCTTATGACTCAGGAGAATGACCAAAAGAACAAGGACAAAACCTTAAGAAAATGGCTATGTATACCATAAAACCGTTCGTTTAGCTTTGGCAATACCCGTAAGTGCAATGCTGCCATTAAGTCCTATTGGGACATCTGAAATTTTGAAAGAGCTGAAGTTAGTAATCGAAGACTAAAAATCGCATTTGTATTTTTTTATTGTTCATTTGTTAGTGGAAAACGGCGATGAACAGACACGACTAAGGGTTTTTTTCTTTTATATAGTAATAAGGAACAATTTTTTTATGACAAATAGTGTAATAACTTGCTTTTGGCTAGATTTGACTAGGGTTTAGGGCTAAGTGATTCTGTTTCGGGTTCTTTTTGCTTCCAGGTTTTCGTTTTCTTGCTAGTTCAGCCATATATATCGAGTATTATCCAAGATTTACCCGAGTTTTTAAGGATTTGACAGACTATGTCTGGATATTATCATCAACGACCCTTTGATGAAGAGCTAAATACTTCTTTTTCTTCGAGCGAGCCTTCATACCCTTCTGGAGAGATGCATTCTGGAGACGCTGGTGAAGAAAGACAATCTGGAGACGGGCATTTCGGTGCTAACGACGGAATCAATGATTATTTAAATAGAATGGAGAATGCCCAATATCTAGCTCACAATGGCCAAGCAGATGAACTTAATTTGTTTGGAGATGCTTTTAATTCTTTAGGTGACTCTTTGGCAACCGCTTTCAGCTCTTATCAACCAAGTCTACTGCGTCAGCAGCAGCAACCACCTTTAATACCATCAAATACCATTACCCCTACGTATTATACTCCTTCTTCTATTCCATCATCAGCATCCGGACATTCTCCATTATATATGGAACAAAAAAGTTGTGGATCACAACAATTAAAGAAAGAATTTTTAGAATTCAATAATGACGAATTACAAAAATTTAAACGTCATAAAACAAATAATCATACTAGTCATAGCACTCAATCCTTACCGGTACTAACCGCAGTATCTTCATCAGCATCTTTAGGGACTTTGTCAAATCCTCCAATTAAAGGGAAACCTTTGAAAAATTTCATCACAAAACCATGTACTTTCCAAGCACTACCCAAGAAGGAGCTGGTTCCCTTTGATAGGTTCCCATCTATGGATAAAGTTGAAATTAATTATTTATTAACTCAAATACATATAAACCCGCCCGATTTAGAAGAGGAATTCCCCCTATTTTTCTATACTGTGTTATCGTTATCATCATTTTATCTACGGTGTAATGCAATTAAAAGTTTTGAAGGTTTTAATTTAAATAATCGGGATTATTTTGTTAAACTAAGATCTAAAATTCACGATTTTGCAGTTAGATACTACAGTATTGCAATTAGTGAATTGAGAAAATTAATATTAAAAGAAAATTATAATGCATCAGTGGCTATTTATGTGTCATCGTATTTGAATAAAATATCAATCTATGAATATCCTGATCTTAATCATTCAATTGCATTTTCTAAAGGTACTGCTGGAATATTCAATGATAGCATATCTAATAATTCTAAAAAAGATGATATCTCATGGACACTTAATTTTTTAATTTTTGCATCCAAATCCATTTATTTCCCTAGTTATTCAAGTGGAGTCTTGCTTGAAATCTCAAAATTTTTAGGTAAATTCGGAACGATTCTAAAAAATCACACTCAAAATGACCAATTAATTTTCCAGTATAATCATTTATTCAATTATTTACATAATTTAATCAATTTAATTAATAAAAAATCAGTTTCTACAATAAGGGAAGATCCAAGAATATTATATGACATATTGAGAAAATTTATGTTGATAATGCCACCGAAATTGTTCATAGCAAAACATCTAAAAGATAAATTTGAACAAATATTAATGAATTTTTATGATTTATTGGCTAGGGTTCTAGATAATATCTTTCCAAATACTAAATTTTTCTTCTTGCAAGGATTTAAAGGTGGAATAAGCCTTTGGTATGATCCAAATTATCAAGTAGGTAAAGACTTTTTATTTGATTCATTATTTTCACTCCCCAGTTATTATCATGATTTGAAAAAAATTCAAGAATATTGTGTTCGTGTTTCGACTTTTTTCCAAAAAAGATATAATATTTTATCAGTTTTCTTTGGCGATCAAAATTTACTTACTGAGAATGATGATGACTTCTTTAGTCCTAAAGAAGTTAGTAACCAAGTTAATGAAGTTATGATTGATAATTTCGAAGGATCAATTATAAATTACACTAATTATATTCATTTGCCTTGCACAATTAAATTGAACAGAAATGATCTTAGAAATAGTAAGCATTTGAGTAAATTTGCAAATGAAATAAAGTTATATAATTATAATCATCATCATTATGATTTTTTCAAAAACTATTATCTAATAACTTCTACAAATGATACTGATAAAACCAATGAAAAAGAGTCAACCGATTCGATATTGAGAGCTCACATGAATAATTTAACGACAAACTCAACTCAAAAATTATTAATAGATCAAGTTAAATCAGTTGATATCCCAGTAACGGTTGATTCTCCACAGGTTTCTCAAAATCCTTATGATAGCACTAATTCATTAGCTGAACCCAACACTGTCAGCTATTACTTGGTATTGAACGAACAAAATGCAAGTGAGTTCACGGACCTTATCAATAGGGATTATCATCGGATTATACTTACTGGAAATAAAGTCCAGACTACAAACGGTGCAGCACTAAACACTTTCAGGGGATTAAATACCCATGATAAAGATCCATTAACCTTTGTTAGACCAAGTTTACTCTTGAAAAAAAGAGAAAGAAGTCAAGGAATTAATCGAGCTAAAGTTGTTGAATTCCATGAAATGAGAAATAAATTGTTAGAGGAAATAGGAATAGAATGGATAATTAATCAACAAGATGAAGACTTTTTCCAGGAAGATAATTTTTATGATGATATGAATAATGATTTTTATAATAGATAGTTTATATAATTGCAAAAGTTCTTGAGTCCTTCATTGTCAATGTCAACATACTAGATGATATAAACTTCAATTAATATTTTGCCCATTCTTTAGGGTTTACCTATTACCGTAAGCGATAATTTACCTTTTGAGTACAGTTCAATTGTTATCTTATGAATTTTTTTAGTCCAATAGTGATATTTTTGGATATCTGCTCCAGGAGAAGGTTTTTATTCTGCTAAATGTAGCATTTTATTACTTAGGGGGTTACCGCTATCAGGAAAACCCCTATAACTGGAAACTTCAAATCCCAAAATTACTATCGAAAAAAAAGTCATGTAAATCAGACATCCCACTATCAACCAAAGGTAATGGCAAATCATTCCAAATAGTACCACCCACAGCCTCAGCAGATACTGGTGAAACGACGTTTGGTCCCTTTTCACTTGCTGGGACCAAAGAATAAGTGTAATCTTGTGTAAATACGGGATCCAGAGAATAGAGCCCGGTTCTTGAATCCTTCAGTCCGTAATCAAATCCTCTACTTGAAGGACGACTAGGGAATAATCCGTTTTTTGCTTGAACTGCCCCAAAGTTAGAATTACTAATGGAATCATGGCTAGAGTTACTAATGACAGAATTGGCTGCTTCATTAGCAGGGCTTTTCATAAAAATGGAAGGAAACTCTAAACGTAATTTCTTAACATGCAAGCCGAATTCTGTTTCGCTATAGTCAGTATTAGTCTTTAATTGGAAGTCAATGATTTTTGTGCCTATATTTAATGCAGCCACACATAAAAGCTCGTATTTTCGCTTCTTTGATAGTTTTGAGCTATCTGCCAGTTTAACAATATCTTTTGATATTGATGATGAAAAAAATGTGTTGCAGACCACCAAAAGTAGTGAAAGGTCTGCAGAGGTTCTAGAATTTCTAGGATTAGTGACGCACTCATATAGAAGACACATCAATGCAGATACAATATGATGAATTATAGTATTGGAAAATGCAATTGATGCTTCTTGACAGTCGAGAGCGGCCGCTATTTCTAATATAGTTCTGGCACAATCAGCACTGGAAGACCTAAACTCTGCATATAATTCATTCAATTCGCTAGACTCTGGAGTATCATACATGGAAGGGATTGTATTAATAAACATCAAATGTGATATGTAATAAACATGAGCTGTCAAAAGTGAGTACTTTTCCATATTACTTTGAGTTGAAGTGGTTATCCACTGCTTTAGCTTCTCAGAATTAAACCTTCTATCAGATGCTAAAAAGGGACGATATCTGAAAGGAAATTCATTTAAAAATTTTTCCATTTTGATCTTTAAGTTATGTAATTTTTTCATGAATTCTACGAAAGTTATATCCTTTTTTGAGTCAGTGATGAGCGAAAATGTTTGGTATCGTATCGGAGATAATATATTGTTGAAATTGTAAAAAGCTTTAAGATGGTCGAAGCTGTCACTTATGCCAAAGAATTCATCATTGGAATTTTCTGTTCCTTCATTATGCTCAAAATCATCTAAAATTACATGATTTATTTCCATCATAGGACGGATTCCTTTCCTGTAAGCCATCTCTATATCAAAGTGTTCAATTGCACACCATAATCTCTGCATTCGAGTCGATTTTATATTAGACCCATAAAAATAAGTACAATTCCTCAGGAGTCCCAAATCCTGCGCATATCTTATTGCTAGACACAAGAGACCATGATCAAGACGAGAGTTTGCTATATTATACTCAGTGTAGATAAGCAATAACATTAGTGCTTTAACCGTTTGGATACCTTCATTCAAAAGCAGAACTCTCTGGTAATATAAAATAGCTCTCGAAAAACAATGTTCGTAGATAGTTTGGAGTTCATTAATTAGGTCATTGTTATTACTCTGCTTGTCTAATTCCTCTCGTATGCTAATCACCAAAGCAATGTTCAATATTAAGATATCCGAATCACAGATATTCTCAGTTCGAAAGCTAGTGTTATGGTAATATCTCTCAAATAATTCCTGGATTTCTTCCATCGGACATATTAAATTAGCCCAAAAGTCTTGACTGTAGTCGTTTTGTATCAACTCCATAACCAATTTTTGATCCGTTGGAAGATCTGTATCTAAAACATGAACCCGACTCTTATTCTCCATGGTAGCGGTACCGACCCATTTTCTTTCGAAGGCTTTGACTGAATCAGAGAAAAATTTTGGCAAATTCTTAAATGGTATGAGAAGATCATGATGTTGGCTCGGAAGCTGTGACTTGATTCGGTCAACGAATTTGGTGGAGTGTTTGCAAACATGGAAGTGGGAGCCTGGAAATCGATCTATATGTGCTTTTCCTAGTTTTTGGGTTTCATCTGAATCTTGCTGAGTTGGTGGAGACTGTGAACCATTTTGGGTTTTCGTACTCAGAGGTAATTGCGTGCTTAATCCTTCAAGTAAGTTTTCAACTCTGGAAAGCCTGCTCTCCATGGATTTATTAATAACTTTACGTTCGTTTTTCAAGTCTTTAGTAGATTTGCCAGTGTAAACACAATTTGGAATCTCTGTCTGTTGGCAATTTGAACAAGGCCTTTTGCCATCACATTTAATTTTTCGATATCGACAGAAATTACAAGCTTTCGAAATACGTGGCCTTCTTATTTTACTTGTGGAGCTTATCAGGGATTCCCTGCCATTATTTCCTGGAACTTCTTTCTCCATCATCGATTTAGGTTAATTACGGGATAAATTTAATATGGTCAAGCGATACAAGATTTGTCTTGTGGATATAGTTCAAAAGCAGCACAAGGTGGATCAATTAGATATCAAAGCATATCCCTGGCGTCAATGTACTCAAACAATGTC